AACAGGTTTCTCTTGTCAGTCATGTGTGATGAAGCACCAGTATCAGCAATCCAGTTCGCCGGTGTGCTTTTACTAGCTTGTTCCGCAGAGATATGGCAGTGTTGCGTACATTCTGTTTCCACGGATGTAGACTCGTGGCTGGTCTCGCTGTCCGTGCCTGAGGAGCCATTGTCCGTTCCAGAGTCAGAATCCTGATTCTTGGCTGCGTACCCATGCTTGCGCCTCGAGGTTGTCTTGACTGTAGGCTTGACAGGTTTGTCAGATCGCTTCTTGTTCTCATTTCTAGAAGGTCTCTTCGACTTGGCTGCGCGTCTCTCAGCTCTTTCGTCTTTCTCTCGAAGTTTTCTTCCGAATTCCTGAATTTCACCCTTGTATTTGCAGTCTCGGGCCCAGTGTTCTCCCTTACAATGGAGGCATCCTGTGGATGGGCCTAATTCAGGCGATGTAGAACGGGGGCGGTCGCGCATCGAGGAGTCCGAGCTTCTATGGTCATTCGGGTGACGGTACTTCGGGAATGCTACATTTGCATGCTCAGCCGTGTCGTTCAGTCGCAGCTCCTTCGTGCGGAGTGCAGCAATCTTTTCGTCAACCGTGAGAGAGGTCTGGACATCGAGATAGTCGATTACTGATCCGTAGCTTTCTGGAAGAGCGCGTAGCATGATCTGGAGAAGTGCCTCATCATTGTAGAGTCCCTTGGCAGCAGGCTTAGCTGCAATAATCTTGCGGCGGTATTCTTTTAGCTTTGCCCACGTGTAGTCGACATCCTTCTCGTCTTTCCAGGTGAAGTTCTGAAGCTTGGTCATGATGTTGTTGGCTGTCAACTGATCAGTCTTTGAGTACTTGACCTTCAGTGCGGTCCAGAGGGCAGATGCAGTCTCGTACTCGTCTGCGAGAGCGTCGTCATCATCAAGGAGACTGTTTGTGATGTAGAACAGTGCCTTAGCCTCATCCTTGTCGTATTCCTTTGCCTTTTCAGCGTTCCATGTACCTCCCAGTCGTTCGAAGTCGCTTGTCAGGCCTAGGACGCTTGCTTGTTCTGTAGGGTTGACAGTGCCGGCCGGGTCTTGAGAGGTGTTGGCAGTTGATGTGGAGGTGCCAGCTCCATGTCGTGCAATCCAGGCGTACGCGTGCTTCGTGACTTCGATAGTGTAGAAGATTCCCTTTCCCTTCAGCTTCAGTTTGTTATTGCGGAACCATTTCTCGTGATTCTCCTTCGTCAGCTTTGGGATCTTAGGCTCCTTATCGTATCTGTCGTCGCTGCCCATCTTCGCGGTTGTGCTTTTGACTGTCTGTGACGCGTCAAATGCCGTAGTTGTGTGTGGTTTCGAGGTGTAGGGGGTGTTTAGTGGGTTTGTAAACGTTTTGGCGTCTGCGCCCTTCAGCTTTCTCTAGCTGGAACCGTATGCTCGTTTTCGGTGTGTGAGAAGCTCGTCTCGTCTTCCGTGTGCGAGAAGCCCGTCTCGTCTTTCGTATGCGAGAAGCTCGTCTCGTCTTCCGTGTGCGAGAAGCTCGTCTCGACTTTCGTGGCTTCAGATCACCTTGATCTGGTGGGTCGCCGAATCGTAGAGCACCGAGCAACCGGGCTCATAACCTATTGAGAAGCTGGCACTATTAGTAGTAGTATGACTACCTAATAGAGCGCTCTCTAAGGCACAACGGTAGTGGTGGTACGACTCGTATTGTATTGACTAAGGAGCTATTCACACGTTCGTAGATCCGTCGCCGAATCGTAGAGCACCGAGCAACCGGGCTCATAACCTATTGAGAAGCTGGCACTATTAGTAGTAGTATGACTACCTAATAGAGCGCTCTCTAAGGCACAACGGTAGTGGTGGTACGACTCGTATTGTATTGACTAAGGAGCTATTCACACGTTCGTAGATCCGTGTTGCGTGCAGCTGCGTCCAAGCTCCCCGCTAGGACCCACCTGCACGTGTCACCAATCATGTGACTACTCCTCCGCTTGATACCACCAAGTCACTTACGGACTGTATTCTCAACAGAATGTCTATTTGTACAGCCTCCCCCCTTTTCGCACTTGAGCGATCCCAAAAAACAACTACTGGGTCTGTTTACAGCCCGAAATGATATCAATGTGAGCATGCAGGCTATCCTTTTCCCTTTGTCACCAGCAAACGTACCTATTACAAGACTACCGATAGCCTCTACGCTCTCGGCGTTACCAATACATACCTTGTGATCTTACCTAAGCCTTCCAACGCTTGTAATCGCATCGAGTAGTGCATGTGTCCGTGTAAGAGCGATGGAGAAGGTCTTGGAGCCTTGATCGGGCTGAGGGATTGATAGCGCACGGTAGTCCGCTTGCAGAAGGAGTCGGTCTTAGCAGTCATGTTGGTTGTGGTTACTGAGTTACTGTGTGCATGGTCAGAGTAAGGCCTCCAAACGCTGCAGCGTACAAGGCTTGGGGTGGGCTGCGGTTTCAACACTCGTAATAAGAGGTTAGGAACTTATGGAACTGCGGGACAGTCATTCTAAGCTTAGTCTGACTGAAGCAACCGGCGATCATCTTGACGTGCTGGTAACATTGGAATGCGTTTTTTTTTTTGAAATCTTTATCTCTACTGTATCCTTGTCACTTTCGGCGCATGATTCGCGCTGCATCTCGGTCGGATATCAAGGTATGATACTCCTAAAAGATAAGGAAAGGAATGTAAATTGACATACGACCCGTTCGATAGCCATTGCGCGTGCGGTGTTGTGGCGGAGAACAAATCGCCGCCACGTCGCGCCACGACACACAGCCGAGCGGCGATCCGACATGGAGAAAAGCATGCAAAGTCATTCTAAACGCAAGGTCAGACAACATCGCGGCTTTTGTTCGTCCTTTTGGTTGATTCATTGATGTCACTAGTTTCCGAGATCCAATCTTGCTTATATCGACGAAGACGCCTTGAATGAGTGCGCTAATAACACTTGACAACAGCCAGAACAATGCCATGCTCGCCAGTAAAGGTTTTTGTGTAATAAATTCGTCCTTGTTATCAATGCCCCCAAACCGCCGTTGCATGTGAAACCTAGTAAGGGCTACAAGCAACGTGAATGCCATGTTCACGACGAGAGCAGACAACAACACAAGCGCGATAGTTTCGTCTTTACTACACAGATATCGAGGGCACCATGCTATCACTATCCCGTAGACACGAGCGCCGAGCGCATTTCCTCCGCCCCCAATTCATAAACCGCTGCATACGACGTCCAGCGCGGCGATCCCGTACAATATGAAGCTATACAGTAGTGTATACTATACGCAGTTTACGTAGGTTCGCCTCCCGTCTCGGACAGCATTTTTGATGCATCCATTTTCTAAGACTTGGCCTGGTTGACCGCATCGCTAAATCATGTGTTAGAATATAGTTACTAGTTAGGGATGATTGACTTACACCGATACATTCCTGACAATCCTTAGGTATTCCATCTGTCCCGCGTCGCGTACAGCATACCGACCCCCATCCAGGTACGCATACCTACAAATCCATTAGTAATTACTTTGAAATGTTACTTCTATTGGTTGATATGTACATCTCGCGCAAAGACGCAGAGGCTGCAATAAGTTACAAGCTAGAGACTAAGCTTCATAGTTGTGATTGGATAAGAAATAGTCGCACAGTGCGTAAGGATAGTAAACTGGGTAGAAGCAAGGTAAGTAACAACACAGATAGGAGATACGAACAGCTTAAATAACTCGTTGTGTTGCGGGAAATTACCGACACGGGCTTTTAGAAAAGTCACTAAGGCCGAATGCTAACTCTACTTTCTTTTGCCAAGCGTCAGTAGCGGTATCATAAGATTACGATTCGTATTGAATTCAGACCAGAGCAACCGTTCCTACAGGTGTAACTTCTCAAACGATCATGGTTGCTGCGGCTTGATTGGACACTCCAGTGGTATTACTCAAAATTGCAGCAGGACAGGCTGGCGTACTAGAATCTTGTATGATGGAGGCCGAAGCTGAACGCAAACTGATGAAACTACTCGCTGTTGGCGTACTTATACATTACTGTGTCAACTTGCCTTTGTTATGTACAGCTTCATACAGGCATTGTAAGCTGATTGCACGTCTCACACGGTCGATAGCCTGAGGATTCTGATATTTTTGTCTTGCAGACATCAGAAGCTCGCATCACCTTCAACAGACAGCGTTGTCGGCTGTCAAGAATAAGTGGTTTTTAGCTGCCATGAAAAAGTCGACTTTGAGCGCCTCAGGGCTTCCGGTATACGGATGTAGAGAGATGCCGTTATGGGAGGTGGATGTGGGTAGATGTTCATGTTCTCCTGGAGTATTGCAGACAGGTCTATGATGCGGCATTGGGAAGCCTGATATACATTCTTAACTTTGGTATAATCATTTTGATTTTGCACAATCGACATGCGAGCGTGGTGTAAGTAAAAGGCTCGGTCTTGGCAGCGGCAGGGATCGGTGACGTCTTTGCAACCCTGTCGATCTACGACTGCTTTACCTGCCAAACACCGAACCACACTTATCAGGTCAACAGCGTCTGCGCGCGCGACCTGTTATTTCATTTGTTTGCGCTTTTGCACTTGTTTCCAGTCTTCTATCGCTTTCTTCTACGCGTATAGCGATAACGAACAGCATCACGCGTCTCACCTCGGCCAAACACATCATGTCATCTCTCCCGGCTCAGCGCCCCGCGTCGCAACGTAGAGCGTTGCCTCCGTCCGAATCATCCGCGTCGCAGAAGGAAAGAGCCAACAGCTTTTCAGGACAATCGGTAGACTCACAGACGCTTCTTCTTAACTCGCCGCCCTCGCAGTCAGCTACTTCCACATTCCAAGATCAGAAGGAGAGTCCCACACAAACTGCCGCGCCGCAACAACAAGATGACGACGACGACCCACGCAGATGTTGGATCTGCTTCAACGACGAGACGGAAGATGACGAGACAACATCGGAATGGCGGTCACCCTGTGCTTGCTCGTTGGTGGCGCACGAGACGTGTTTGTTGGATTGGATAGCAGACATGGAGGCACCGACTTCAGGGCGACGGGCCGGGACAACTGCAGGCAAGGTTCTATGTCCACAGTGCAAGGGCGAGATTGTGATAAAGCGGCATAAGAGTTATGTTGTGGAAGCAGTGAGGAGCTTGGAGCGTTTGGTCGGCAGTCTTCGTCTTCCGGGCTTTGCACTGGTGACGGGCACGGCATTGTACTCGACTTTGACCCTATCCGGCACCGCGACGATATATCAGATCTTTGGGACGGAAGATGCGCTGCAAATCCTCGGTCCGCTGTACGAGACACCAAATGCAGCCGTCAACTCAGTTGCGGTACAGTGTCTAGACCATCTGAGGCAGCACTGGAGACTCGACCTCGGACTCCCGCTTATACCCGCTGTACTAGTTGCGAGCAGAACGACATTCGCCGACTCATTCTTACCTTTCCTACCGCTCATCTTCTTCGTCAGTTCTGGTCAACCAGGCGATGAGATGCTGCAACTACAATGGCCACCGAGTGCCGCATTCACTTTCGCCACATTGCCATACCTCCGTGGCTTTTATAATGCATACTACGAACGCTTCTGGCTACCACGAGAGCAAAAATGGCTAAGGGAGATTCAGCCCAGGCAAGGCGAAGACGCCAATGTTGAGGGCCAGGTCCAAGACCAGGGCCCCGCCATGCACAATGCACACGACGGCGAGGTCATCCAAGAAGTGGAGATAGAACTCGACTTTGACATCTTCGGCGGCTGGGGCGAGGGAGAGGGCGTAGAGCCGGATAACAATCCTGCTCATCCCATTGAACCACACGCTGCCGGACCCATCGACGCCCCACCACAAGACGATACCGATACCGATACAGATGATGACTTACCCGACCTGGTTCCCGCTGCTCCTCAAGCAAACCCCCTACCTGAACCCGTCGCTGCACCCGCTCCAAACATCCCCATGCAGCCAGCAGCGCCCCGCCCCCGACGCATCCGACACGAACGCGCCGCAACCTTTTCCACCGCCTCCCTCGCCGACACCATCCTCGGTGCCCTTATCTTCCCCACCATAGCCGCAGCCATGGGCGAGATACTCCGCCACACTTTACCCACCGATTGGGTCACGCCTCCGTCGAGTTCACCGGCCGTGTCGTGGCTTGGTGGCTGGATCAAGAATGGTGGCAAGGCTGGGGGTGTGAGTAAGCCGACGGGGTTTTTGCAGACGCGGTGGGGTAGGAGTATTGTTGGGGGGTGTATGTTTGTGGGATTGAAGGATGCAGTTATGTTGTATGTGCGGTGGAAGTCTGCGCAGAATCACCGAAAGAGGGGGATTGTAGATTATGAGAGAAGAAGGGGTAGGGGTGGTGCGGCTGCGTCGTCGTGAGTGGGTTAGGGAGGGAATGGAGGTTTGATGGGCATTATTGCAGCTTATTGGAAGCATAGCTTAAGATTTTCTTCTAGCCGTTTGTATAGTTACACTCAACTTCCGAATAAGCCTAAAAAATAAGGTTAATACAACAGTCAATATCTCCCACTCCAACTCATACGTGCACTAAAGTAGTACCAGTCGACGATGCGTATACGTTGATGCGGCTTATTCGATTTATATGATGGAAATATGAGTCTGATTAGAAGGACGACACCCAAAGGTTGGCTTTTCTTTCTCCTCGATACCCAGGCTACTAATCGATATACTCCTTTAGGTAGCGAAGGCTTGGTCGGTAGTAGTAGAAGTTAGATGACCTATGCCAGTGTTGCGCAGCTCTCATCACGGACCCACTGAAAATGTTCCGGCTTACTCACGTCACCCAGCACCACATCCTCCCTCCACCACCAACAATGCCACGCTACAGCCCAACGCCAGAAGTATCCAAAGCGCAACTCTTACCCACCTGCCACTCGCCATCCCGCGACACACGTAGTCACAAGAAGCACCAAGAATCGCGTCGGCGCTCACGCTCTCCCCACGGCGACCGCGACAATGACAACCACCGCTACAAGCGACGCCGCACTCGTTCACCTGTCGCAAAAACCGTCGCTCTCCCTTACAAGGCAAAACCGCTAACTAAGCGCGACTATGAAGCGTACAAGCCATTATTCCAGTCGTACCTCGATATCCAAAAGCAGATTCAGCTAGACGAGCTAGACGAGCGCGAAGCAAAAGGACGATGGAAGAGCTTTGTCAGCCGATGGTATGTAATCCTGCCAACACATGTGAAAAAAGACTATGTACTAACATACCAGGAATCGAGGCGACCTAGCCCGCAGCTGGTATGATCCCAGCATGCTCAAGACAGCACAGGACACAGTATCTTCGTACCGCACAACCACACGAGCATCACCTGTCTACCTGTCCAAACAAGAAGAGACGACGACCGCCGCCAACGCCAACGCCGACGACAGCGAAGACGACGACTTCGGCCCAGCACCACCTCAACACCTCGCCCACCACTCCGGCCACGGTCCCACAATCCCTAAAATCGACGATCTAACCCACCGCAACGAGCTCATCGCCGACTCGGCCGCAGACGCCCAATCCACCTCGCACAGCGCCCTACAACAAGCCCGCAAACAAGACCGCACGCTCCAAAAGGCGCGCCTAGAAGACCTCGTCCCGCGCGCCGACGCCGGTACCCGCGAACGCCAACTCGAGAAGAAGCGCGAAGTAATCAGCACGCTACAGTCGTTCCGCGACGCCAAAGAAGCCGGGGATGTGGAAGTAGCGGAATCTGATTTGATGGGGGATGACGGCGTGGATTTGTACAAAAAGAAGAAGAAGGAGCAGGAGAGGCAGAAGAATGAGAGGGAGATACGCAGGGAGGAGATTGCGAGGGCAAGAGATGCGGAGAGGGAGGAGAGGTTGGCGGAGAGGAGGGAGAAGGAGGGGAAGACTATGGAGTTTTTGAGACAGATGGCTAGGGAGAGGTTTGGGTAGGGGGGTGGATTGGTCGGGGTGTTTGGGGTCGTCATCACGTGTCGTCTTGCGCCCTCCCTTATCCTCCGCGGACGAAATCAAAAGCATGCATCTTTGCATCCATCTCTTTGATAATTACGGGATGTGCTCTTACGCCCCACCAAGTCAATGGCACACTGTACTGTCGATCAGCGCACTAAGTGCGTAGTGAGCATCGTATCGACTGTGTCTAATAGTGTCTTCACACTGGTTCGGTATACAGCAGCGACCATGAGCACTAGGTGTGTAGTCAGCATCATAGCGACTGTGTGTAGCAGTGTCTTCTTCACACTGGCCCGGCATACAACAGCGACAATGAGCACTAGCCCGCTCGTCCACATTACAGCTGTGTAAGCCATTCCGGTTGTAGGTCCCAAGAAGTAGATCCTGTTTCGCATCAGGACTTCCGCACTAGTCCGACAAGGGTTTTCCCGTCTGCATCAACAACGTCCGGGCCTATTCGGTGCGATCGCATTCGCATTCGGTCTGTGTTTAGAGATATGTCAGCTTTACCAATGTCTGTGTTGGATGTTTTGAAGCGGATATCTTGTAGCAGACGAATAGATGGTGTCCTTCGTTGCGATGCAACGTCTCGAGGCGAAGAAGTTGCGGCATAGAGTCCTCGAGTAAGGTACCTTGGGCAATCTTCGCGATCGAGCGACTGAGTGATCTGGCTCCACGATCTACATAGAACCCTGCAGCACTGCCACCCCCAGCCTTGCAGCGGACCACGCGATCACGGAGCCAAGTTATTAATTTCCGCTTCCACTCCTTGGTTTTCAGACACGTGACGCCTTCGTACTTCATGACTGGTAGTATTCAAAATGTAGTGCTTGAAAACGATGCTAGGTACTATTCCGCGACTTCAACGCGTGATGATGCTCTCTACTTCTTTAGATTTGGCCCCTGTGTCCCCTCATCCCATTCAAACTTCCTCGTCATAGTAATCCCATTCTCCTCTCTATCATGATCCAAGATCTCACTCGTGCCGACCTCGCCTCCCTCTTTGTCATGAACATGCACAGTCGTAGTCGTGAGACACATTTCATCGTCATCAGGCCGATATCTACCCCAATGCTCATTATTATCCGTCCTCGACCGCATCCACGACTTCCGGTCGATCCGACTGTCTTGGCCTGCAACCGTGCTCTCCAACGGATCCTTAACCTTAATCTTGCGCGTGCGCTTCTTGGATATCGTTTCCAGCGGGTCCAGCGAGTGGGCGGGCGATTCAGAGTGCCGCGAGGATTTGATCGAGGATGGCATCCGGCGCGAGATGCTGTTCATGGCTAGTATCATCAGGGGGCGGAGTGTGGGTAAGCAGCCGGAGATGATGCCGACGGAGGGCTCGACGGATGACCAGATGAAGACGTCGCTTTTGGCCCAGCTGATGTCTCGTGTGTTGACGAGGCGGTTGATGGTGATGAGGCGGTAGAGCGAGGCGAAACAGACACTATGTATGTTAATGGATATTCATCTCAAAGGTTGGATGTGAAACATACAAACTGCCCAGTAGGAAGGTAAAATTGACAGCGATTTTCTGCGATCGTCCCATGTTCAACTTGCGCACACTGGCTATGGGTATCGCAAGGATGCAGACATCACCGAAGATGTTGATGATGCTGATACCGAGATAGAACTACAGCCTGGTTAGTTACGGGATTTGTTTCAACTTCAATGCGATTCATACCTTTGCCTCGTTTACCTGTACCACGCCTGTACCCCCGTACCACTGATTCCAGTAGAAGTTCAGTGGTCGCGTGTACAGTGGTACCACGATGTGGTTGGTGATGAGGTAGAGAACAGTGATGACGATGGAAAACCAGCCGAGCCAGTTCAAGCCAAAGATGCGACGGTATAGAGCCAGGATGGAGAATTTGATAATACAGCCGCTCCAAGAGTAGATCAAGACATAGGCGAAGGTGATCTTCGCTGTTCGTTAGCTGCTGTGTTACTTTGGAGGGGGGTGAGGACGTACGATGGTGATCTGCCGCATCTCATAGGGTCCTAAGGACCAGATGTGCTTTCCAAGTCCGAAAAAGCCGCCTAGCCAGAGTGTTTAATGAATATACTAAGCAACCTTGTGTGGTTGATCATCGTACCTGCGATGCAGCATGCTAAGTTGCCAGCATTCAGGGCTAAACCAAGGAACATGAGGTAATCATCCAGGCCCAGTGGCTCACGCTTCACACGTAAGCGAGTGAAGAGGCGCAAGCCAACGAAAACAAATGAGAGGGCAAAAAGCACGATGCCGATGGCATTATTGGTAGCAGTGCGTGATTCGGTCAAGTCCAGTCCGGGCGGCGGGTTGGAAAAGTAGTCGACCGCCATATCAACAGCACGGATGTCAGCGGGATGTAGTGTATGAGATCAAAGATGCTGTAATTGTACAACACAGCTTCGACTATAGACGATATGTATATATCTTCGTTAAGCATACGCAGCACGATATCGGACAAGGCGCCTGGACAGGTCGTCGTCTCAGAACCAGCATCGTCGGAGACTTGCAGCGATCGGAATAACGTCTTAGCCAACCGGAAGAGCTACCCACTACAAGATGCCAGTTCAGGAGACGGGCGCAGTTCGCGTTCACTACCTGGTTATGTGCATGTACATGCTCACATGGAACATGACGGGCAAGGTACCGACCTATCACACCAGACAATCGCGCTGGGCACTTCGTATGGGGATGCAAAAGACTTGTCCGTCGGGCCTAATGCACACGTTGTTGGGCAAGAATAAGAGAGACAGGAGAGATTGATTGTGCTGGGCAATCTTTCGTTTGGGGATGCAAACATCGTAGCCGTCGGGCCTACTAACGACAACGCCATCGGGCCTACTAACGACAACGCCATCGGGCCTACTAACGACAACGCCATCGGGCCTACTAACGACAACGCCATCGGGCCTATACAAGACGTGTGTTTTCGGGCCTACCAAGTTACGACAACGGCGGGAGATAAACGACATGCCGGAGCGTTTGCCGTTTTCGATCACTGGTAGCGGGGTCCACCAACTATGAAACCTGGGGCCGCGACAACTTTCCTGTCCGTCATATTCTCAACAACAGATACAAAGCCTTGCGCTGAAATATACAATTCGCTTAAACTCCATAATATCGACATTTTTTTTAAAAAAAAAACGAGAAAAAGATGGCGCCAAAAGAAACAAAGTTCAAGGTGGCTGCTGCCCATGCTGCACCTATCTTCATGGACAAAGCAGCTACCATCAAGAAGACCGTTCAGCTCATCGAGCAGGCTGCGAAGGAAGATATCAAACTTCTAGTGTTCCCAGAAACGTTCATCCCCGGCTACCCCGTATGTACCCTACATTATCTCGGCTGTCGACATCCTGCACGTTGGAGCACTAGTGCTAACCGTTACCATAGTACTGGACTGAAGCCTACCCACCCCTCAAGCAGGTAGCGGCTATAGCCAAGTACGCAGAGGAGAGCGTAGTAGTGGAGCCCAATGGCGAGGACGTCAGTGCAATCCAAGATGCCTGCCGCCGGACTGGAATAGCGATTAACCTGGGTATCTCGGAGCGTATCGCTAACGGCCATACGCTATTCAACTCGCAAGTCATCATCGATAGCGACGGCACTATCCTCGGGGTTCATCGCAAGCTGCAACCCACGTTTGTCGAGCGCATGGTTTGGGCTCAGGGTAACGGAAGCACATTACGCACCTGGCCCCTCTCGCTTGGTTACAACCTCGGGGGTCTGGCCTGCTGGGAGCATACCATGAACGGTGCGCGCCAGGCTCTCATCACGCAGAACCAACATATTCATGCTGGAGCGTGGCCAGCCTTGTCGACGCTTTCCAGTTTCGAGCCCGTCGCTAACGCGCAGATTGAGGGACTCATGAAAGCTCACGCTTTGACCGCCCAGGTCTTCGTCATCACGGCCTCCGACTATGTCGACCAATTGTGCCTCGACTGGATGGAGAAGAACCTCGGAAAACAAGACCTCATCTCCGCTGGTGGGGGTTGGTCCTCCATTCTCCACCCTTTCTGCTCCTACATCGCCGGTCCGCACACGGGCGGAGAAGAGAAGCTGGTCCAAGGCGAGATTGACCTGGCAGACTTGGGCGCTGTCAAAGTATGGATTGATGCAGCGGGACACTACCAGCGCCCGGAGATTTTGCAGTTCGGCTTTGATCCGCGACCGCACTGGGCGGACGAGAAGACGGACCGCTTCAAGATAGTACGTGCGGATGATAAGAAAGTGGAGACTGAGAATGTTGATCAGTCTCAGAAAGGTACGGTTTGATTTGGTACATACTGTGTGACTAGGAACGGGCCGACTTATATCGCGCGCTGATGCAACCATCGACCAGGTTATCTGAGTATGTAGATAGATAACGCATGAGTTATTAGTTCAATGTTTGTTTTGACCCCCGCTCCGGCATCGCATACCGTCCCGCAAGGTACTCTTGTGCACGTGATTGAGATACTAGAGGGTTCACTGACTAGGCTGGAGCCCGTTGTAACATCATACCATTCACACTTGATACCCAGTTTTTTCTACAAGCGGGCTACCATGTAAGTGAAAGTGCCATTGGATTGTACATTGAAGAGCACACAGTACTCTAATCTACATCAAACACCCTCAATCCCGCTTTCCGGACGAACCAGCGTGACTCGCACGCCAACATACCTACGATTCAGGCCAACGCCCAGTCCCATCCACCAGATCGGACCCACGATCTATGACGCACTTCTGCTATTGCAGGGTATGTAGTATTTAGTCAGGGGTCATCCGTATCCCCAACCCCCGGACCCAAGAACGGGAGGACCGGTAGTTAATCTATTTGCACGCACGGTCCTCCCTCCTTGCTTACTCTCCAAGTGTGTAGTTTCCCACTAAATATTCTCCGAGAAAGCCGTTATGCTAGTTGGCGGACGGAGATATTACGGCCCTTAGCGAAGCAATGCCTGCTCTTATCATGTTATGTTTCATGGATGAGTTGGAGAGGGTATTTCGTTTTTCGTGTTTTGGAGTACGGGGAGAGGGTCTAGGTACTGTATAATTGAACTGAGGGCAGGTTATGCGGATGTGACCGGATCAGTTCTACTTTGACTACTCTAGCCCGAACTCGAACTCACTGACCTCCCGCAGCATTTTGTCGGAGGTACTAGCTTTTCTTGGCTTGAGCGGTGCCGATCTGACGATATAGTTTTCTTGCCCTTGCTTTTTCTCTTTGGTATGATATTACAGGGCATACTGTAGTATAGATTCATGCGTCACTTTGTTGAGGCTGACGAGCATTGTGCCTTCGCATTGCAAACCTTTTATTGTGGGGTAATAGTCGTACCTGGTGAGAAGAGGTACATACCTTGCTAGAGTTAGGCCGCAAGTGGCTAAGCGAATTATTGACCTTGGCACTATCTATACTGCGAGCTTCGTCTTGTTCTTTTCAGCGTAGTAATCCTGCGCGATCTTCTGGGCCTACTCATCACCAAGCTCCTCAAAGATATCATTACCCCATCGCGATTGTACATTGAATCGCTTGTGTCTCTCTAACTTGCCCAATTGATCGAACGCGTCCGGTGGCAGTTCCTTGACTTGCATGTTGCTCTTGATTCGGCTTGAGGTAAAGCTCTTGGGTAGAACCACGGTGCCACGCTGAATACCCCAACTGGCGAGACCTAGACCGCCGTCCAAACCTAATCTGCGACCCAGAACACCCACAAGCTTATCGGCTACAGTACGCGGCTCGCCTGTTGGGTTGTTGCCAAGAGGCGAGTAAGCTTCCCCGACAAGGATCCCTTTACTCTTGAAGAGAGCGGGCTGTTGGAGGTAGGGATGTGTTCAGATTGGGTTCACGGCAGACACCACGTCAGTCTTGGAAAGCAAGTCGTTCAAGTGACTAATCATGAAGTTGGAGACGCCAATGGCGCAGATTTTTCCAGTGGGCAGAAATGTCTTCATGGCCTTGTAGGCGGTGGCAGAGTCAATGTCTACGAGATCGAAGACGCCGCTTTCGCGCAAAGGAGACCATTTACCTGGCTTTCCGTTGAAGGCTCCATTGTATTGTTAGTATGCCATGCGGAACTCTGAACAGACACCTGCCAGTGCATGAAGAATAGATCCGAGATATTCGATGACGTGATCCTGGAGCGACTTGTCTAGTGCACCCTCTACATCACCTTGTGCAGGCTTGATGTTCCATAAACTACTAGTCAGGAAGATGTTAGAATGAGGAACGCCGCTTCTTCTGATGCCGTCGCGCAGTTCGGCTTCAACCCCGTAGATGACGGCGCAGCCGATGTGGCGATAGCTTATCTTGAGGACTATTTCCACCGCACGCTCAACCTCTCCACATTTTGCTTGCCATGTGCCGAAGCCGATAATCTGCGCACCTGTGTTGAGTGTGAAGTATGTAGGCATGGACACATTGGCGGCGAACTTGATGGCGATAAATTGAAGATGGATGGAAGTCAATGCAATGGGATGATGAACTCGATGTCGCGACTGAGCTCAAACATGTAGCCACTTGGGCAAGATATATCACTGATTTCCATTTCCATTTCCATTACTTTGTCCTTGTACGTGAGGACGGAGGAAGATGTCGGAAATAGGTAATTACCGGAGGACGGCTCCACAGGAACCGCAGGCGCAATGGCTACCTAGGTACTAAACGCGTGGTAAGTCGTATGACAGCCCCGGGATACTTCATGAGTCGCACCTTTGCGTGCTTGAGTGCTGACTTGGCCTAGCGCGGCGACCTTCACCCGTGCAAATCAGTAACGCAAAAATTGCGACTCGGAATGACACTTCTCGTGACCTTTCCAAAACATATTTCTTGAAGGACCAGTGTACTCCTCTGCCAGACACTTTAGGTAGTCGATATCCCTATAGCGGGATGTGATAGATAGATCTTAATAAATACCTTAGTGTTTAGACTGTATGGGACAGAGAGCCAGATGGCCTTGGAGTAGATGAGGAGGGCAATCTAGCGATTGCCGACTACAAGCACGTAGCCATACCAAATTTTGTATATTTGCAGCTCATCGTTAAATTTCCTCAAAGACAATTTCCAAGATGCAGACTCGTGTGCAACAGTCTTTAGTGTCATGAGGGACGAGTGTGTCGAAGATCTTGCTGCAGTTTCAATGCCTGTTTACCTTCACCTAGCTAACATCAACAAACAAATAGCAATCATTTAGTACTATAGGGAAGAACGAATGATTCCCATAGTCAGTCGTGACAAGATTTCGAAACGAGTCTAAAAGATTACCTCATGAGCTGAAAGTATAAGCATCAGATTCGTTGTCTAACATGTCGCGGCACCAATATGCGGAGTAGTTACAATGCGATCTGTCTCCCAAAGACCGCCATAGCCCTCTGTAGTCGGCGGTTTCTGCTCACATTAAGTCCCGCAGGCGATTGCTTATTTGTTCGCTAATCGCGAACAGCTAGGAGAAATGCGAGCGCGAGCGCAGCAACGCCTTGCAACTCTTGACCTCCACTGCCAATATTCTAGTCGCCTGTGAGTCAGCTATGTTTTTCGGTATTCGGAATACGCTGGATAAGGACTTGGCTATCTCACGCAGAGTTTCAAAAAACTAGTTCTAGTAGCTAATTCTGCAGCCACTTCGGGACTAAGGTAGCTTTGTTCGCAGGCCTTGTCGATTGTTTTCGTGATAGACGTTCTAGTCGATTGCGAGTAGGAAGTAGAAATTTAGACTTCAAAGGAAATGCCGAAAGGTACATATTTCGACCTAATCCTCCACGAAGTACTAAGGAGCACGTTTGCACACGACGCGCTCATTCTCCAAAAGCATATTAACTATTTAATCGATTCCAGGACTATTATTAAAGAGTCGAATAGATGCGTTGACTTGCTTGACAGTCTTCGGGCACTTGTAGGCGTACAACCTGGCATAACGTTCTTAGTATTCTGCTGATATTCAATGCATTTATCTGCAAACAGTGTTTTATATTTCATTGACGAGCCATGCGGTTTATGCTGCGGCTTCAAAGAGTACTCGCCATTGCTCTACGATACTGCGCGTGTCCTAGCACTTAGAGGGGGACATGATTAAGGAATATTTCTAGACCGCGACTGAACTAGCATTAGACGGTTCATGTCAAAGGTTTAGATGTACGCTCAGCTTTGCGCTTATTGTACGCCACCATCCTAACGCCTTGATTATGAGATGATGTCCTATCGCGGTGCGTGAACAGTTTACACATGTGGAAAATCCAAAGATCAAAAATAGTTTGTATCGCAAGGCGGCAAATAGTGTATGCGAGTTATTTCCCAAGAACAAAAATAGACTGCAAGGTATAGCAACTAGAGATGGTGAACCGTGACAGTGACGCAAATATAGGTGATATGTTAGTAGTAGGATAGATTGATTCTATTATACATTATCGCTACTAACGTTCCTGACAAACATCGCCCGATCCGTTCTTCTTGTCAGTCCACCTAGCTGTATTGGCACGACCCAGGCGCAAACTCTCCACATCTGTATGTATAGGTCACCAACGGTCCACCGGCTCGGTCCGGGTGTGATTCTTCAATGTTGGCTCGAGCTCCTGCATCAAGGTTCCGACAGAGACTGCACACGTTCGGCAGCCGCCCGTTTACTACGCCGGTGTCCGCTGGAGAAATGCGATCACCGCCTTGATTGTAACATATGCTCGCAGCGATCGCGTCGCGGACATGATTGATGGCATTATTGGTAGCAGCATCTTGAGTAAGCTCGTGGTCGTAGTAGATGGCACAGGTGAAATCCTTCGTCCTGGCGGCGACCAGGAGGGGGGCGACGAGAAGAGCGGTGATAGCTGCGAGACGCCTAGATAATAGTTTAGTATAGGTGGTTATAGAAGCTTCTTTAGGGTGGTAGGCTTACATTGTAATAGGTAGGGAGTAGTAGTTTGTAGAAATTCGGCGGGGTGGCGAGACTATAGATGTTCGGTGGGTAGAGGACTAGAGTGGTGACTTTGTTGGGTGAAGATGGAATTCCCTGAAGTTATTAGGAATACTTATATATCACTGTTCTCCCTAATGAAAGGCTTTGCCGAGCCTTTTACGGTCTTACCGCCTATCACCGTCATCGCTTAGGGCCTTTTACGATTATTTCTAGGCAATCTAGTAATAATCAGCGCCAATACTGAAGGTAACTTGCGACTGTAGTAGCAAAGCAGGAGAGACTTTAAACTGTGACATATATCTACAACACAATTGTTAGTTTTCGGCGTGTACACACGCAGGAGAGACCCTAAACTGTGGCATATGCCTAACAGACAATTACCAATATTTTCGATATGTACACATCCTATCTCTCAATGCTACAAAATGCATGCACAGCCTCGATCCTACATAGGAGCTTAGGTACTGTACGTACGTACTACAAATCTCCGACCGAATCATGTATCGTCTTGGGCACGTTCCAATAGGAAAGAGTGCCGATGCATGCTATTATCCCGACGTCAGCCTCTCTGGGCCCTCGTCGATTACATCCCTTAATCCTGCTAAGGGAAGGTAAGTCTAAACTACCTTCTAAAGAGCTGCCCACATAGTTAAATATTAACTGCGCAATCCGCACATTAAACGACTTAACCGTTAATTCCGCTAATATAGCTAGTACTAGAGCGATGTTAGAGAATCGCTAGAGAGGCCAAACACTATAAAGCGAGTTTAGTGAGGCTCAAGTCCAGGATAACGCGCCACCTTCCGAGAACTCGGGAGACGCTCAGGCCCCTGCAACAGTGCTGACGCGATCGGCCTCACATCAGTCCAAGACCTGATCTATCACATGACATCCCACGCAAAGCCCATATGTAGCCTATATTGATTGTACTTGCCAAGCTCTACTTGGCGAAACTTTTCGAATGACACATTACACACATGTCCTTTGCATGATCACGATGCTCGCGAAAGCATACGTACGACGACACTGGCCATCCTCAAATACTGCCCGCAATTTTCTCCGGCCGCTACAGTAGGCGAGGATTCTATAGGACTTTCCGCCTAGCTAAGCGGCACAAAATGCACTGTAAAGATGATGTTTTAGTTAGAGCAGTAGTACATAACGCGACATCGTGAGCGCATTATGCCTCTGAAAATTTGAAAAATTTAATAGATCTAGAATAAGTACATTTAGAGTCTAGATTATTGTTAGGTCACATACGGGAATCCGAAGCGATCATAGTAAGATGATAATGTACTTGCGTCATCGCCACGATCGGAGCTAGCATCGCAGACGCAACCGCGCTTACTTCTGCACAAAATTACCGCCGACTAGGTATCTAGGCATTGTTTAATCGCCTAAAAGGGCCACCGCTTGTTATAAAAGATTCTAGGCATAGACCCTATCTAGCCTGTATAGATTGTACCTGCTAAGTATTTTACTCGGCAGACCTTTTTAAATCCTATGTTGTACCCACACCCTTGCACTGCCACCCTCGTATATGTAGACATTCATGAGGCTACTTTTCTTAATATAGCCAAGCTCTAGAACACGGTCTCTCCGTCGTGCGTCATTTGATGAGTTGGCCACATCCGGTAGCTCCGCCACGTCGTCGTCGTCGGCGTCTACGACAGTCGCGTCCGTCATGACATCTTCTTGGCCCGCAGACACAGTGGAGCTCCTCAACACGTTCTCAGTGAGACCTATAGACTTCCCTTGAAAACGCGAAAAAATCATTGCAGACATTCACGCCTCCGCCCAATCAATGCCTTTCGTAAGCTCGTATTACACTCCAGAATAGGCGAGAGATTATCTTCGTAGATACGCAAAACTGCAGACGTCCAGCCGCCAAGCGGAGTACTTAAATCGATCTATTTCCTCCTAGTCTGCTGGATCCTTCAACATTAGCCCTATTTCACTATAAACAAGCCCTCTCTATTCCAATGTGTCAAGCGTCAAGGTTGGGGAGAATCATGTCGTATTAGAGCTATTGGAAAGAGGTCTATATACGCAGTGGGAAGAGGGAGTGAAGCAGCTAGGGCGTAAAGGTACAAGCGGGTAAATGGGTGGCTGCCTGGTTGCCTAAGGAGGAGCCAAGGGATAAGCCCTATGGCCGACACAATGTTACCTCTAACATTGACACAATGCACTACCAATACTTCTTCTTATCATTTTCTGGACATGTAAGCACACGGTCGAATGCGCAAAAAAATCTATGTAAGGAGGAAATGCCCAGACACCCGAAAATAGTTGGCAAGGATTGGGTGATGGCGTTGACTCTCGATCATTGACCGAATGTGATAACAACGTATGGAGAAAACAGTAGGATCCTCGATATTGAGATTGCTATTCCGTTTAAACGGCCCTTGGACTTCATCTCCTACACTACCGCGCTAGGCTTCTGTTTCACCGCATCGATATCTCCCCCGGATTCGTTCAAAACCACCATTGCAATAGAATCACGTAGCTTGCTAGTCTGGTTTCCCCTCGCCTTCAGATCTGGTGGCATACTCGGAGGTTAGACTTTTGTGGTAACATGCATACTTTTCTGCATGAGGGAAACAATGCTGCTCTTATCATAGCATTGCTCTTGAAGATGTGTAAAGTATATCACACCAGCCAAGCGCAGTAAAATCCAAAGGCGAGCAACTCAACACCATCATTATAAAAGATCATTTTGGGGCGGACAACACGATGAGACAAAGCTTCTCCCACAGGGCTTAGTTCCCCTCCCATAACGCAGGCAAAAGTATACCTCAGCTCCATGATCACTCGAGTGAGACAGTGTCGCAAAATGAGCTTAATACCAAAACAACAGACCATGTTTTATCATGTGAGTACATTCACTAGCAAATCGCACACAATCAACATTGAGGCAACAAGATGTATTGACCTTTCTAATCAAATGGTGTTACAAGAGTTCAATACCAGCTAGACATTTCCTAACCGTCACTGAACCGCGCATGTTGGATGCGATGCGACTTCCAGATTGCCAAACTTGCAAATGTTCATTTATTGACTGCCGCCGCCGCCGCCATCCAGCACTCGGGCGTTTAAGCGCAGGCACCGAACTTGCAGTGTTCACAGTGCTGCTTTCGGGTCCAGACGTTGTTGACGCATTGGATCTATGGGAGTTAGCAAAAACGCTTGGCTAAGTGTGGTATTGCCACATTTGTGTGGGCGACAATGGGGAGATGGGACATAGGCATGGCGAAACTTACGACGTAGTTGTCGTCGCCGCATCGCTGGGCTCCAGCGCATGTCTGATCGCAGCTGGATCCAGTCCTGTATGGGCCGTTGGGGCAAGCCACGGCGGTGGTGGCGAGGAAAAGAGCGGTGATGATGGTGGTGAACTGCATGATTGCTGTAGAAGTTGTGTTTGGAGGATGTTTGGGTGATGGTGTTTGAGTGTGTGTGAGAGTGAGTTGATGATGCTACAAGAGAAGGGCTCGACAACTGGCTTTATACATGGCCAGAGTGATCAGCGCACGTCATGGCAATCGCCGTCGCTGTAGATCGTCTCAAGGCCGCCTGTTGCATGAACCGCGGTGTTGTCCGAGCATTTTTGCCCCCCACTTCTGCGGTGTCTAGTTTTCAGATTCTTGCGCCTCTAGTCGGAGTTGTAGTACGGATACAAGGCGTCCAAGGCCGGCATGAAAGCCGATCCTCATTCGCAGTGACGCTGAACCTCGGCGACGTTTTGATGCGATCTGCAATTTTCCTCCCGTGGGCATCTAAGATTCATTGCCGGGGGGCATGGATTGATGTCACTCCCTTTGATGTTTTGGTGGATGATGCAGTTCTCATCCGACTCTGTAAGGGATAATTTCCTTTACTGGATGACCATCTTCATCCTTGCGGCTAACAGTAATGGAATTTCTGATTTTCATGCTATCGATTTCCTCCGTCACTGGATACGTATATTCTTCGGAGTCCCATCCGATGTCGACGTCAGCCTACCGCTGGGAGAGGCGTCCTTGGCTTCTGGGGAAGCTTTACTTGGCCTGTCCGGCGGGAGGCCTGGCGCGGGAGGCCTAACTTTAAATGCCCTAAGTCAGAGCGAGAAAAAACTTAGATCTAGTTAGGGATCTAACCAACAGCCAGCGAAACTGTTTGACATGCTGGTAACCAGACTCCGCAACAATCAATCGGATCGGCATGATTGATTCCTATCTAGGTTAAAGGCTGCCTAATGAAGTAATTCTTTAACCTATATAGGAATCAATCATGTCAATCGATTGATTGTTGCGGAGTCTGCTGGTAACACATCCCAGTAAAAAGAGAACTATGCCGACAACAGGAATTATCTTATTCCGACTTCGCTAGGCTATCATGCTGTCTCATTCTCCCTTGTTCAAAGCTCAAGCGATCATCATCACGTTTTCAATCACTGGTACCTAATGCACTAACCTACGCCGCGTACAAGGCATCCCACGCTTCCTCGCTAGATCTACCCAAAGCCGTCATTGCTGTACCTGAGCAGCCTCATGCAGTTTAGATCCGACGATCTAGCCCAGCACCGGCACTGAGCATTAGCTTCCACGCCTCCATATTTCTTCTTCCGGTAGCCTTTGCGCTACTTCGTCACTACTTTGACTGGGTCGCATTACGCGTTCACGTTACCACGTAAGCGGGTGGAGCGTCTCTAGTTCGCAGTTCGCGATGAAGACGGTTGTGCAACCGTGGTGAGACTATTGAGAGTCTAAGACTAGTTCGTGGCATGTTGAGAGAGAAGGAGCGGATGAACATGGGATTCATTAGGCGCCGAAGTAGAAAGCTAATCTTGGTAACTAGCTAGCCGGCTTCTTCCGTCGCAATAATTGCGTAACTAGGTTAAGCGTACCGGCACAGTTAGACATCTGACAGCATCTGTGCTTCAAGGCGGGTGCGTATATGATGCAGCTTCGACTTATTTTCTCCGCGGAATTGCTAGTCATTTTCTTCTACCCTCTTTTTAGGAAACCACAGCGCCCTTGATAGATGCAACGAAGAGGCGGAAAACAATATCCGCAGACGACAAAGTGCCAACTATACCACTTCCACCAGTCAAGCTCGTTCCTTCATACCTTATCCCCCATCCCCCATCCCTCACCTCTGACCTCCTACCTCGCCTCTCCCACCTCACCTCCCACCTCTGGCTTACCCTACCTACCATAACCCTCTATAGCCCTACATTTCTTCCTTGTATCTACGAATATACGTGACGTACACCATGCCTCCATACGACTATAGAAAACAAAACAGAATATCTAAAAGCCTAGCAAGACACGTAGATGTAATTAAATGTCGCGAGAGTGGATAAAAGATGTATCAACATCACAATATACAACACCAACAAGTCCGCTCTATTGATAAAACATGCAAAACATATCAATCCGAAAAGAATATTGGAATTAACCTCAACAACAACAACCTTATTACCACGACACCAACATCACAAACGCCAATATCGCAAAACCAGCCATATCCAGCGAATGTAACCCCATCATTGTGCGTTTAGTTTCGTAAAAGAGTGGTATCATGCAACCCCAACCCCAACCCCCCAAACACGCCCCAAATCTAAGTCAAAAGAAAAACAAGAAATCCACCTCCTCGCCTACAACTTCCCCGCATTCCTACAAACCATAACAACAACGCCCGACACAATCTTAAAAAAGATTCTCACAACCCACACTACCGTCCTAAACGCGAGGCTAATAACCGCAATCAGTGTTCTCGCTACGAACGGTAGCTTCCTCTCCTCCCCATCGCCATCGTCAGCTTTGGTCTTCTTCTTCTCAGACGACGACGACGAATACTTATCCTGACCATACCACTCACCAAGCTCGATATCTTTATCGAAACTGGGTTTGCGACTTGTGGATTCACTGCCCCGCGTTGTTGGCGTTGTGGTCGTGGTCGTCGTACTACGAAAGCTATTCGCGAATTTCCGCAGCCCCTTGCTCGAAAGCGGTGGTCTGACGGGTTTCCCACCACCACCGTGGAAGCCCTCGACGAAGGAATCTTTAAACGCCTTCGCTGTGTCTTCTTTTTGGTGGGTGAGTGTGAAACTAGGCGGTGGCGCTTCAAAAGTCTCCTGGTTGTTGCGGGCCTTACGCCCACGTGTAGCTTCAGCAATAGCGACAGCAAGCAAGGCCGAAGCAACCACGTCGACGAGAAACGGATTGCCGAAACGAGTTAAAGCGCCAAGGTTGAGCGTGAGAGCGTCATTGGTAAAGTCGAGGCGGGCGAGCATCGCGTCGTCGGCGATGGCGTCGGGGTTGGTGGGCAGTTGAGTGACGGACATCTCAGAGGGCGTCATGGACGTGGGACGATTTGTACCATCGAGGCGTGGCGGGGGCGGCAGCGGTGAAAAAGCATTAGTCCTAGGTGTAGTGGGCGAGAGAACATATGGGTTTAGCACCGTGATACACGCAGGTTTGCGACCCGTGGCTTGTGCTGTAAGCGGCATGTTGTGGCCGTAAAACGCCGTCACGGGCCGTGTGGACGGCTGGTTGATGACGGAGCAGTCGCCTTCGAGGGAGATGGGAAAGTTACCGAGAGTGGGGTGGTGTAATTGGTATGACCCCTCCGAAGGCAGGTGCGCCGCCCATGGATTCGCTTGTTGTTGGGGGTTATCCTGAGTCCAGGCCAGAGCACAGCATTCGCGTTGCGCGGTTCCTGCTAGGACATCTTCGGCAAGTCGTTGTGCAGCTGGTGACTGCGCGCCGGGATCCGACAAGGCTAGACGCGAGGCGGCGGGAGAGTTGGCCGCTGCATCAAGTGCCTGAAGCGCGGCAAGCTTTGGGTATATGGTGGTAAGGAGGGTTGTCTCGTTTTGCTGTGCAGGATTAAAGGATCCAGTGTCGAGGGAAGGAGGAGCGATAAGATCCAGCTGAGCGATGGGTAGTACTCGCGGTTGAGTGGGGTGGTGTCGCTGAATAAGAAGCTCATTCATTATGCTAGGAATCTCGTAGTCGCCTGCAAGATTCGACTGTGCCATGGAGTAGAATGGCAGCGAGGGTGTAGTACCAAACGTGATGGTAGGATTGGCTGCTGTTGCGCGATGCATCCTTAACGTGTAGAGCTGCACTTCAGGCTCTTCTTGACCATTTGTAGCTAACCAGAGGTTGTCCAAAAGACTTGATGGCGTAAAGAAGGGTTTCGCTGGTGGAGGAGCGGACGAGGTAGTCAATCGGACGTTGTTGTGTGGCACATATGACTCGGAGTATGGCGAGCGGCTGATTTGTGCCCGCGGTAGCTGAGTTGGTGATGCTTGTGTAGGTTGATATGGCTGGCGCGAAAGAGGGACAGTAGGGTCGTAGATTGGAAACATTGACCGCATTGGTATCTCCTCTACCGGCGAGAAACTGCGTACCCGGGTAGCTGAACTATTCGCCCGTACCAGAGTCTGTGCTTCCGAGAAAGCAGGAGAGACTGCGCGATTTGGATCTGGAGACGTGTGTTGCTTGTCATTATCGCGGTAGAAGCTTTCTTGTCGATCAAGTTGAGGAGAAGGCGCTTGTTGTGGGGGTGGAGAGAAATGAGGTCGACCAGTTGGTGTAGCTGCCCTGGTGGATACATGTGCTCTGGGCGGTGGTGCGATAGCTGGTGGAGGAGCCATTGGATTAGACGGCGATACAGGTACTGAATTGACTTGTATGACGAGTTCGTGAAAGTCAGCTGGCGGTCTTGTGCTAGTCGCACTATCTGTTGCTAGAGGGTCTGGTGTAGCAGTTTTTAGGCGTGGAGATGGTCTCCTGTTAGGGCTTGGTAGTCTTGGAGCCCTTGGTGGGGGAAATAATTGAAGTGCTGGTCCAGCCATGATAATATCCAGTCCCTACTCTTGAAGGTTTGACTAGTTGGGACCAAACGAAACAGATGCCGGCTGTGTAGAAACGAACAAAGACTCTAAACAGTAACACCAGGAGCACGACCAGAGCGCTCGGGTAATGTGGGGATAGAGACTATAAGACGGCATACAAGGTGCGCGAGCCAGAAGGAGAGCCATCGCATACATCAAGGGCAATAGCGGTAGAGGGATTTCTCGTGCAGGAATGTAGGCCCCGCAGCCGGGTGGTGGTCAGATAGAACCAATCAGAAGGGTTTTAGACGTCGGCGGTATCCGTGTGTTGATGAGCGGCGGTTATATTTTAGGTGGTTGGCTGTCTTTTGCTGTAAGCGCCAACGCTGGATACTCGCTTCAATCCTTGCCACGTTAGTATGAGATGAAAGCAGACGTGTACTGGGCTCCGATTCGTCAACAGGGTGTGCGCGCCCTGCGTTCGGGCAGCCGATGCGTGTGACTACGAGCTGGCGGCCCGCTGCAAGTTGACGATCTATTTCGAGCGCGACAACCAACAAAGCTTTTCTTTCCAAATGAGGCGACATGTTCTCTTTGACAGTACCGTATACATGTTGTGAGCAAGGATCCGACAGTTTTTGGAGTACGGGGTTTGGGGTAGGAGAATGTCAATGCGACACCATTCCGCAATATACCGACTGATGGATTCAGCGTTGTTGTGGGTTGGGGCTTAAGCCACCGAGCATCGGCGGTAAGGCGAGCGAGCTGCAGCGTCGTGATAGCCGCCCCTACCATTAGGGCACGTTAAGCCAAGACAAGCCCACGAGCTATCGCAAACCCCGCAGACGGTGAATAGAGTCTTGATGACTGCTTACAAGAGGCTGGAGACGTATCCCGAAGGCCCACCAGTCATCTGCTGGGTCTTCCGAATCACGGCCGCGTCTCGGTCCATCTGCAAGGCATGTGCGAAGTGATGTGCGATAGTGATGATGCGAGGCTTGAAATCAGGCCATGATGATTAAGAATAGAGTTAGCAATATGCAGTAGATGAAGTACGTAATCATGGCTCTCCTTGCTGCAGTGAGCATGTGGCTCGCGACAACTCAGAGCGAGGCTTGAGGTGCAGGGTTTGCGCTAAGCTTATCGATAACCTTAATACAAGCGAAAAAAAGTTGGTACTTCGTCATCGCTCAGAGAAGAAGAACTTAGTCAAAGCCACGATGCCGACCGAATTAGAAGAGGTGAGAATGAAGTAAAAATGACTGGCTAAGTTCAAGACTAAGATCATTTCCCAGCTCGTAGAGTTTTTGCACCATGGCAATACACAGATTAGACAGACGGGTCAGCGCAACCCCTCCACCCCACTTCGCGACGAGGCTCACACTGTGCAGCTGCCGAACATTTGCTCGGATATTCGCAGGCCAACACTGCATTATGGAAGCGCAACCAGCTAGAGCCCATTAGGGATCTTAAACTGCTTGTCAAAGACTATGCACCTATAGCGAAGAATGCCCTGACCATCCTCATCAACGTCTCCGCCGACGGCGAGGTGCAAAAGGCGCTGGCCAAGGATGATGAATTTCTCGAGACGCTACTATCGCGGATAACTGTATGTCAGTTTCCCAAACGTAAGAGAGCGATCCGACCTGACTTGTGTAGAATCCGAAAGAGCAGAATGCGAATGAAATCGCCATGCTCCTCGCCAACATGGCCAAGGACGACTCCTTACAGCGCGTATTGGAGCTGAAGCGGGATGTACCAAAAGAACTATCCAAGTCGACATGGGCCATGGACCAGCTCATGGACTGCTTTGTCAAGGGTGCAGCAGGCGCATACAACAAGCACGCAGACTTTGACTACCTATCCTACTTCTTCGCCGACCTAGCCAAGTTCCCCAAAGCACGCGAATACCTCATAACACCCCAAGAGCACGACGATAACGTCATACCGATCACCAAGATCCAAGTCTTTACAGATCACGCCTCACACATCCGACGCCTCGGTGTAGCCTCGACGATTAAGAACGTTGCTTTCCACGTACCCGCGCACCCAGTACTTCTCTCAAACCTGTCCGAAGACCCGAACCTACCCCCTCCATCGATTGGCGCAAATCTCCTGCCATACATTCTCCTCCCCCTCATGGGGCCGGAAGAGTACGCAGACGACGACACAGAAGGCATGTTGGACGAGCTACAACTACTCGAGCCGGACAAGGCGCGCGAATCCGACGTCGAGATCATGAAGACACATCTAGAGACGCTGCTTCTGTTAAGCACGACAAAGGAAAGCAGAGAGGTGTTGAGGCGGGTAAAGGTTTATCCTATCGTTAGGGAGTGTCACATGCACGTTGATGACGAGGGTGTACAAGAAGCGTGCGATCGTGTGGTACAGATTCTCATGCGAAGAGAAGAGGGCGAGGAGGAGGATATTCCCGACATGGCAAGTGCAGGTGGTAGTGGAAAACTGATGGCCTTGGACAACGGACAGGCGGCGGAAGAAGAAGACGAAGACGAGAAAATCGTCGACATTGTCTAATTACAGAATACACAAATACTCCGACACTGGACAGTTGCTTTTTTACAATCAACCGATGTCTTGTACCCACTTCTCGGGCTAATTGTGTGATTGGGCGGCGATAACGGATATAACAGACTACACCGTTCTCGCCCCCCACCCCGTTTCCGGCTCCTCATTAATGGATACTTGCCGACGTCTAGTCTAAAGCGGAATATATCCCGTCATGGATTTTATGTGAATCGGCTGTCTTCTTCCTTTTACACGTGTATGCATTGTGTTATATGTTAAGTTGCGTCCGCTGGTATATGTTGTGTCTTGTATAGATTAGCAAGAGTAGGATGCGTACGACATTGAACACGCTATGACATCAGTGAAACCGACGGCGAGTGGGGCAGGAGAGACGGCGACGACGTCTACCAACGAGACGGTGTCATCAACGGCCATGGGGATAAAAGGTGTAGAAGACGTAATTAAAGAAGATGGACACGATGCAGGAATCGAACAAGAAGAAGTAGACAAGCAGCCGTCGATACTACAAAGAGCATGGACAATCCTAACATGGACGCCACCAAACTGTCGTTACGATCCCAATAAACCACCCCAGTTTTCCATGAGCTGTAAGTAAAGCCACCCACATCAGACCATTGAGTTGCCATCCTCAATCCAGAAACACCTCGTTACAATTCCACCACACACACACACACAAACCTTTTCACTCCTCCAACACCCCACCGAACTGACAAACTACTAGTAAACATTCTCTTCGCCTTCGCCGGCGGCTTCACAGTAGCAAACCTCTATTACAACCACCCCATCCTCAACCTCCTCGCGCACTCCTTCTCCGTCCCCCCCGACCGCGTATCTCAAATCCCCACCGTCATGCAAGCCGGCTACGCGTTTGGATTAATCTTCCTCTGCCCGTTGGGTGACATCCTCCCGCGTCGGCCTTTTGTCTGCGGATTGGTGTTTTTTACGGCTACGTTGTGGTTCGTCTTCCCCTCCCCATTTAGCTTAGAGATTATGCTAACCAGACGGTGGATTTTAGGTTAGTCCTGTGTATTACGACTGATTTGAATACTTTTACCGCGATTTCTTTCCTCGTGGCTACCACGACAGTAACCCCCCAACTCATGCTCCCCCTCGTCGGCGACCTCGCACCACCGCACCGTCGCGCTTCAGCTCTTAGTATAATCGTCTCAGGCCTCATGCTCGGTGTGCTAATCGCCCGCGTGCTATCCGGTACAATCGCCGCGTACACAACCTGGCGCGCTGTGTACTGGATGTCCCTCGGATTGCAATACGTGATTTTCATCCTGCTATGGTGCTTCATGCCAGACTACCCAAGTACAAACCCCGCCGGCGTACGGTACTGGCGGCTTATCGCTGATTTACCGGGGATGCTGGTGAAATATCCCGTTCTGCTACAAGCCTGTGCAGCGGGCATGTTGACGAGTGCGCCGTTTACGGCGTTTTGGACGACGTTGACGTTTTTACTGTCATCACCCCCTTATAACTATTCTCCCCTGCCGATTGGCTTATTTGGCCTGTTAGGTATATCGGCCATGCTCCTCTCCCCCCTTTACACACACCACGTATCCGACCGCTACACCCTCCCCCCGCACTACACCGCCCTCCTCGGCCTGTCCATCTCCCTCGTCGGCACCACACTCGGCACGGCCCTAGGCCCCATCAGCCTCGCAGGCCCGGTGCTACAAACCCTGCTCATGGACTTTGGGAATCAAACCGCGCAGATTGCGAATCGGACGAGGATTTATGAGGTTGAGCCTAAGAGGCGGAATGGTGTGAATACCGTGTTTATGGTTTGTACGTTTTGTGGGCAGCTGGTGGGGACAGCAGCGGGGAGTAGGGCGTTTGTGGTGGGGGGGTGGAGGGCGAGTGGGGGGTTGGGGGTTGCGTGTGTGGGAGGGGCGATTTTGGTTATGGTTGTTAGGGGGCCGTGGGAGAGGGGGTGGGTTGGTTGGGGGGGTGGGTGGGGGATGAGGAGGAGGGATGGGGATGTGGATGTGAGGGATGAAGAGATGGGTGGTGCTGGTCATACTGGGGATGAGAAGGGACTGGAGGTAGGGGTGAGACAGAGTCCGGTGGAGAGTGTGAGTGTAAGTCCAAGTGTAAGTGTTGGAGCGAGTGAAAAGGGAGAAGGGGAAGACGAGATTAAAACTGTGCGGTAGAGACAGCACCAAGTAGTATCTACATGTCCAGTCTTTGTATTGATATGATATCCACAGTCTGAAGACTACGACCTTGATGATAGTTCCATCTCATTGCCCTTTCTGAACCCCCCTGAACCCTCAAGATGCCATTCTTAATGCCAATCCCATTCATGCCCATGCCAAACAAACTCCAAAGTGCAACCAACCCATCCCTATCATACAAACCACCCCTCAAAACCAAACCATGCCTACGTAGTCTTGGGCGCACTCCCCCCAGTCATATACGCACTAATATGCTCATCCGACGGCATAGCCGGAAGCGGCGTCAACCAGCTCTTGGCTTTATCAAAGCTCGAAACCGCCTTGACCAACTTGATAAACATTTGCGTATTAGTCTTGTCGACACGGCCCTTGAACTTGGCAATGAGGTTTTGAATATTCATGCCTTGAGGGGGGAGTGAGTCGTAGATTTCTCTGGCCGAGGGGAGGGCTTGTCTGGCGGGTGCGGCAGTGGTCGTGGTGGTGGGACTAGCTGCGCGGCTGCCGTTTCCTGCGGCGGGACTGCCTGCGCGGCTGGCGCCTGGGGTGGCGCTGGGTGTGTTTCCAATCATAATGCGGTTCTTTTCTTTCTTGTCCTTTTTGCGCTTCTTGCCCGCGTCTGTCATTTCGCTGTCGCTGCCGGAGCCGGCGCCCTTAAAGCTGCCGAGGGTTGACTTTCGTGTCCCGTCGGCGAGCTTTTCAGAATGCTTCTTCTTGTGCTTCTTGCGTGATGACTCGTTGCCACTGGCTTCTGAGAGGTTGGGTGAGCCGGGTCGCTTCTTACTCTTCCCGTCGTTCGCCTTGTGGTTCCCTGAGGGGGTGTTGGCCTTTGTCGATGTGCCAGAAGCCATGGCGCCGCCCTCGACAGCCTTGCCATTTTGCTCGGCTGCCTTCTTCTCTGCCTCTTCCTTGGCTTGCTGTCGCTCCGTCTCTGAATCGGTGTCGGATTCGCTTTCGGTAATGTACGGGTTCTCGGGGTCGCTGTCGAGATAATCATACTGCTTCTCACGCTTGGCCAGCTGTTTCCTCGTGCTCTTCTCAGACGCCTTGGTCAACTCTGCCAATCTCCGCTCTTCCTCCTCCTTTCGTGCTAGCAGTTGCTCGTCTGGTCGATCCCACAGTGCGGCTTGCAATTGGTCACGCTTCAGCTTTTCAGCTGCCTCTTTGACGTCTTGTTCTTCACCTTCGAAGAGTCCATTGAGACCCTCTTCGTCATCAGCAAAATCTTCTTCGAGGTTAAAGTCAATGTCGTCGGCATCAGCCTCACGCTTGACGAAGCCGCCCATGTCGTCATCGTTGCGCTCTCGCTTGATCCGACCCTCGTCGTCTGCACCACCACCCACGCGAGTGCGCACTCCACTCCACAACTTTGCCTCATCCTCAGCCTTGACACGCTGGGCCTGGCGCCTCTCCAGTTCGGCGAAGAACCTAGGTCCGCCGCTCTCAAGCTTCGTCACGAGCTTGTCCATATCATCGCTACCAGCCTTGACCTTGTTCTTAACGTTGAATCGGTACCAACGCTCCATGGGCGCCAATTGTATGGCAGTTTGGATATTGCCGGGGTTTGTAGTTGACAGCATGACGTGCGTCTCGGACATTTCAGACTCGTAGGTGCCCACCCACGTCTGTTTGTTCTCATAATCCTCCAAGTGCCACGGCAGCGTCTCTTCGTAACGGAGCAGTTGTCGCTTCTTAGCCTCTGGAGTGTCGTCAGGTCGGTACTTTTGCTCCGTCTTCTTATGAAAGGCAGGAGGCTTCTTGGTGCCAGTAGGTGCAATCTTGGCCTGGTTCTCCTCGCGAACCTTGCGACGCTCCTCCTTTTGGAGTTCAATGCGCTCGCGTTCCTTGGTTTCTTCCATGTCTTCCCTGGTATCCTCTTCCTCGTAGTGCGAACCTACACCGCTTGGAGGCGCGCGGGGATCTCGGCGGTGGAGCTTGATCGGGGGCGCAAACTGCTTCTCATCCTGGATATCGACGTGACTCTTGCTCTGCAGGCGCATCACGTGGTGCCGCAGCTCCTTCAAGTTCTTGCGGCTCACAATAAGCGGGAAGACGTGGGCGCCTTGGTTTATAAACTCCTGTTTGAGCTCCTCCTTGGACCGCGCACCGTTTTCTGCGGTGGGAACCGTCTTCTTGGCCTCGTTCATCTGCGACAATGACACCAAAGGCTTCGTGATGTTTTGGAGCGGCCGGCGGGGTTTGCGCAAGACGTCTGCCTGGGGACGCGGGCGACGGCGACGAACAGGCTGGCCATTGGCGGCGACGGGCGCGGCAGGCGCGACGGACGGCGGGTTACCGTTCATGTTGCCGTTCATATCGGGGATAATTGAAGCGATGATGAGGGCAAGAAATGAAGGTAAAGGTGGTGGGTGGAGGATAAAGAGAGCGACAAGACCAAGTCGCCTGTCTCAACGAAGCCTCCAAAGGCCGCAGCGGTTGGAACGTCACAGCGCTGCGCTAGCACTGTAAACGAGCTAGCGCGCCAAGCCAGACTTTCCCTCTTGTGAATCGCTGACTCGGCAGTCCCATGGAACAGTGACACTACAAGTACCTGCATCGCAAAGCACTGGTCGATTTTCCATGTTACCCCTCTTCGCTTCCTTTTGGGCATTTCCGTAGCTTGAAGTGGTCGCGCGGGGAGCAAGATAGATTAGGCATCAGCCTCACACCTGCAGCTCCTTCAGCTCGAATTCACAAACATCCATCACGTGCGACAAACGACTACTCCAAACGACTACTGCGTGCTTGTCGCCTGATGCTTGCGTAGAAAAGGTTGTGTAGCGGAATCTTGCCGCATCTTCAATTCACATCCCAATTTACACTAAACCGACATCATGGAACAACAAAATGCGCCCCAGTTGAGTGGGCTCGAGGGTCAGTTGCGCAGCATGATTCTCGACAATGTCAACATGGCCGGCCAAGAGAGCCAATCAACACAGAGAGGACGAGGGAGAGGGCGAGGACGGGGCCAAGGGCGGGGACGTGGGCGGGGACGTGGTGGTCATTTCGTCGACGATGCCAACCCTCCCAGTCAAGACCAGTGGCGTCAGAACCCTTCACTCCCAAGCAGAGCAAGAGGAGGCGGTCGAGTCTGGGACATGTCAGCTCCCGCACGCGGTCAACATCCGCCGAGAGTTCTCCAACGCCCGCATTACCCATCGCCAGGTCAAGCCCAAACAGGCCCGACCTTTTCACAACATTCCCAGCCACAAACAACATATGCACCACGAACACCCCAACCGAGAGAGAATCCCTTGGTTCAGATTGAGCATCTAGACCGAATAGCTGCAGAGGAGATTACCAAGGTTGAAATGTCCACGTCTGAAATCGAAGAAAAGGAAGACTTTAGAAAGTATCTAGAGACGATTATGCAACAAGCCTTTGCTAAGTACTACTCTGGAGACATTGAGAACATCTCACTGGTCGGCTTCGGTAGTCTGGCTTCTGGATTTGGCATGCCTGGCTCAGACATGGACCTCGCTGTTGTACCAACATACAGGGATCCAGCCAGAGCCAACGATTTCTCCATTGATCGAGGTATCCCACGTCTACTAGAGCGAGCAGTACTTGATGCCAAGCTGGGCGGTCGCCTACTCACGCGGACACGAGTGCCTATACTGAAGATATGTCAAAGCCCAACAGAGACTCTTTACACGGCCCTCTTTGAAGAACGCCAAAAGTGGGATGAGCTTCCTGATGAGGAAAAGTACCCTTCAGACGCAACACGGTCGTTTGTACAGCCAAAGCCTGCAGCAAATCACCAGGTACCACCTACTCCACAGGTGGATGCTGCTAAGTTTGTGACCAACTTTCCGACACTAGGCACTACAGCACCTACAAAGAACAGTTTGCAGGCCCCAAAGACTGAGGTCAAGTCGCCTACGACAGAGACATCTAGTGTAACCAACGACAAGGCAAAGAAGGACCAAAACCAGCGCTCTGGAAAGCAATGGTCACGTGAAAAAGTAGTCGGGCCTCTCGACTTCCCAAAGACCGGCTGCGGAATCCAATGTGACATCAACTTTGAGAACCCACTTGGAATCCACAACACCCACATGCTCAAATGCTACTCACTGACGGATCCCCGCGTGCGGCCAATGGTCCTCTTCGTAAAGTCATGGGCCAAGCGTCGCAAAGTCAACAGCGCCTATTCCGGGACCCTCTCTTCCTACGGCTGGGTACTCATGGTGCTGCACTACCTCGTCAACATCGCCTATCCACCGGTATGTCCAAACCTACAGCTCATAGCCAAGAAACCAGAACACACAACGACGCGAATCATCTCAGGCTACCAAGTCCGCTTCTGGCGCCACGAGCATGAAATCATCCACAGCGCCCAAACGGGGCAGTTGACAGAAAACAAGGAATCTCTCGGTTCGCTCCTACGAGGGTTTTTCCAATACTACGCTTCGCTCTCTGGATACAATTACCCGCGACCGCCACAGTTCCACTGGACTAATGAGGTCTTGTCGCTGCGCACACCGGGTGGCATCTTGACCAAGCAGGCCAAGGGGTGGGTTAGCGCGACTACAAAGATTACGGCGGAGAAGAAGGTTACGAATCGGTATTTGTTCGCCATTGAGGATCCCTTCGAGGTTGATCACAATGTCGCGAGGACAGTGACGCATCGTGGTATCGTTACGATTCGAGATGAGTTTCGCAGGGCGTGGAGGATTGTTAGGGCTGTGGGGCAGGGGTTTCCGCCTGAAGGTGGTATCTTTGATGAGGTTTTCGAGTATGACTGAGCGGCGCGGCCGGTATAGAAGCTGAAAGAGACTGTAGGATATGTTTTCTAATCTAAGTCTTGGTGGGAGAAGAGCAAGGGTGGGGTTGGACAGGAGATGGGTGGGATTATCGAGTGTAACAATGTCTCGGGTAACAAGGTGGATCTATGGACACCGTGATTGATGACTTGATGAGATATGAAATGCGATGATGAAATATAGAATAAAAGTAGTTTTCCACTCTGCAGACTAGCATAGTCGATGCTGCATATCAAAAGACGTGGCAGTCACCTCATTGTACAGATACAAAGGACAATCTTAGCGACTTGTTACTACATAAAGTCCATGTCATTGGTGTATCTTCCAAACGTTAATATCCCATATCATGCAACAAAAGTCACCCAAATACAATGCAAATATACCAGCTCCCTTTAGAAAACAACGCCACCGCGTCGCGAGGATTATATACCAGAAACCTCCCAATCTCTATCAAAAATAGAGACATGAACCATTGAGCAATTCTAGAGCCGTGAACATGACCATTATCATAACAGCAACGCCATCAAATGCACCCTAAACGCCATGCTTACCACCAAAACCATCCGCTACTCATCATCTAAAATCGAGCTCGCCAACGGTCCAAAAAACGGAACCTCGTATCGATCCAACGTAGCAGCTACAACACACGTCAGCACATCCCATCCCATCTATCCCTCCCGTCTCCCCCCAAAAAAACCCAAACCTAGAAAAGAAATTCCAAACTCACCATCCCACCACGCCCTCCAAGCCAACCACGCCGCCACAAGCACATCCGCCCCCAACAACCCCCAACTAATCCAGCTCGACCAACTAAAAAAAACGTGCACCACAAAAACCACACTAAATAGCAAACTACTCTGCCACGCGTGAAACCGCACGTAATCGCTCTGGTGCTCCAGTATCAAGAGGAGGACGGCGCCAGCGGGGGGCAGGAGCAGGTATGCGGCGCTGGCTTCGTAGTCGAGTGGGATGGAGAGCGAGGTGTTGAACATGGATATGGTGGTGCGGGGGTGGAGGAATGTGGTGCTGGGGGAGGGGGAGCGCGACGGGGTGTGTGAGGGAGGCGGCGAGGGCTGGAAGTAGTCGTGGTAGGTGGGCGTGCGGGTTGTGTGTGTGGTGCGGTCGAGGGAGGGGCGTGAGCGGTCGGTTGATGGGCGGGGGGAGTGGAGGGGTGGGGGGGAGAGGGCGCGCGAGGCTTCGGGGGTATCTTGATAGGGGGAGAAGTTTGCAGCCATTGTGTGCGTGTTGCGTGTGTTTTGGCGTGTGGAGAGACTTTGAAGCTGATTGCTGTTAGAGTGGGTAGAGGTCAAGGTGTTGTGTTTTGGGTGGGCCGGCGTGACGTTTAGCAGGGATCTGAGCTCGAGCAATGGTGATCGGGGTAAGCTGACATGGACAGGGGTTGTCTTCGCTTAACTAACCGCGTGCCGCACGTGCGTGGTTGTCGTTTTCGGCCTTCTCCGCGTTTTGTTACTCCGCGTGGGTGCTGCAGGAACGGGCGCGGGCGCGGGTGTGCCACGTCGTTGTCTGTGAGGGACTTGATTAAACTTCAGGTGTCATGACTAGACGTCGATCGAGAGAAACCACATATGCCATGTAGCATGTTTGAGTAAAAACCCACACTAACAAGGCCCGAAGACCGCCCTTCTTCCGTCACTCCCACATCAGACGGCGTGTTCTGGGCTCAGGTGTTCTAACGTATCTCACCATGTTGTCGTCCCACCTCGCTCGACCGCCCGTGGCACCACCACCGTTGGAACCACGTATATCAACGAGTTTCCCTCGCTGGCAATCATTCTCACCGCTTCTCTCTGCTGCAGCTCGGAAAAGGTTATCTTGTTTGACCTGACCCGACCCTTTCCGATTTTCTGAGCGCCACCACGCAAACATCATCACACCACGTCCATCTCCAAGTCTTCATCGAGAACATCCATTGATTAATCATGTGCATCGCTATTCTTTCCTCCGCGCATCCCGACTATCCGTTCATTCTGCTGAATAACAGAGATGTAGGCGATTTTGTAATTCATCATGTATCGCATCCTGCCGTCTAACAAGTCCAGGAATATCTCCATCGACCAACGGCAGAAGCGATATGGTGGCCCTCACCAGACACCCAAGTCCTAGGCGGCTACGACCTCCACCGACCCGCCCACGGCACCTGGCTCGGCGTAACCCGACAAGGCCGACTAGCGGTCCTAACCAACTACCGCGAAGAAGACGAATCCATCGTAATCGGGGCCCGAAGCCGCGGCCTCATCCCTAACGCATGGTTAAAAAGCCCGCCTGCGAAAAACGAGTCAACCGTCGACTTTGCCAAGCGAATGATTGAAGAAGACGGCGTCCAAGGCGTGGGCGGCTTCTCCCTCTGCTACGGCTTCATGCAAGACGTAGTAAAAGGCCAAAATAACGGCCTCGCCATCGTCAGCAACCGCACGCCCGATACCAAAGACATCACGCACCTGCTCGCCGAACCAAACCAAACCCACGCCCTCAGCAACGCCGCCTACACCGACCGCACCTGGCCCAAAGTCCTCAACGGCGAAGCCTGGACCCGACACGCCATTTCCGAATCCGTGGCCTTGGAAGAGACCCAGGAGCAGCTGATATCCCGCCTCCTCGCTGTCTTGTCAACGGATACCATGCCGCGGCAGAAGGAAAACGAAGAGTGGGATATGTATCTGAATCAGCTGAGGCATAGTATTTTTATTCCTGCGATTGGCAGGGATCATCTGGAGGAGCATAGGATGCCAAAGCATGAGGTGGGCGATGTGGTGAAGAATAAAGCAATGGATGCGACGAGTGGGTGCTATGGCACCCAGAAGAATGTGATTGTAATGTGTGATCGGGAAGGCAAGGTGACGTATTTTGAGAGGACATTGTATGATGGGGATGCTAAGCCGATTGAGCTTGGCAAGGGGGATAGAAAGTTTGAGTATGAGATTGAGGGGTGGTAGGGGAGTAAGAGACTGTCGTGCTGTCATTTTCTGGGTGTTTGGTAATGGATTCACACATTTTCTTCTCAGCGCGTATCTTTTCCTGCATTCACAGCCTCTCTTCTCAGCGCGTCTACTCTCATTTTCCGAAAACGCTTTCACGTCATACTGACCCCCGAACGTTGCGCAAGCGCACAGTCACGTGCTCACGTGTTCACGAACCCGCCGTCACCTGCACCCTTGTTTACCAACAGCACACATGGACCCCGTTTGCTCATACCCTTGACTAAGCGACACACCACGCGCCTCAGTCAAGGTTGCGCACCCCAAACCTATACCTAGCTACTTCTCCCACCACTCTCACTCACTCTCCCACTCCTAGTTTGCAACACCGATCCCCCCAGCTCACATTTCCCATTGCATCCCCCATACACACACACACACACTCTCTCTCTCTCTCTCTCTCTCTCTCTTTGCACTGCGAACCCACCGTGCGACCAAGCGGCTCAAACCCCCAATTCTTGCCGCCCATCCCAGCAGCAGCAGCGGAAATATGTGTCTAATCTTTAGCATCACGCACCCCGAGACCGACACCTCGCACTTCCTCGACCCATTTCACTGCTGCGACCTTGTCTCCACAGAGTGCAAAGCTGGGTATCACAAGTTCGACTTGCAGGAACCTTTGAGCGATTGCGGGTCTTGCGCGAAGCTCCATGGGCTGGAGTTGGATCCAGATGTTCGGCCTATGACGTACTATCCGCCAATTGAGGATTTTGATCTTGAGTATGTGGGCGATACGGGGTATCAGATTGTTGGACGCGAGAAGGCCGGTCACGAGAATGGGGAGGAGGATGCGAAATTAGAGGCAGAGGCAGAGATAGAGGCGACGGTGAAACTAGAGCCTATGGTTGAAGATGTGTTCAAGATCGAAGAAGAGAAAGAGGAGGGTGGCGAAGTCGAAAAATCGAGAGAGAAGAACGACACCAAACTCGACGACGACGACGACGAAGAAGAAGAATACAGCGGCAGCTTGCGCAGCTGGGGCAGTCTATCGGACGTCGACAGCATTACATCACACTGGCGTCTCGACAACCACATTTCCACAGCACAAGACTGGTACCACTACTACACACATCAGTACGCCGCATTCTCGGCCCCTCACGACAATCATTACCAAGGTGGATGGTTGGTTCCGATGTACGGCAATCAGGGTGAGGTTTTATATGCGCCGCAGGAGTGTCATTGTTGTGTGCAGGCGCCGTCGCAGCCGATTCATCAGGGTGGGCCAATTTTCCCGATGTATGGTCAGCAGGGTCAGGTTGGGTATACGCCGCAGGAGCGTCACGTGGTCCCGACGCCGACTGTGCATCATGGTGGACCGGTGTTCCCGACGTACGGCTTTCAGGATCAGACTTGGTACCCGCCACAGGAGTATCATCGTTCTCTGCAGGTCCCGACACCACCGATCCATCAGGCGGGGCCAGAATATACAGCCTACAACAACCAGGATGCCGGTTTTCACACCCATCACACTCATCATCACGCCGTTCAGATACCTGCATTCTCGACCCCTCCGCCACAGCAAGCAGGACCAGCGTTCTCAGCATACAGAAAACAGGGTCACTCTGTCTATATACAGCATACACTTCACCATACGCCCCCCGCACAGCAACACCCTCTTCCCGCACTCCAGGGACCCACACACCCGCCTCCCGCTCCAAACCACCAAACCGGACCGACTTTTCCAGCAACCGGTAACACGGTTCCATCTTCCTACATGCCGCGTACTCCCCACCTATCTCCACCCAAGAAGCACGCCCGCCACCCATCGTCTCCCCGCAAACAGCAACAAAAACCTGCTTTCTCAACCCCCCAGACGAACCACAAAGGAGTACTGGTAGTAGCACCCTACCATGATACGAACTTGAGGAATCCCGGTTTTTTCGCACCCACACCGCATACACCTCAGCATTCGCCTCCTAAGCACGCATCTCCAAGGAAACATGCATCTACCCCTAAGCCTGCGAGTCCCGTTAAACACGCATCTCCCCAGAAAAATGCGGCTACGACTCAGGACGAATCCCCGAACACGACCCTGCACCGAAATCTCGTCTCTACACAGCTTGCCCAACTCCCGCCCAAACCCTCACCAAACACGAACATCCACCGCACCCTCGTGTCCAATCAACTCGCACAACTGCCGCAGCATATCCGTCAGACCAGCCCAGTGAAGGCTCAGCGTGCTGTGTTTAATACGACGACAACGGGGTTTGCGGATCTTGGATTTCCTGCGGGTCACGGTGGTAGTAGTGCTGGTGGTAGGTTGTTCGCGGGGTTGTACACGCCGCCGCCGCCGCCGCCACCGCAGACCAGCCCGAAACCCCTGGATGCGGGGTTGTATGCGCCGATTGCCTATACATCGCCTGTGAAGGGAAAGGGTGTGGATGTCTTCCAGGAACCGAGTATGCCGGTGAAGACGCAGGGAAAGGCTCAAAAGCAGAAGCAGAGCGGTGTCACGGAGAAAATTCCAATCTTCGACTTTAATACTGTAAGTTTTCCCACTCCTGTTGCCTCTCTTTCCCCATCCTCCATCCTACAAACCCACCCCACTCCACTCCAAACCCACACCACATCCTTCGAAAAACATAAACGCTAACACTACCCACAGTCCTCTACACCCGCAGCGCCAGCCGCTCACCCGCAGCCCAACCCGCAAGACACTACCGACAAAAAGGGAAAAAGACGTCAGCGCGGAAAGAAAAAGGCTCGAGCTGAGCTTCTTGAGAGTAAGGATGACAGCAAGGCCGAGGCCAAGGGGCCGGAGATGTTCGTTTTCGGTGCTGGTGGGGGGAGTGTACAGCGGGGTGAGGGGTCTAAGGAGGTCTAAGCGGGGTTGTGGTGACGTTATTCTTGCACATCTTGGTGTATCTTGGTGTTTGGTCGATTGAATTGAGTTTGCGCAAGAATGGTTGGAAAGACGGTGAAATTGGACTGGAATAATTGGGTAAATACATGTAGAATGTCTTGAGATCTCTTAATAGACCTGATTCACACTCGCTTCTAGAACTTCATGTTAGGCTGAGAAGTGAAATGTATGTTCTGGTGGTGTTTGAGTATATACGTTTGCTGACGAGTTTGTGGTAGGGGGTTCGTGATAGTGTATGCTTGAGCGTTGGTCGTGTGTTTGACGATGTTCTTGGACGAAGACTAGGGATCTAGACTTCTCACTGTCATGGAGGAATTAAATTCGAGTAGGTGATTTTTTAGTTTTAGTGGGTTTGCTTGCTTGGATATTGGGTCGTCCATGGTCCACGGCTTGGGTCTTGGTAATGCGGGGAATGTATCTGGGGTTTCCCCTTTATATGCGGGGCCGGCATCTTAGCCCTATCTCAACACCCAGGAACATATTGAAGGTACCGAAACAAGACTCGCCAAGTATTCCTCTGAAAGTTCATGATTGCAGGGTAGCACATACACTCGCACTCACATAATCATCCCCCACACTCCTCCCTTCCCACACCATCGCGCAAAAAGTCCTGAAAAGCCCAGTTACCACCCCATCAGGAACGAGAACACTCCCAAGAAAACCTATCCGACCATTTCCCCCTCTGAAGCCCCTTCCAGCTCCGAACATGGTGGTTCTCGGCATTTCCAGCAACTGCCATCGATCGTACCATGGTTCTACACTGAGACAACCCCACTACCCGAAAAACATATTTGTGTTTGTAATGGATTAGAACATTGGAATATATAAAAGACCCATCGCCTCGTTGCTCGCTGCGTGTTCACGTACCTGTTATATTCGTCAACGCTCGCGAGCTCGGAGTAAATCTAACTGAATCAAATACACTAACTACCTGGGGAACATTTTACGGAATAGACCAAACGCGACAATAACGACTATGCGTCCCACAACTGTACTCCTCGCCGTTATGGCCACCACCGGCCTCGCCGTCCCCGTAATCTATACGAACGCCGCTGACGAGGTTCTCCCGGACAGTGGTTCATTTCTCCGTAAGTATGCACCCTTCCCCTTCCCCCATACACCCACTCTCCCCACTCCCACTCCCTACTTCCCCGCCTCTAACCCCCCAACCTCCAGCTCCAGCCAACCCCCACTTCCCCTACCCCCTATTACCTCCCCAAACACCACACTAACCTCCATCCTCCTCGCCAAACAGTCTCTCGCGACCACACCTGCAAAACCGAGGAAGAAAAGTATAAGCTCAAGGATTGTCTTCATAAGTGCTCGCCGGCTCTTGTCAAACTTTGGGGTTGTACGCTTTTTTGCTCGCATACTTATTGTTTTCAGTGAGTTGTGGGGGTGTGGGGGAAACGGGTGGAGAGGGGGAGATGAGATGGGGGGAGAGAGGATGAAGAGATAAGATTGGGGGAGGGATATGGAGGGGGGATAAGGGGGAAGAGGAATTGCGCAGTGTGCAGTGTGCAAGAGGGGTGTGATGGGTAGCTTGGGCCGGTGGAGTGGGGTAGTTGCTCGTTCGTTGCGGCACAGAAATCTGATAGTGAGCCGAGCTCTTGTTTTGAACAAGTCTTGCAACAGAAGTTGGAGTTTAAACGATGTTTTACTTAGCTAATGCGCTATCAACTACACAAACGTTGTACCTGTCTAGCTATCCAATGCCGAAATGATGTTTTAGGACTCTCCGCGTTGTCTCCCCTCTCACTATCTTTTACCACATTTCCAGTTTCTACATCCATAGGGCGAACATCCACCTCTTTACAACTCTCCTTTCTTTCAACCACCGCCTACATCTCCTCTGCCTCCACTACCTTCACTTTCATCCTCCTCTTCCTTGCTCCCGACCCAAGTTCTGTATATCCCCTCTGATTAGCAACAACAAGCTTCTCCGTCTCGTCATTCCGAAATTCGCAGCTATAATGCATATGACCAAACACCCAGAGCTTAACCACTGGCGCAGTCCAACACCGCTCTCGCGATAAATCCGTAACAAGATTACTCGACATAGCACTCCCCTCATGCCGTGGATCGTTGGCTCTAGAATCAATTGTCGGGCTGTAATGCGTTGCGATGATGACATGACGATGCGGCTCTTCCTTTTCAATTGTCGCGATCTGAGAGCTCAGCCACGCGAGATCTTTGTGGTGCTCTTTTTGATGCCTGTCCAGAGTCCAGTTTCGGATACCCCGTTCGCTGTTTAAATCAGTTGAGCGGACCGCAATTTCAGTAACCTGGTCCTGTTGAATGGCGGACCGTAACGTGCAGCCTAAGATGTAACGGTGTGAGGAGAGGAGGAGGACTGCGTTACATTGTATAGCTATCGAGGAACTGCAGCTATATATACTTGTGTGTGATCAAAAAGTGTGGTAGCGATAACCGTACCCAACTCGCACCTGAGTAGGTCTTGGCAAGGCCCAAACCGTCACACTCCCCCCCAGCTGCCGTGATCAACAAAGCTGACTAGTGCCAGTGCCGTAGCTCTGTTATTTCTGGTGTGTCAACCTGAGTCGTAAGGAGCTGGCGAACATTTCCAAGCCCTAGCTGCCTCACAAACTCAGCGTGTTTCTGTCTCACGAGGGACTTAGTGAGTCCGTCCGCAGGCATCTCTGCTGTAGGGCACCACTCTACACAGAGCCTTCCTTCCTGTACCTCCTGTCTTACCCACATCTGATGGGTGTCTACATGTCTTAGCTTCGTGTGAAGCCGTTCGTCCTCTTTCTTGACGATCCCGACCGTCTGCTCGTTATCGCAGTAGATCGTTGGTTGAACCTCTAGGTCGAACTTAATATGCTGGAAGACCCGGGTCCACCATTCCATTTCTCCTCCGGTTGCTGATAGAGCTATCAGCTCAGCCTCAGTTGTCGACTTCGTAACTGATCTCTGGCTATCAACTACTGTGGCTAACGTTGTTTTAAAGCAGCCCTTCTTTCGACGGCTCTTAAACTCTTCCGCTGCTACTGCTTTGAATTCCTGTCTAAAAGGGTGCTTCTCTAGGTCTTTCCATCTCTTTGGCGGAGGCGGAAGCTCATCCCTGTGTAGCCGTGATTTCTGTAGCTCTGTTTGCTGGAGTGCTTCGGCGAACGCAACAAAGTACGTGCCGAGCGTCTTCCTCTGCCTTTTCCCCGTTAGAACGTTCGACTCACTAACCTGACCGCTAATCTCCTCACGTCTTGGAGCGTTGTTTAATCGTCGATCTGGTGCCTCTGCTTCGGCTGGTATAGGCTCCCAGCCTCGCGGCATCTCGACTATTTCTGACTCGTCTTTCTCGACTGCTTCCGGTTCGGGCTCGGGCTCGGGCTCAGGCCGAGTCGTCGGTCCTAGAGTGCTCTCAGGTGTTGGCAACGCGTGAGACGTATCTTTGGCTTGCTCTGTTCGAGCGGCTTGCTCGGGCCAGCTCAGGCTACTCCAGTCTTCCTGCGCTGACTGCAGGAGCAATTCGATCTCCTGGTCGGTTTCCTCTAGTGGTTCTGGAACGTCCAGTATCGTCACCACCTCTCTCAGAATCTGTCGATCTGGGTAGACAGGCTCAGTCCCATCACTAGACATAAAGGCGACGTCTCTCGTCCTAAGGACTCGTCCTAATGCTGGCATCCATCTCGTGAGCAGCGGTGGAGCTGACAGTCCTGTAGCTGCAGCAGTCTGTAGCACCGCATTAACGTGTGGCCTATCGCGCGCTGGCTGTCCATCGTCCATACTGATCAAGGACGAGCTCTGGTCCTCAGCCTGCGGCTTCATTTTCTTCTTAAGGCCCCGTTCTGTTGCTCTCAGTGCGTTGGCTATAGAATTCGTCGTAGGACTGTCTCTAAGCTCTGTGAACTTATCCTGAATTGCCTTGTCTGGCTTCCAGCCCTTTGTCCGAACTGATTGGTTAACGTACGGGCAGTTATCGAATTTGTGGTTTTCCCCATCAAGACACCTTGGTGTCCATGGTCCTGTGCGTGTACGAGATCCTTGGCTATTGCCACTACTTGCTACCTCGAGCGTAGCAAAGGTTCCAAGTCCTGACGCGATTGGACGTGTACGTCGGTAGTATGATCTGAACTCCGCGATCAAATCCGCGATTAGCGGAAATTCTTCATTCTTCTGTTCCTTCTTAATAAGGTCTTGTAGCTGAGTAGCTGCCCAGCTATCGTCCAGGCCTCTAATCGACAGGATAAACTCTTCCTGCGCCCTGTTGCCAGTCGTCTCTGGCATCTTGGCCTCCGTAAGGAGTCGGGTGATCGTCACCCACTCGTCGAACCATGTATCTAAGTTTGCGGTCTTTGGTCTCGTGCAGACTGCTGTGTACCGAGCTCTAAGTTGGTGGTTCCTCTCTCCAATCGATGGACAGAGGTGCTTCTTTAGCGTTCTCAGCTGGCTATAGGCGTCTGCGCAATCGAGGATTAGGTCTAGGTGTTTGACGTCAATTGTCTGCACGATCTCTAGGCTCAGGTTTCGGAGAGCCTTCTCCTTCGTGAGCCACCTGGCCTCGTCGCGATCGAATCGTCTAGCCCATGAGTTGTACGTAGCGAGCTCTGTCGCTGTCAAGTCTGGGATATCGATCTGCTCGTCTGTAAGAGGATTTCGAAATCTCCTTACTTCGAGCTCTTTAGGTCTCTCGTCTTCTAGCATCTTCAGCCTCTCTGGCGAAAGATCTGGGTTAACGTACTCCCACAGACCATTCCGGTCTGCGGATATCTTCCTCGTGAACAGCCATTTCGACCAATCGTCTGGCTTTCGGAGGGTAACTGACGCTCTCGTCACCTGCATTTCGTGCTCTTGAGTTGCCATAACTACCTAGCTAAATATGCTCCTAGTGTTGAGTGTCGTCGTATCGACAGCTTGTCTGTTAGCTGTATATCGGGTGAACGCAGCGATTTAATTAAAGGCTTCCGGGCTCATAACTGTAACGGTGTGAGGAGAGGAGGAGGACTGCGTTACATTGTATAGCTATCGAGGAACTGCAGCTATATATACTTGTGTGTGATCAAAAAGTGTGGTAGCGATAACCGTACCCAACTCGCACCTGAGTAGGTCTTGGCAAGGCCCAAACCGTCACATAAGATGGTAATATTCTTATCCACGACGTAGCGATCGCGACAGAGAAACTTGAAGCGACCGCCGAAAGCTTCCTTAGCGTCTTGTTCGAAATCGCGCAGTAATCCGTGCGCCTGCTCGTACGTGGTTTGGTAGGGTTCGTGGTTTCCTAGTATGTAGAATACGCGACATCCTCTGTTCTGCTCTAGCGTGCGGCGTAGGAAGTCGAATAATCTGCAGTTCACGACGAGGCCTATGTCGCCGAGGAGGATTAGGTTGTTGGCTTGGAAATTGAGACGGAAGGAGGTGTATTGTGGCGTCGTTAGTGGTGTTTCTAGATGGAGGTCGGAAACGATCTGGAACTGGGGTGTGAAGAGAGGCATGCTGGAGAAAGTCGTACAGGGTGTTTCCGGATGCTGGTAGAGATTTGTGCCAGCAAATTCAGGCAGCTGGTAGTTACAAACTTGGTTTTCTATTTAACATTGTATGGTTGTACCACGAGAAATCGTAGTTATCGGAATCGGGATTGGAATTGGAACCGACGCATTTGTCTAGCCCTCATTTACTTGCTTCTGTTCTTTCCTATACGTCTTCTTTGCGCTTCTCGAAACTGCTGGGCGATCGTTCAGAAGCATGGACAAGTTGTTCAACACGCTGTGGTATACTGTGCGCATAATCGCGTGCCTAACAGGGAATGCTTTGGCAGATGAGATTGTAAGGGAGCTGGAGACGATGGACCCAAGAAGAACCAGTAGATTCTTCTCAATGAGAAGGTGGTTCATTGAGTGGGGCGTACTCTGGAATCGGCGAGGGTCATCATGACGTGTTTCGGGAAACAAACCCCAATCTTCTTCCATTCTCACCCCCAACGGCTGCTTTTACATTCTCTTGTATATAACGTTTGCAGATACCAGTTATTGGTGGATTGATTAATATCCATCAACTTGGCATAGCTTCGAAATCGCTACCTCGGTTCTCCACTCTGGTCTAAGCGTGCCCTGGTACTGACGTGTTCTGCACATGCCGCAATTCGGATACCGTGAGCCAACATGGCAATCTTTTAAATCCAGAATCTAAGCCCTACGAACGATATTGGAAATTTAAAGAGATGATTCAATGGCATTTTCACGGTTCTTGAGGTCATCGCCGAAGCATCAGTCTCACAAACAAATGATGCACACCCCTGACATGACAGTGGTGAGGTAATTAAGCAAACGTCAGCTAATCAGAAGAAGGGGTTTAGATTACAATGTGCTATTCACGAGGCTAAATATCTGAGTTTGAGTGCGATGGTGGAGGATGCCGCTCGGCGGCCATTCTCGACGCAGGGAGTTTAGGTTCTGACATTTCTTTTCGCCACAGATTACGGCTTGGTATGACACGTTGCATATCTTCGGATAAGCATACTTCACATGTGTCGGCTTCTGATTATGAGAGCGAAGTTAAGAGACAAAACAGCCCATAATTCTGGACATTTTACATTCTGGACACCTACCTCACCACGAAGTTATGTCGACCTTTCTGTCTCAACGACAGTAAATTCGCCATTTAACCACCTTCTTCCCCGCGGAATACGATCGTGGATGCCGACAATGCCGCATTGCGGCATCTCATTCTGCACGGGTAGATTCTGCGATTGATGCAGAAACAAAGTAAGGAAAATTTAGTGTGCTATTCTGTGAACCTCTTTCCTCAACAAACAGCAAGCGCCGGATTCTTGAAGAGACACCTCGTGTTCGCAATTGGTGTAATTGTTATGTCGTAGTGTTGCAGTGAGTGCAATAAATTAAAGTGCAACCGCATGAGGCCGTAGTCAGAGTATATCCTGTGTGTTGTCTGCATACTTGTCAACGAGCGAGCCGGCTCGCTCAGCTCGCTCGGCTTGGACGTTTTGACCAAGCCGAATGAGCTGAGCGCGCAATGCGCGCTTGCAAGCCGAGCGAGCTTAGGGATAGGCGCTCGCTCAGTCAGCTTGCTTAGCTTGGTTAGATGGGGCGGTTGGAAACTTGGGGCTGAAGGACTTGGTGGAGGGGCAATCTCACGATGATTTTTAGGTGTAGTGCGTAAGTTCGAAACCTAGTTATAACATAAAATACACTCTTTTTTGCTATATTTCTAGCAAATAAGCTACTAAATTTCCGGCTAACCGCCTGGCAACAATATTCTCCTTTTGCGACACTTCACTTACTACTTATCACCCACCACACTCATCTATACTCCATCAACGCGTCTCTATTTGCAGCTACTATCTACCTCGCCGTTGCTATAATGCCAGCAAAAAGAACACGCGTTAATGCTCCAGAAATCGCGGCAACTTTATCAACAACTTTATTGAGCCTGCAGGGCTTACGGAGAACGAGGAAGATGAATATGAGGCTTGGAAACGCAGCGAACCGATCGCTGGCGAGGGCGTCGACCCTATAAAATACTGGGTAGAACTCCGCGATCGCCACCCTAGCCTTAGCAAATTTGCTATCGACATGCTATCAATCCCAGGCTCAAGCTGTGAGTGTGAGCGCTTATTCAGCGAGCTGGGTGACCTCCTCGAGCCCCGTCGGCGCAGCATTTCTCCGCAACTTCTAGCAGCAATACAGTGCGATCGACGATGGATAAGAGCTGGATTTGGCAGTGGTGAGGTGCCTGTAAAGGGGGTTATCAGCGATGAGGAGATGGACGCGAAATACGGTGTACATAAGTGGGATATTAGCTGAGAAACTCAACACCAAGGTTTCTATATAACTTTCCTAATCGGGACTGAGCCCATCAAGCCGAGCGAGCTGACAGCCCTGTTTCAGCCAATCCGAGCGAGCCGAGCGAGCTGCTGGCCTCCGCTCAATTGGCTGAGCAAGCCAATTGGCTGAGCTCGCTCAGCTTGCTCATTGACATCTGTGGTTGTCTGTTGTCGTGCTCACGTTTTACGAAGGCAGCAGCAGGGTCTATTTACATGACGTATCACCATCACGTGACACACGTGATCCGCTTCTCCTCATAACCGTCACACGTAGCCCACAAACGAGGAGCGGCAGAAGCGTGCTCCAATGCACGAGCACTCTTACCATGCTATCGGCCTGGTACTCTGCCGTCCCGCATCTCCGCGATAGCCTTACCGCACCCCAGTTTCAGCCCAAGTCTAGTGAATGTATTAAAAATCTGATAGAGGAATACGAACTCGCGGTCTCAAGGTACCTGTAACGGCTCATCTTCGGCGACCTGCAAGTGGGACCGTAAACCTAAACATTCCGACGATATCCGCCACAGCATCATTGATTTCGTTGATACGGGGTACCTAGACAGGCTTGACCGGGACGGGCGGTACGGACGGTATCTCGCACAAAAAGGCCGGGGAAGACGCGGCGAGGAAGTGACAAAGTTCCAGCGAGGCAGGGTCCTCCTTAGTCGCTTTTGTAAATCCTAGTATACATGACATGCAGATCATTGTGTACGGCAGTTCAAATTTCGCCCCGCCTGTTACACTAGGAGGTTTCGGCATACTACATTTCCGTACTACCCAACAGGCAGAGCCCACAAGACACAACCAGAGGCCAGTATACCCCGCAGTCATCTCGACCCCCACCAGACTTGAAGTTTACGCATATGATTATGGCATTCGCTATATATAACTTCGACATCGGATGGAAAAATCAATCAGATGAAGCGGTTAATATTGCCGCTCACGTTCTGTTCAACGAGTCTTCCGTCGTCTTGGATCTGGAAGAACGACCACACCGAGTATTTGTGGCTATCTACCTCTGGTTACTCTGGATATTCGCGTTGCTTGTCTAGACATGCTACCTTTTCTTCCTCGTTTATCTCGTATTGACTACTTGATCAGAGATCTACCAAAGCACTGTTCACATCGCATAACGGCACGCCAGGGGACAAAATTAGACTAAGCGTCATCATGGTCGGCCAAAAAAGTACCGAGGGTATGTTTGGCATACTGGTCTGTTCCATCTCGAACTAATCCTAAATCGTCCTTCCATAGGTAAGAGTGAAAAAGCACGGTAGCCGACAATCCATACACAGCTACCGTTCCTCACCGTGGTTGCAAAGCTTGAAAAGTGACTGCAGGACTGATTGCCCCGGGGTACAAAGTCTTTCCATAAAATCCGGGAGAACGAGGTAGAAAGGCTCTGCAGGGCTTTTGTCAACCCTTGTACATTTGGCCTCAACCAACTTCGCGCGTACTCATGTTGCGACACAGGTTAGTATTGTGCACTACCTAGGTACCGGTAAATGCCGACGCAAAGGATATAAGCCTTGATACAGCGGCGCCGCAATTTTACCCCCTATCACTTAAATGCTGTCAAATACAAGAAAAAAATAGCTACCTCGCGGCTTATGCGTGTGAATACACTAGCGGTGTAAAGAAGAACCAAACCGAACCCCCAAAATTTCTAGGCCTCTTGGCGCCTTACACAAGATATTCCTGACCGGCTCGACGTAAGGCCTCGTCACTGAACAAGGCGATACGATTGCCAAGTCTCGTTACGACGATATGCTTACAGTCACATCCGGGGCACTCCTAGTGCGATCCTAGTATCACGCTACCAGCTGTGGTGTTCGGCAACGGGCCGCTGTCAGGCTAGCGAACGCAAGATGTCGCTGTAAATTGGCAGGATCGAGTTGTGGTCTAAGGATTGCTTTGATCAGTCCAAATGCTAATGCTTAGTTTCGACAGCATGGATCAACTATACTGTGGAGCCATGCTCGCATACGTACTTCTAAGGTCTTTTTTAATTACAACATACCAGCGTCAACTACTGCATTACTAGCATATCCAGGCGGCTTCGTTATTGGGGAAACAACGTACGATACAATATTGGCATAGCATAAAATACGAGTTCGCAAGGTAGAGATAATACGACACAAGATCTAGAGCCATGTGGTGAAAAGACAACACTTCGATTCCATATGCACGAGGATTCAACCGTGTGACGAGGCCACACTTGCGCGTTGTCTCACATGATTGAGGACTGGGATACGAGTCAAAGTACTGATCATTTGTACCACACGATGGCGACGTATTCGATGCAAGAGACTATTATTGCTGCAGTCTTAGAGGCAGCTAGGATTTGTGCCAAGCCACGATTGACTTCATCCGATCGGACTAACTGGCTTCTTCGACCCGAGTGGTTAGTACGGATCACCGAACGCTTCCGAGAGTAGCATCTATCATTTCTCTGCGCCGATCAGTGTCCTGGGCCCCTCTGATATACGTGTCAGTACGGCCGCTTCTATCGTAAGCCGAATTGGGCACGGAAATAAGACGGCTCTGCTCGGTACTTACTCTAACCTGAAACGGTAGTCATGCACAAGTCGGGACTAGCTCTTAAGAACGTCAGAACAGTCAGCGTATATACGGGTAACCTCGAACGCATCCTTCGGACACTATACTACCAGTGCATCTATTCTAACCTAACCTGAACCCCAAGGTATGAACACTCTGTCACCCCAGGAGTTAACAAGGCCTCGAACGCGTTGGCTAGACCCGTCTACCACCTATCAAGCCCAAGAGGCTCTAATCATCTTCAAATTGTCGTTTCTGCTATTCACATGCGCCCAGAATAACCTTGCATGCTCCGAGAAAACGCGCGTTCGACTCGAGTAACCCTGGCACCTTTGTATGTTGGATCTCTGCTATCCGTATTGCTGACTCTGTGTACAGATTCATTGGCATCGTGGTGCCAGTAGATCCACAAAAAGATGTCCAAAGATTTTCGCACGAATGGGACAACCGCGGAGCTCAGCTATGGAGCTGTCGCGTGCGTACAGGACCATTTGCACCATAAGAAATGCATATATATATGGCTACATCTCTCTTTATTTTCTAAATCATCAACCACAATCATCACCATCAATATTTACAGCAACATCAACATCAATCTTTTTCCCAACCAACTCACCCATCCACCTCATTCCATCCACCTCAACCATGAGATATTCAACCATCATCGTCATTCTGTCCGCCGGCATCGCTATGGCTAGCCCTACTCTCGGTTTGGAGAAGAAGAGCCCCAAGCGGGAAAAAAATGCAGCAAGACGGCTTATGCCGAATGCTTGATCACCTGCACAGAAAGCAAAGTCGAATGTGATAAGTTATGCTGCAAGATAAGTTACTATAGAACACAGATAATCTAAATTAATGGAAGGTTAATTTCAACTAGGAAGCCGCTTGCTGCTGAGCGGAGATGCCGACGCTGGGGCTGGGAATGTGTCAATCTATGGAAACAACCACGTCTACTCGAACATCACAACAGCGCCATCATATGCTACACACGAGGGAGCGCACTGTTATTTTTTTCGATTCAAAAATTCAGCAGAATGTCTGTTATGGTCGGTTGGATTCAAGGGCTGAGAGTTCTCTGTACATAGTGATAGTTTCAGTTTCAACTACTCCCTGCAGCTTTTACCTCGATTTATGATACTTTGTGTGACTTCACATACTACCCATATCACACATCACATCTTGCATAGTCATAGTCATAATCGCCAAATTTCAAAAGAAGTGTATTGCAGGATCTAAGTAGCAAACCTAGCGTCTTCATGCCTTCCACAACCCTATTCCAGAATCAGAACAAAGAAGCAGCGGCAATCATGAATACCATCTCCCAGAATACGAAAACGCCTTTTATCCCCAGTTTTCAAAATACATAAGAATCTATTGGAACTCTCAACACACTCATGACAATAAGTGCATTATTATTTTTTTTCATTTTTCTAGAAACGCCGCTTCCTTGGCTCCCCAATATCGCGCATCTTGTACTCATATTACGGCAGTCCAGCAATTATCCCTCTTCGATGATGCATCGAATTTTACAACCTTTGCGCGGCCAAAACGTAAAAATCATCTTCCATAAATAATCTCCAGTCTTACACTGCTATTCCAATCAACAATACCGCGTCGTTGTCGTTGTTGTAAAAAGCTGCTGCTTCCAAAACATCGATACCACTCATTGGCCAATCCAAAAATTATTCCAGCGGTGTCCATTTGCAATGCTGAGTTCTGGGTCCTGTGGCATCCCGGGGACCTGCAGGGGCCAGTCGTACGGATTGCCATTATCCCATTCCCGCTCTGGCTGGCCCATGAAACCATCGTCCAAGGTCAACCTGGTGCAATGCTGCCGTAGATAGGCGACGCAATCCACATTTTCTATACAATGGCTGCGCACGCCATTCTCGGCCGTCCAGATGAACTCGTGGGCCCACCTGAGCTGGTCGACCGAGAGAATAGGCCCCTTGTCTTCCGGCATATCGTCTTCGCCAAAGAAGTCTGCGAAAAAGGGATCGGTGGGAACGATCTCGGGGTCTTCTGGCATAATGGGGCTGATCCATTCTTCCGTGGCTTCGATTTGAGCGGCGTGGCCGAGGAGGTTGTGTTGGGAGTCGTAGAGGTCGTTGATGGCGGCTGGGATGCCCAGTCTGTCGAGGCTGGAGAGCGGGGAGAGAATGTTAGGTTTGGGCGGGTCGTGGTTGAGGGGGTTGGCGCCGATGCGGTTGGAGTGCGAGGGCAGGGAGCGTCGGCTAACGGGCAGCGGGCAGGGGGCGCCAAACCATTGGAGACAGGCGGCTTGGTCGAGGCAATCCTTTTGGAACCAGCTACGTGAGTATCTGTCGAACTTGGGTTCGTCTTTGCGGCGTCTGAGGCGGTGGAGGGTGGAGAAGTGCTTGAGGAGTTTGGACCCGGCGGAGGAGGCAGTGTTCGCCGAGGGCGAGGTGGTGGTGGTGGAACTAGAGCTGCTGGTGGTGCTGGTGGTGCTGGTACTGGTGGTGCTCATGCTGGCAGTGTTGGTGCTCATGGTGGTGGTGCTCACGGCGGTGGGTGTCCACTCAACTGGGAGGATGCCAGTGAGGATAAGAGCCAGCGCGGCATCCACGGTATGTGTAGGAGCTGATAGACTAGAAGCGGTAGAGGAGGATAACAGAAAGCTATACTCCGCAGGAAGGACACCAGGGTAGAGCAAGGCGAGTGCTTCATCCAAGGTGCTGGGAGGAGTAACAGACGTGGGTAGGTCACGCTTTTTACCCCATCTGTCCTCGCTGTCGATTGAGTATTCTAGATCAAACAAGTGCGGGTCACTCGGTGGTGTGGGGAAGACGACTGGATTCGGTTTGTCTCCATCAGGCTTCTTCGGGGCCACCTGAGACTCTGGGAATACCCCGTACTCCTTTCTCAAAGTGTCCAGTTCAACGCGCGTATTAATCCAATCCTGTGTGGTTTTAACGAGCAACTCGGTCAGCTTCGCCTTTGCTACTTCGTAGACCCGAACCGTGTCATCAAGTTGAAGTCTGGTCAGTTCCACGAGGTTTTTATCGAGCTTGTGTCTCTCAATACCTTCTTCCAGGATTGGCTTGCATTTTTTGACCTCGAACGTTTCGTCTCCGACGACACGATGGGGATGAATAGAAGGAATATCTCTAGCTCCGAGGGTAGTCGTGCTGGTAACAGTCGTGCTAGTAGTGTGCGTGCCCGTAATGACAGTGAACACGTTCAAAACCTTGTCGGGCAGGCTCATAAGGTCTGTAGGCCACGTCGTAACAGTCGGGGCGAAGCTGGCGAAGTCGGGCATGGTGAGGGGGGGGTCTATAGTTTGTTTAGGCTGAAGAGAATGTTAGTTGAGAGCTTGAATACGGATAGAGGCTATATACCTCAGCGGAGGCGGTAATAGCCTGGAGGATGGCGCCCATGGCGATGAAGACGGAGAAAGACATCTTGTCTTGATTTGTTAGCTAACGAGGGCGTGAGTGGTGTTGAAAGGGGATTTACTGGTATAGATCTATCTTGTGATCTTGGAAGTGGGAGGAGTTGATCGTGGGGGGGGGGGGGGTGCTGCTTTATATACTGCAGGTGGGCATGCTCATTATTATCATCGCCTTTCAGAGAGGTGTCCCCTATCGTCTCCTGGATCCTTTAGGTGTAATATTTTAATTATTATATTTGGGAGAGGTACCCCCTATCGCATCTTGGATCTTTTAGGTGTATTATTGTAATTATTATGTTTGCTTGGTAATGTTTGTGAACCCTGAGCAAAATCATTGAAAAAATCAGTGGTAACTAGCTGAAAGCGAAAAGGGTTCCGTATATGATGCGCCAAATACACCATCCAAAGTTACTAAGCACCCCCGTACGATATAGCCAGCTACAAAATAGCAGGTATAATGTACTCTTCAATTTCTGCTTGACCAAGCAAATCATCCAGAATTTCCTGAGCATCGCGGAAAATGAAGCTTACATGGCCCTCTCCTTCCTTCAAGCGCAGCACACTTCCTGGCATAAAGTCTTTGGCCTGTTGCGCCATGGTCGCCGGACAATTCCTATCATCCAAGCCATGCCACAACGTAAGTGGAACACCCTGATCCCCAACGCTCAACTGCGCAAGACTAAAGCCCCAGTCGCTACCATGCAGTTTGGCCTCCCAGCTCGCGCCTTCGCTGCCCTGTTGGAATGATTCCCTGGTCATGGCTACAAAAGTGGGCCAATTCTGTGGGCCCTTTATAACCTTCTGGTCGCCAGGGTGTCCATCGTCAATTTCCCGCGACATGATTGCTTCGAGAAGTTTGGGGTCGTTATCACGACTTGCTTTGCCCATCATGCTATCTAGTAATGTCGCCGTCAAGCCCGGCGTCCACGGCGCAACCCACAGGATGATGCGCGATGACAACATTGTGCGCGCGCTGCCGAATTCAGCTGGGTACAGTCCGCTGACCACAGTCGCACCCAGAAGACGGTCCTTGGCAATCTTCTTCACGCACGCCAGCACGTAGGGCGCGCCTCCGGATAGGCCGAGGATGTAGAATTGGTGGATTTTGAGATGCTCCGTCAGCGCCAGCACGTCGCTGGGGAAGTCGAGAATGCGGCGCTTGACTTGGAAACCGGAGAGCCCGCTGCCTGGTCGGTCGGGCGCAATGAGGCGGACGTTGCGGGTCGCGCAGCTCGAGTGCCATAGCTTGCCTTCGTACCGTGACGAGGGGAAGCCGTGGAGGTAGACGATTGTCTGCCGCGGCATGGGACTGCCATATATCGCGTATGAAAGAGTACGGCCGTCTTCCAGTTGCATGCTTTCATTTTCTTGATACATTGTCGCAATTGCAGTGGGGCAGTGTACGGAACGGATCGTGGCCTGAAGCTGCAAGCCTTAACTTAGTAGGCCTGGAGGCATAAGGCCACCTTACCCTCCTCGGCAGGCTCGACAGCTGACATGCTGAGGCTGAATGCTCTCAGCGATACACGGGAGATCGTCGATACATGAGTTGCGCAAGGCGGGGAAGCATGCATGTGGTTAGGTTTGTCTGCCAAGTCTAGAGGTGCGCTACGACTGGGACGGGCAAGGCGTCGTCGGCATCTCAACTTCACATGCATCGAAGATGTTGTATTCTGCTTATATTGAGCATTTGTTAATTAGACATGGGCATCATCTCCGGGTTCAGCGGCTCTCTTCCTCCCCTATCATGGCCAAACTATCATCACGACCCTACGATGCCACTATGAGCGATTCGGATTATTGATGTGACATAACGATGCCGCTCACCAATCACTTCCCTCAACTCAAGCGCCATTGCTCTTGGTGTTCTCCTTGGTCAAGATACCAGCCTCAACACACGCCTTGTGATTATCGATCAGCGCACGCTGCGATTTCTCCAACATGCTCCTCAAGCTCTTGATCTTGGGGTCCTGCGCAAAGCCCAAGCCATCCAGAAACTTCAACGTAGCAGATGCAGTAGTCAAGTGAACCTTGGTGCAAAAGTCGAGCATGGACGCCAGTTCATCAGTCGTCTGCTTGTGCTCCGTCGTTTGACGCTCGGCTTCTTGGTCGGCGGCTAGAGTCATGTCGCGGATGACTAGCATGGGGGAGATGCTGGCGAAGTCGCGGTAGCCGGGCAGGTTGTCTTGCATGCGGGCTTCGTAGAGGCGGTCTAGCGCGAGGGACATGTCGTAGTAGCCTTCGAAACGGGGGGTGATCATCTTTTGTACGTTAGTCTTGTCTCTCACGTTCTAGCATGCGTTGCTACTTACCGCAAGCAACTCCTCGCGGGAAGCACGGTTTTCGCCGTTCTTTGCAAGCTTGTCGACATCGCTAGAGATGATGTAGTCGATGTAGTCGCGGTCAATCTAAGATTGGTCAGTCGTGTCGTTCAGAATGCGCGTTGTTACTTACGGCTTTGCGCTCTGCCAGACGCCTCAGCTCCTCGGCTTGTTTCTGATCCTCTGTCTTGTTGTTGCTTTCTGTAACAGACTGCATGAGGTCAGGGAACTGCTTCGTGTACTGCCGCAAAGACCAGGCTCGAGGAGTGTTCAGCATCTTGACGTTGACGGTGTAGTAGGGTGAGCACCAAGATCGAGAGACAAAAATCTCAGGGCGAAGTAAAGTGGTGTCGCGTTGACGATAAAGTTGCGGTGCGCAAAAGATCTCTCCATTGGTAAGCCAACTCCAGGTAACTACGCTAGCGGCCTTCACCACGTCTTTCACTTCTCTCCTCTACTCCACCGACAACCTCCACGCGCACCTCCTCCACTCCCCCATCTACACACCCACATACAACACCTTTCGCAACAACGCCCTAATAAACCCCTCCTCCTTGGCCTTGTTCTTCGGAAAAATATGATTCGGCACCGTAAACGCCCTAAACTGCGCAAAACTCTTAAACCGAATAACCTCGACTCCCAAATTCCGATGATCAATCAAATTCACCAGGTTAACCAGGACTTTCGGACTGCCTAGCACCTACACAGAAACACAATGTCGTTAGCCACCATAAAATCACAACAACAGGGTCGGTAACTGAGTGGTAGAATGCAGGACTGCAGTGGTTATCAGCCACCCCACACCCCCCCCTCTCCCCCATGAAAAAAAAGATTCACACTCACAGTCCTACATCCCCTAATACTCCCCGGCACCTCCTCCTCCACAATACCCACCTCTCGACACAACTCCTGCCAAGCAGCCAACTTATTCGTATCCGTCCCAAACGCATGACCAAACTCTTCTTCTTGGCATTCAGTCCAGCGACGTCGGCGTAGTTTGGGGCCCCAGTTGCGTTGGGCGGCGAGGCGTGTGAAGTTTGAGAGGAGGCCTGCGGTGGGGTCATAGACGAAGGGGTGGAATTGGCGGAACCAGATGCCTGCTTGGGGGTTGTTGCTGTTGTTGGGCTGGGGGTGCGGAGGGGGAGGGGGTGCTGGTGCTGGGTCTGTGGAGGGGGTGTTAGTTTGTGTGTATTTGGGGGTGGAACGGGATGGGGTGGAAGGGGAGGGGACGCACGAGCACGGGTGTTGTTCTTCTTACGAGTCATGTTGTCTTGTCCTGTCTTGTCTTGTCCTGTCTTGTCTTGTCCTGTCTTGTCTTGTCCTGTCTTGTCTTGTCCTGTCTTGTCTTGTCTTGCGTCGTTTGTTCAGCCGATACTACTACAAACTAAACCCGTACCCAACACCCATATATATACCATACAAACAAACCCCCGCACACCCCAGTCATAGCCACAGCCACACAAACTACGACCACGCCGTATCCTTCGCTGCCTAGACGTGGGGGCCCCTTCATGCAATGCAACTACCCGCCGCGCAGTATCCCTCCCGCAGCCACTGAGAGCATGAAATGTGGTTCTGCATTCAACGCCGCAGCGGCAAAGTGCTTGTACTTAGTTTGTTACCCAGGCATCATCAGGCTGAAACGGGGCTGTGGGATGGGGGTATTGTGGAGCGGGTGTGGCTGAGGTGGTGCTGTGCCGCATAGATGCATAGAGGCGTGGGTGTGTCACGAGAAAAAGAATGAGGGGTTTAGCTTTATGATTGGTATTTGCTAGGTAGAAACGCTATCGTTCTGTGACCTAACCAGGCAGCAGTATCTGATTGCGGCGGGAGTGTGGTGGTTGTATCGCGTCGAAAGTCGAGCGCTTAACCAGTGATCCCTCGCTGCACGTGTATCCAGCCTTGTGTTCCCAACACCAATCTAGTATCCTCCAGGAATCCTAAATTTTCTGATGATATGCCAAAATTCAGAGGGATGAGATCTTTCCAAGATCCATCCTACCTGGCTACCGTAGTGTACTCCTACTGAGTAGCATCGCCATTGAGTCTCTTAAGAAAGATCTTCTTCTGCTCGTCTTTCTTCGCCTTTTCAAGCGGGTATCTGTTGCCATTCTCCATGGTGTGGTTGCGAAACTCTTCAAACGTCTCGAATGGAATGTGGGGCTTGCCCGTATCTTTTGCGTTCTCAACCTTGTAAATGTTGACGAGGATGCTGTCCAAGGCCTGTACTCATTAGCTATTTCACTTTTATTGTTTATACAGGTTGACTTACATTCATGCACTTCGGGATGCTGTCAGGTACAGGGTTGATGCTGCAGAGGCGGCATAACAACTGCCAACTCTCGAGGCTGCTCGCGTCGTCGGAGTGCCCATCGAATTCTGGGTCGAACAGCAGGATACGGTATTTCTTGCGATCTTCTTTGTCCCACTTGCAGCGCTGAGCAAGACGACTGAACTCTTCGCTGAAACTTTTATCAGACTCGGGGGTGAAGCCTTTGAAGTGCCGCCAGCGCGCGAGGTTCTTCGGTGAGCGGGACTTCTTGGATGATGTAGATGATGCGTTCTGTGGGTTTGCCTTCTTTTTGTTCGATGCAGGCGGAGTTTTACCCTTCTTGGACGATCCGGAGGATGGGTTCTGAGGGTTTGCCTTTTTGTTTGATCCAGGCGGAGTTGCACCCTTCTTAGACGACTTTGAAGATTCCTTCTGTGGTTCAGCCTTCTTCTTATCTTGTTCCGGTCTATTCTTAGCCTTCCCAGAACCTGATGATGATGCCTTCTGTGGTGTAGCCTTCTTCTTGCTTGACTCCAACTGAGCTTTACCCTTCGCAGAACCCATCGAAGATGCTTTCTCTGCAGGTTTCTGGCTCTTCACATCCGGCGCCGCACCAATGTTCCTGTCAACAACTGTCGAGTACGACTGAAAGCCAACACGTCTGCCATGAGACTCATTGGATGCACCAGCGGAGTTTGTACGAATGAAGCGGTCGATCAAACTATTTCCGCTCCTGGGATAACGAAGAACGAGCGCCAGATGAACTGGATGAGATGCTATCTTGAGTAGCATGTTGCCGTTGCTGTTGTGGGTTTGGTGTTGCAGTTGACAGGGCGCAGCGTGAAGTATTTCCCCGATGGAGATTATGTGCAATCGCTCAACACCAGTTTAATGACCAGCGCGGGGTATCTAATTTGAAAATAGTGGGCCTCCACATAGTTTCCTAAACGGTAGATTGTTGAGTGTGGCGCTTTGTCTTGTACGGGAAGTGTGATATCACTGTTTGCCATCTTGCGCGTGAAGATGCCGTGTATGTGCGGGTGGAGGAAGGTGGGTAGATTAGCTGTGAAGTAAAGTGTTTGGTGTCCTTGAATCTGGGTTGTGCTGGAAATATGTGAGCGGTGAGCGGTGAGTAACAAGACATGCGAAGTAAGAGACGTCAAAACGGGATAGGCGAGTCTGAAATCTCACTCTATGCAAACCTAGACCTAGATCCAGCACTCACACATTATCCAGCCGTTGGAAAAAGAGTAGGATTAAATCTCTAACCTACCGCATTTACCGAAACGCAAAAACCGAAAAAAGGGACGGGGGGAGAAGAATCTCGACGAGCGGTGTAGTAAACGGCATACATGTCCCTACTACAACAAGTGCGAGAGAAGTAGATTAGATCATCCTAAATCAATCATCCCTACAGCTCGATCTCACCCCCCATTCACCCACCCTTACCAAAAACGCCCCAACCCCAAACACCACCACCCTACAACACCGACAACAACGGCGCCATGAACCCGCCCCCAGCTTTAGCGCACTCCCTCGGAAACGTCCCATTCTTACGAACGTAGCTGCGAAGCGCATTGCGCGTCTTATACGTTACGATGGGGTAGATGGGGTTACGCTTGTGATTGACGACGGAGTAGAGGTTGACTTTGAGGGGTTTGAGTGCCTGTTGCATGCGTTATTAGCCAAAAGAACCCACCTTACTTACACTACTCTGCCCCAAAACCTCTTGTAAATAAGAGCCCGGGGGAATTTTCAAAGTTCACTCACATTCTTACACTGCTTAATCGTACGAAAATCCTCTTTAAACCCCATATCCTCGCACAACTGCCTCCACTGCGCAAGCTTATCGCCATTAGCGTTCCACCAAAACGACACTTCAGACGTGAGTAAGCTGCGTAGCTGCGCGTGTCTATCCTTGTTGCTCACCCTTGTGTGGCGGCGAGGCGTTTGAATTCCGCCTTGAAGGTTGCGCTGGCGTCTGGGGTGAAGTTGGGCCAAGCATTCCAGGCTGGGTTTAGTAGGGAAGGTGAGGCGGCGGATGCCGCAGCGGGAACATCCGAGGTACGACGTGTCCTCTGGCGGATACACAGGTTGAGGGTTTGAGCTACGCCGTCACGGCCGCTATTGTTGCTGTTGTTGTTTTCGGCGGAAAGGGATACGCCTTCGCCGTAGCCGACACCGGTTTCTGCGCCCGAGAACTCTTCTAGGGACTGCACGGTGGCGTTTGAGAGGACTGTGTTGATCGAGACTATGCTGTCGATTGAACTACAGCGAGATCTAGAGTTGATGGCGTTGAGGGATATCCCGGGGATGATTGCGGGTTCTGAGCGTTCGCTGTTTAGCGACCGGACATCCGCCAACGAGTCGTCGGAAGCTGAGATGACCGAGTACGAGGATGCCCGCGACAACGTGAGCGCGCCTAAATCCTCTGCTAGATCGTCTGCATATGAAATAGTAGTAGTAGCCTTAGTCTTAGTAGAAGCCTTTGTCTTTTTTGTTGCTGTTGAACCTATTTCCAATTATTAGCTTCGTTGGTACATGCCACGCATCCCGCATTCCAACGCCGCGCCTCGCAGCAACAACGCAACGCAGCGCAAAATCAACAAGAAAACTCACTGTTTCCATATGGATACACCTCTGAGAAACACATCTTCCAGTGCCGACACCACTCCTCATCACCACCAGCCCACCCCTTCGCCTTTGCCAAGCGCGCGAACTCAGCCTTGGGCGAACCTACCCCAACAACGTGACCAACATCGCTCGCCCAAGCCTGCAGCAGCTGCCTCTGCACATCGTCCGTCATGACTGCTACTGCAAAAGAAGAAGAACAAAAGTCGGTGGGGGGGTTCAGCTTTCCGGTCGACGACGACGTGGCCGTAAGCTGAAGTGGTGATGGTGGTGGTGGCAATCAGCCGTGCAGTCCGGGAAAAGGAAATCCAAAACCTGGAGAAGCCGAACTTCTGTTTTTCTAGCAAGACGTGGGGAGGGAGACGACGTGGGGAAAAAGAATGTTGGCGCCAGGGGGGAGGGAACGCGTAAGGATGTTATAAGATACCGGTGTGCGTGTGTGTGTGTTGTTGGAGCGGTGGAGTGGGAGGGGCTGGCGCGGAACCGTGTTTATGCGCGCTCACACGTGGTTGCGGAACACTCAAGCGGTCCAAAGCGGTTAGCGCGTGAGGCCAAACTATGGTACATATATGTTGGATAATGCGGTTTCCTGGTTGCTACACTGTACTTTGCCATGCAGGGTTCCATTCGCACGCACACAAATCTCACGCCGAGCAAGAAAGACCCCAACTTTGGACAATGAATCCGTACGAGGGTGGATTTCTGAAGTAGAGTCTATTCTCATAAAGCGCTATTTGCTTACTGTTTTACTGCAGTGCCAAGTGTACGACAGGGCAGAAACGCTTTCTGGGATCTACCTGGGTTGTCGCATTGCAAGTTGCAATGAGGCTTGGATTTTTCGCAAATGCATCCTTGCTAGGGAGCTTGGAGCTGACTGTACATCAAGGTTCATACAGAGACATCCACGCGTCTCCCCTTTTCATCGGTCGAGTTCTGTACCTGCAACCTACTATCAGCTAAGGTTCAGACTTTCGATATCGCATGCAGAGCATTACCTCGCGTATTTGCGTCTTCCTGGGCTCTTTGGATGCCTGCGTTACGCCTCGCTTGCGCTTGTTGGTGCCTGCAGCTTTGTCCTCCTCATCACACACGCTTGGAGTGGTTTGTGCGTCAGCGGGCTGTTCGCCTTCAAGTGCGGCTTGGAGTCTTCTAGCAGCCGCACGAGTTCGTCCGAGGCGATCGACGATTGCCAAAGGCTTCCTAGTGACAGGCGCAGAGATGAGCTTTGCGGTGGAAGCTTGATCGTAATAGTCGTTCTTGTCGTTGTGGTCATTCTCGTCTCCATATTCGAATTCGCTGTTGTCTTCGTCTCCAGCATCGTTATCGTCTCCAGCGTCTTTCTCGTCGTCCTCTTCTCCTTCAGCTTCGTGCTCGTCTCCCTCTTCCAATGCGCTCTCTTCCTCACCAGCGTCGTGCTTCTCTTCCTCTCCAGTCTCAACGTCATCTTCTCCACTCGCCCCATCACCCTCTTCTCCATCACTCAAATCATCCTCCAGTTCCGCATCCTCAAACACCTTGAAGAACTCTGGAGTATGAAAAACATTCTCCGTCCCATTCTCGGCCTCCTTACGCGCGCGAGCCAAAGTACTAGGCATGAGGATAATCGGAAAGCCCTTTGGCTGCTTAAGCTTCAGATCATCCTTGCGCAGGCTCCTCTTCGGCGCTGCGCTATTCCCAAGAACCGTAGGCATCTTCGGCGATGCGCCGTCCCCAGAAACCTCAGGCATCTCGACAATCCTTTGTAAAATGTAAGCTTGCGATGCCTGTGTGCCTGTTGCATGCTTACCTGGAACCACCGCTTGGGGCTACGGGGTCAGACGACATTGCAGCACCAGAGTCAATGCGCGTCGCGTCGTCCTTTAATAGGCGTTTTCGAACCATGTTGTCGTTGTAGTAGGGGTTGGGGTTGTGGGGGGCGAACCGAGTTTGCGAGGCAAAGAGTTTTGTTGCTGGTGGTGTGTGGGTGGGTAGAACACTGGTTGGGAGTCAGGGTTATATGACGAATTATTTCAGGCGCGTGTGTATGGGCGTTTTCAGGACGCGTAGCGCGTTGAAATGCGGGGGTGGAGGTTAGAATGGATTTTCGTGGTGAAAGTGAAGGTAGTCTCGGATATGCGGATAACCGCCCGACGTCATATTGTGCACCCGTATCGCATCTCTCAGCTTGTTTTCATCGTGATTAGGGTAGGTAATATAGAATTAAAGATTAGTCTTTCAGTCGTAATAACGCTCCCAATACCTTGCATGGCTCTGTGTGTCCTACTTTGCCACCAGCTTCTCCAAGGCACCCAAGGCAATCCAATTTGCAGGATTCGCACTTTGTCCCGCCGTGTCCGTCATTCTTTTGTGAATGATTGCAAAAACTTCACTCTTTCTCAAATCTGCCTTGCTCCGATTCTTATACAGCTCACCAAAGTGCGCTGGTCCAAGCTTTGCAAAGAACCAACCCACACTGCACGTCTCGACCAACTTATGTATACACACGTCTTCTGCCCAGTAATGCTTCTGTCCGCTCTCGATGGGTTGCAGCATGCTGCGCTGGATGACTCCCGAAGCAATGCGCGTCTGGGGCGCAACGATGGCGTTCGGTATGCGGAAGTCGGAGATTGCTTGCTGAGATTCGACAGAGAGCCCCAGGATGTCAAGTGCAGCCATGGTTGGATTTCTGTCATTCCTTCCCGTTATTTAATCAGTCTTCCTCCATTCGGGATCTCGAGAGAGAGCTTGGAGGATGTCTGTCCATATTTCCGTGCACTGCCGCTTGAACTTCTTCCAGTCAAAGTACAGGTCAACCTGGTCAGCATTAAGCTAATTTATAAGGGCGCTGAGCACTTCCACTGGACGTGGATCATTGGACAAACTTTGCAATTGCTGCAAGTTGGAGAGATTGAAGTTCTTCGGCATGTTCATCTGCCGAATAAATTGCTTCTGATTTCTCTCATTGTTCATACCTTGTATGATAGATCGTACGACGGTATCAGTTGATTCGTTGATATTGCTGTCCCTAGGTAGACCGGTTTGGTTGAGTCGCTGATACAGTGTAGTTATCAAAAAAGAGTTCGGCCTCTCGAAGTTTCGAATGTTGTTGAGATTCGGCTTGTTTCCACGACCATTTCTGGCGCTGTTAACAGCAGAGCTACCCCCCACTAGGAAAAAGGTTTTCTCTATAGTTCCCAAGGTTTCCGGTTTACCGCAAAATATCCTTTTCGGATCTTGGCGGTAAAGGGCAAATTCCATGTCGAGCCAGGTTGGTGTGGAAGAATCTAGGATCCGAGCGGCTTTATAGATATACGCCAGTGCAAACATGTCCCTCTCTTTGTTTTCTCGATCGATTTGATCCACAGTGACTTCAGCGTAGACTCGATATTTCATTAGTCCACAGATTATAGGCTGACGCTTGTAGAAAAAGAATTCCTCCGTCACCACACGAGCCAAAATCGAGTTTTCCATCACTCTTGGTTCCGAGCTGAGTGTCTTGTACCATGGGTCTCGTTGACAGGCTCGGTAGATGGAATCTCTTAGCATCTCCAACGTCTCCAACATCTCTTCGTTGCCCGCTGTCTCGGAAGCCCCATTTGTGAATGGTCGCTGGAGTGGTTGGTCTCTACTGGTATAGTAAGGTGCACACTCGCATAATTCACTGAAAGGTCTGCTCATGGAATTTCCGAGGAATTTTCCGATATCTAACAGGACCTGGACGCCAAAGGTCACCCAGATAGGTATCGTTTTGCTCCGGATAACATATTCCATACCGCGTGTGACCTCGTCATATGTCCACTGGTCAGAGACGTAAGTCATGAAGCTTAACCGATATGTCAAAGCCAATTCGATAGTTTGGCCTAAACCTTCGAGTAATGGGTCCGTACCGAGTTTCCGTAGCGAAATCTCTGGGTACATTTCGCCTCTTTTGATGTGATAAGGAAAACTCTTAAGGCTCGTAAACACTGGGTAAAAAGTAAAGTCGCACCCTGCCATGCTAAAGCCCAGGGTACTACCTGAGGAGGTGTTTACAAAGTCTTCTATCTCAGACGAGGTGGCTGTGGCGAAAGGTGCGTAGTTTGCGCAGTAACGTAGACTCCGCAACAATCAATTCAATCCGGTCACTCTCCTAGACCCACTTACCTATCTAGGTAGGGCTTAAACTCCTATAGGTAACTACTAGGCTTAAAGCGGTAATCAATCAATCCAATCTGAACCTTCTAGGACCCACTTAATTGATTGTTGCGGACTGTGGTAACGAAGAGCGGGCAGTGTCCAGACTGGAAATAAGTTTGTGGGGAACCGTGCCGGGCGCTGCAATGTAGTTTCGAATGCTTGCTCAACCTGCCTGACAAGGTCGATTGCAGTGTTTGTCATGAGAGACGAGACTATAAGGTCCAGGGTTCCTTTCTTGTAGTCTTCCCATATGTTGTTCAGGAGTCCGCGTATGTCTTGAAGTTCTTTGAGAAGAAGTTCGATGGCGAAGAAGAACTCTTCTTCAATCTCAGCTTGGGATCTCTCAATCACAACCTTGGGTGCGGCTGGCGATTTCTTGCTCGCATTATTAGTGTCATCTGTCTGTGAAGATTCTTCGACAGTGAGATAGGAAAAGCGGTTCGCAAATTGCTTAGCTTCTGATGCGGTTTTTTCCGTCCTAGGTATACCCTAAAGAACCTGTGCGTTCAGGGGTTGAGTGGGGGCAAAAGGCCAGAGAATATCAAAAGCATCCTTAAGGATATTGATAAAGTACTGATGTCTGACGTCACTTGTCCCATCGCCGTTAGCAGTAGTAGCCCCTCCAGATACAGCTTCACGCGCCTCGATAGCGCAGCTGAATCTTTTTTTCAAATGACTTGGTATCTCGAGAGAGGCTCGACTTTTGGTAATGGCTTTTGCCATAGGTATGAAGTCAGATATTTGGACGAGGTAAGATCGTCTCTTGTCTTTTGGTCTCGTCGGGCGCGGCCCTGGGCGAACAGAGAGACCGCATTTTCTTGCGCTATCAGCGAGCCAGGGCTGCTATGTGTTCGGTATCATCTGGTATGTGTCAATTTTATTGTCGCATGGCAGATACCCTAGCATGGCATATCAGAATACAAGAGGAGGATATAGGCACTGAAGCCTACGTATAAGCTACAGGGTCCCTATACTTCTATGAATATCCGGTGTAGTCATCTTGCAGTGCTGTTGGAGGGCCGCCTTTAGGTGAAGTTTGGATCAGCTCACCTTTATGCTGCCGATAAGCAATCTTCACCTCATTAGAGTGTAAATTCGCCATTGCAACGAGGGTATCCGTCCGAACCAAGCTCTTATGAATACAAGGCTTCGAAATGGATGGCGAAGTTTTATGCGGGTGAAGGTGTGTTGAAAGTCGTTGGCGTGAAGACATGATCTAGGAAGAGGTGGGGACGTACAGTAGGGACCCCGTCCGGATCGGGCGAATGCCCCGCAACCGCAACAGCGGTTTAGTCCACCCTTTGGCCCACCAAACTCAACCCGACCCCCATCATCGCGCCCTAAACCCACCAATCTTTCCATGTCCTCAACATCGCAAAACTCATCGTTGCCGTATGGCCTCCCGCCTTCTCTTCCAACCTCTTTCCCCAGCGCAGAGCCTACACCAACTCCGCAACCCGCCCTCTTTGCGGACATCATAACCACCCCTGTAGTTGCCAGGGATGCGCATCCCGTTGCGCAGATGCAGAGAAAACACCTACTGTAGTTGTCACAGGACAGATATATTATATCGCCGCTAAATTATCTACGCGTAACTTTTACTAATTCATGTGATCAGATCAACCACATCAGGGGTAGTAGTAAACCGTGGATATCAATTCCAACATGACACAGACCAACATTGTAAACAAGTCACAGAACCTTCATGCGAAAACTCAAAGAGGGAGATAAGATACGGAGTAATTTTTTTAAATTACACAACACCAGTATGCGGCTGGCTGTCCAGCTATATAAGTACTAACAGTTTTTGTGAGCAATTTTACACTAAACACAAATTCTCTTTTCAGCCCATGCTGCTGGTGCGTGTAATATCATGACAGGTAATCTCTGTCTATTCAATCAAGCTTTGAAAGCAAAAGCGTTTCTCTTAGCAGCAGCGGCGGCAGCAGGTGCAGGGGCGGCGGCGGCGGGTGCAGCAGCCGGAGCGGCAGCCTTGCCCTTGCCCTTGCCCTTGCCCTTTGGAGAGCGGGTCTCGATATCGATAGAGCGTGCAGCTGCAGGGGCAGCGTTTTCAACAGGGGCAGCGGGTGCAGCAGCCGGGGCAGCTGGAGCGGCAGCCTTGCCCTTGCCTTTGCCCTTTGGAGAGCGGGTCTCGATGTCGATAGAGCGTGCAGCTGCAGGGGCAATGTTTTCAATAGGAGCAGCGGGTGCAGCGGGTGCAGCAGGTGCAGTGGCAACCGGGGCAGCTGGAGCGGCAGCCTTGCCCTTACCCTTGCCCTTGGGAGAGCGGGTCTCGATGTCGACAGTCTCTTCATCGTCCTCAATAGACCGTGCAGCATGTGCGGGGGCAGCAGCAGTGGCAGGTTCAGCAGCGGCGGGAGCTTCTTTTGCGTCCTTGCCCTTGCCCATGCCCATGCCGTTGGCAGCAGCAGCATTGTCGGCGTGTCCTGCAGCAGCACCGGCTTCCTTTCCAGCTCCTGCTTCCTTTCCAGCTTCAGCTCCAGCTCCCTCTCCTGCAGCAGCACCGGCTTCTTTTCCAGCTCCTTCAGCAGCTCCTGCTTCCTTTCCGGCTCCAGCTTCCTTTCCAGCTTCAGCTCCAGCTCCCTCTCCGGCTCCTGCAGCAGCACCGGCTTCTTTTCCAGCTCCTTCAGCTTCCTTTCCAGCTTCAGCTCCAGCTCCCTCTCCGGCTCCTGCAGCAGCACCGGCTTCTTTTCCAGCTCCTTCAGCAGCACCGGCTTCCTTTCCAGCTCCTGCTTCCTTTCCAGCTTCAGCTCCAGCTCCCTCTCCGGCTCCTGCAGCAGCACCGGCTTCTTTTCCAGCTCCTTCAGCAGCTCCTGCTCCTTCTCCGGCTTCCTTTCCGGCTCCCTCTCCGGCTCCTTCAGCAGCTCCTGCTCCCTCTTCGGCTCCCGCAGCAGGAACAGCTGGTGCAGTACCATTAGCAGCACCTCCAGCAGCAGCGTCGTCCTGCTTGCCCTTGCCCTTGCCATGCTTCTTGCCGTGCTTCTTGCCATGCTTCTTGCCCTTTCCCTTACCGTGCTTCATGCCCTCCTTATTGGCTTTACCCGCGCCGGCACCTGCTTCTGCGGTTTCATTACCCGCGGCAGGGGCAACAACAGCAGGGGGTGTGGCAGCAGGATCCGCAGCAGCAGGAGCCTCCGCAGCAGGTGCCTCCGCAGCAGGTGCCTCCGCAGCAGGTGCCTCCGCAGCAGGTGCCTCCGCAGCAGGTGCCTCCGCAGCAGGTGCCTCCGCAGCAGGTGCTTCGGCAGCAGGAGCGGCGGCAGGGGTCTCAGGAGTGGCAGCAGCGGCATCTTGGACGACAGCGTTCCTATTTTGAATGGAAGAGGAATCATCGAATCTTGGCGGACCAAGTTGCAGGTCAAGAGCGGCTCGTCGGGCGGCGCGTTGGTTGGCGTTCTGGGCGCCTTCTTTGGCACTTTCAAGGGCAGCTTTAACATCGCTGCGTACGGCTAAAAGCGCACCACGCGACTTTAGGGCCTGCTCGCCGAATCGAGGCAGACCGACACTGCTGGCGCGAGGCGTGAGCACTGGTTCGTTGCCTGGGAAAGCTACCGGGGCTGCTCCAACGAAGGAGGCTGAAAGCAGCGTGAGGAAAGAGATGGAGTACTTCATAGTGATCGAGTGGAAACGATGGTTGAAGGAATGAATCGAGGTGTGTCAAACGTGGAATGAGCACAGCTCTGGAAAGTGGAAAGTGGAAAGTGAGTAAACAAATGGGTGCTCTGCACAAGGGATGAATGTGACAGAAATGAAAGCCAAGTGTGCCGTTCTACCAAGGTGACGAGCTCGGTTTATATACAAAGTTTACCTTGTGTCGCTCACCATTGCGCCTGGATGTGACTACCAGAACGCCTGAAAAAGGTTGAGGTAGATTGGTCCAAGCCGCGCTTGCTAATGGACCGTGGTTCGTTGCCGTCAACCTCATACACGCCCTGTTGGAGGATACCTTGATCGGGCCAGGCGTAAAGGGTATAGCATCGATAGCCGACATCTGGATTACCCATGACGAGAAAAAGCTTGTCTTGCTTGACAGCGGTAGATCAGTCTGGGCATTTCTGGGCATGAAATAAGGCATGGGGCTGTGTTCGGATCAAACGCATTGTGTAGTGGATAGAGCTGGCGAGGCCAACGGTGACGCAAGCTTAGTCGTCGTCAGGGCCACCTTGTGGCTGAGATCTAAACAGTAGCTTGTTTGAAAGCTTGTTGCATGAGGGTCCGGGGAGAAAGGCTTCCCTAAACGCATAAGTTTGGTGTAAACCTGAGGTTCGCCAGTATAAGGAGTTGAACCTATACGGGTTTCATGCGGGCCGATATGCCTAGTGGACCTGGGGCTCGACAACTTGGGCATATTCTCCTAGGAGTGAGCGAATACAAACCGTACGTGTAAAGACGCTGGCGAAGGGCCGTATCGCTGCTACTGTACTGCATGCTGGCGTCTAGCTTGGCTGGCTGTGAAGCACCAAGGGGAGATGCGAAACATGACCGAATATCGTTGCATTGCTTTGGACGACCTTCGGACTGGCATAAAAGTTAAAGTCCAGCATCGCACGACATGGCCGCATAGAAGGAAAAGTCCAGAGTTGTGGTGGAAGCCCCGCAGAAGGTCGAAGTGGGCGCCTGCTGAACCCTCCATTCAGGCGCTACACCTTGTAGCGGTTTCGTTTAGAGGCATTTGGTTGTGTATCCTGGATCCAGGTAAAAGCTAGGCATGGTAGCCATCGTTGAGCCACAGCCTCGGGCTGAAGGAAGCCGGCACGTGCCGGGTGCGGGCTTTGACAGATGCGACATGGACGTTGACAGGTGTGAAGGAGTCAAGGCGTCGCTGACCAATGACAGCCGCGGTAATGATGATCCGCTCCTAGCCTCTAGCCTCGGCTGCAACTTTTTGGACTTCGTCATATCGAGCCCTAACCAAGAATGGGGAATAATGAAGCCATCTCTTTGGCATATGAGACACGATTGAGCACTGCTGGAGTCATCGAGCAGTGTGTGGTCTGTCGCACTCATAACTAGACGATCGTCGGGAAAATTGTAGTCTCCCGGCTTTGCATTTCGCACGCTTCTTTGCCTCTCCACAAGCATGGCCTCCAGAACAGTGTCCGCGTCGGTAACACGACGGTTGCTCCCAACGCTACGATCCACCGGCATATCGGCAAGGTCATTTTCATGCGCTGCATTGAGAAGTTCACGATTGTCCGCGCTCGGTCACCCCACAGTCCGAATTGCCGACCAAAGACAAAGACGACCTCTTTCCACCACACCACGCACACGCCTCGCCGCCGTAGACGACACATTCGATCCCAAGTCAATAGAGCGTGAATCTGATGAGGTTGACGTGCTTATTGTGGGTGGAGGTCCAGCCGGTCTCTCTGCCGCCATCAAGCTGAAACAGATTGCGACGGCCGCGGGCAACGAGGACTTTAGGGTATTGGTATTGGAGAAGGCGGGCGAATTGGGCGACCATATCGTGTCGGGAAATGTCATTGAGCCTTCTGCGCTCGATGAGCTGTTGCCCGACTGGAGATCAGAGGACAACCTCAACCGCTTTGCCGATATTACGCCTGCAAAGGAAGACCACATGTTCTTCATGACGAAGAACAAGGCCATTCCTCTGCCCAAGCCGCCCCAGATGAACAACCACGGAAACTACATCATAAGCTTGAACCAAATGGTCAAGTGGCTCGGTGAGCGCGCCGAAGAGGCAGGCGTCGAGGTTTATCCTGGATTTGCTGCGTCGGAGGTCCTATACAACGCGGACGGAGCTGTAAAAGGTGTAGCCACCAATGATCTCGGCATATCACGCGAGGGCAAGGCAAAGGAATCATTCGAGCGAGGCATGGAGTTCTACGCGCGCGTCACATTGCTGGGTGAGGGCTGTCACGGTAGTTTGTCCAAGCAAATCATCAAAAAGTACGACCTGAGGCGGGATAGCCAGCACCAAACATACGGTCTTGGCATCAAGGAAGTCTGGGAGGTGCAGCCGGAGAAGTTCAAGTCTGGACTTGTCGTTCACTCAATGGGATACCCCCTACCCAAGGACACTTATGGCGGCGGTTGGATGTACCACTTTGGCGACAACTTGGTTAGTATTGGTTTAGTAGTAGGGCTCGACTACCCGAACCCGTGGTTAGCACCGTATGGCGAATTCCAGAAGATGAAACACCACCCATACTACAAGGATGTCTTGGAAGGTGGCAAGTGCATCTCGTATGGTGCGAGGACACTGATTGAGGGCGGCTTCCAGTCTATCCCGAAATTAGCCTTCCCTGGCGGCGCTCTACTCGGTGATGCTGCAGGACTACTTAACCTTCCGAAGATCAAGGGCACACACAACGCTATGAGATCCGGCATGTTGGCAGCCGAAGCGACCTGGGATGCCCTACAAGCCAACACCGACGGCGGCGATGTATTCCTGTTTGACTATGAGGACAAGATGCGCAAATCATCCATCTGGTCAGAACTGAAGACTGTGCGAAACATGCGCCCGTCTTTCCACACTCCGCTCGGCATCTACGGAGGCATCATGTACTCTGGGCTGGAAGCGTACGTCCTCCGAGGCAAAGCGCCTTGGACGCTGAAGCATGGCAAACCTGACCATGCAGCGACCAAGACCGCAGACGAATGTCCCAAGATCGAGTACCCCAAGCCGGACGGCAAGATTAGCTTTGACATCCTGACAAGCGTCAGCCGAAGTGGCACCAATCACGAAGAAGATCAACCCTGTCATCTCCAAGTCAAGGACTACGACGCTCATGCCCAGCAAGAGTGGCCCAAGTACAAGGGTGTTGAGAACCGATTCTGTCCTGCAGGCGTGTATGAATATGTCGAGGACGAGAGCAAGGAGTTGGGCGTCCGGTTCCAAATCAACGCTCAGAAGTAAGTCCGGCACATTCCCTTGGTGGATCTGAGCTGACTGTGAATAGCTGTGTTCACTGCAAGACGTGTGATATCAAGGTACCCGATCAGGACATCAACTGGCAGACACCACAGGGTGGCGAGGGACCCAAGTACGTGCTTACGTAAATGTGGATAAGTCACTGTCATTACTTGAATCTGTTCTGGATAGAAAAAAGGCAGTTGGGCACATGTACATTAAAAGGATCCTGAGCAAGTGTATAGTAACGCTAACAAATCGTTGATGCCCAAATGCCTTTACCCGGGTATTGGTAAGACCACGCCTTGGACACAATTGATGGATATGCCGGTTCGCACAGTAATGAAGCTATTGCACATCCAGTCCAGACCACTAGTTCGTCTCCCACCCCTCACTCTCACTGCTACTGTCTCTCACTGGTCGCCTCGTGGGGCAAACAAGTATTACCAGGCACGTGATGTCCGTGCCCAGGGTTTGCCAAGGGATTGAGCTATGAGGCGTTGGGCGAACTTCATCTCCGCCCGTTCGTCACTCTTCGCCCAACAACACCGCCGACACCTATTACATCAATAGTTGCTCGGCCCTCATATCCATTTGCGAAATATTGCGCGACACTGGATCTACTAATTTCCCTCCCCCGGCCCCAAGCGTGCGACCACGACAGTTGCACTTTCCCGGCTCCTTCCAGGTTCTGGAGCTCTCAGGTTCTTCACGGCCACTCTGCTTCCAGCGCCCGACTCCATCTCCAAGGTACGACTAGCCGCCTGTATTGTATTCCCTGGCCACTCCTTGCGCGTTTATCTGGTTCCTGTATTTGCGCATGTCGTTGGACACTGGTTTCCTCGTGTCGCGTCTTAAACGGAGCCTTTCCATTTCTGCCAGGCACTATGCGCACTCCTGCGCTGGCTGGGCGCTCACTCGTGGACATGTGCTCACGATTCTCTCCAGACTAGGCTATCGTTAGGACAAAACTCTACCGTTATAGCCCCCATTATGACCGAGGTATCGTCCACGCGCCTATACCTAGGCAACCTTCCCCGTAATGCCACAAAGGCAGACGTCGAGGGCCACTTCCAGACCCATGGCACTGGTGAGATCACTGAGATCAAGCTCATGAACGGCTTTGGCTTCATCGAGTACAAGGATGCCATGGACGCTCGTGACGTTGTTCCAGGTAAGCGTCATTGAGAGTGTTAGATGAGCGCGCGCTAACTTTGATTCAGCTTTCCGTACGTGAGAACATCTGCATATTGTAGCAACGCCCCTCTAACTTTCGTAGATGGTTCCGACTTCATGGGTGAGCGTCTCATCGTCCAGTTTGCCCGTGGCTCTCGTGCTCGCAACGAGAACTTTACTCCCCACGAGCGCGTCCCCCCGCGTCCTAGGCGGACTCCATACCGGATGAGAATTGCGAATCTTCCGGTGGAGACTAGCTGGCAGGTTAGACACCCCGTACTTTGGATTTCCTCCGTTCCCAACTAGGGCCAGTGTACCGTTCATGGACCAAAATGGCTTTGTTTCCGCGTTCCCGTTGTACACTCTGGATTTGGACCTCGCCTAACTTGGAATGTATAGGACCTAAAAGACTTTGCCCGCCAGTCTGGATTGGACGTTGTCTACTCCGAGGTTGGCCGCGAGCGTGATGGCACTGGGTTAGTGAAGCATGCTGGGACGCACCCGTGCAGTACTAACGTCTGGCAGATTTGTCGAGTACGAAACAGCCGCCGACCTCAAGGCTGCAGTCGAAAAGCTTGACCGCCGTGAGTTCAAGGGCCAGGAGGTCACGTGTGTCCAAGACGTGTCTGATCCTCCCCCACCACCTCCGTTCAAGCCTAGGGCTCCTTATGGAGGCCCTGGTGGACCTGATGACCGCGGCCGAGACAGATACCGATCCCGCTCGCCCATGGGCCGACGTGGAGGTGGTTACCCACCTGCGCCGTACGACGACTACTACGACCGTCGCGGCCCCCCTCGTGGCTACAGCCCTCGCCGTGACGACTACCGCCGACGCACACCTCCTCGCGAGTTCTATGATAGGCGTGATGGAGGATATGGACGCTCGCCTCCTCGTGGTCGCATACCTGATGAGTATGGCCCACCGCGCGCGCGTTACCCTGACGATCCTTATGATACTAGGGCCGGACCTCCACCTCGTCGCTACGATGACCCCTACATGAACGGTCATGGACGCCCATACGATGGAGGACGACCGCCCTCCCCACGTGGTGCTCGTCCTCGTAGTCCAGGAGGCCGTCCTCCTTACGACGCTCCCGCAGCAGACTACCCGCCTCGCGGCCGATACTAGGATTACAGCGAACATGAGTGATGTGGTAGCAGCAGCAGCAGCATCCGTATGTCGAGATACCATTCGGCTTCTTCATTTTGCCTTGTTACTCCGGGATGGATGTGCGCTGACCCCAGTTAGCCAAAAACAAAAAGAAAAATAATGCTCTGAGAAATCATGTTTTTGTTTTGCTTAGAAGCATCATTGCCCTTTTTCGAGGACTTTTATTATCTGCAGGACATGGTTTACGCGAGGAATTTATAACAGCCTGTGGATTGCGGATGTCCGAAGGCCGCAGTATGAAAACTTAAACGAGACTGCTCATGTGTGTTTTTATGTTCCTTACTGTGTTTTATCCCGGGTCTTCCGTATTTGTTCTTGGATGGGCTGGGGTTTCCGTTGCATATGCGATATGCGATCATGTTTGGTCATGAGAGAGGATGGCGTGGGGTCGAAGGACAGCTTTTTCCACCATTAAACCTGTGTGGAAGGGCCTGGATCTTTGTAAACATGAAAAGTCGCTTTTTCTTTGTTTATTCTTTTCCTCTATACGAGTATCTGGATGGAAGTGGGTGTGGATGTGGTTATGGTAATCTAGGCATATGTGAAATCCATGGTATTTACTACGACTATCCTAGACTTTTTTGCTGGCCTAAAACATGTCTGGTCAGTCACTTGTTTGTTTGTGCGTTGAGTGACGTTGTACGTATCTGGACATGGACACACGTACACACACCACAGCACGAAAACCCCCGACACAAAACTCGCTACATCTACATCTACATCTACGCCTAGCTAGCTCCTGCACGGGAGGGACGTACGTGTACGTTTACCCAGAGGTTTAGAAGGAATAATCACCGTGGAATAGAGAGTATTACAGTATTTCTTTCCACACGCGAATGAAACTCGGTTGTTTGCGTGCGTGTGTGGATGTCGTATATGTGTCTGTGTTTGTGTATGTGTATGTGTATGTGTTGGTAGGTAGGTAGATAGGCTTGGTGTGTACTATACAACAAGGCTGGATGGGTGGGTGTGATAAAGGTGGAGGTTGTGGGGTGGGGAATGAAGATGGTGTGGTGGACTAACAAGAAGACTAGGAGTAGACAGAGAGAAAGGTTTTCTGAGTGAGGGTAAGGGTAAGGGTAAGGGTGTGGGTGAGGGGTAAGTAGGAAAGGAACGAATAAGAGTAAAAACTTGAATCGAATTTCACTCAACTTGTTAGTTACACATGTACGTGATGCGTGAAAGAAACATTTTTCACATTAACGCTTTATGCATTGTTTGAGAAAGTCGATTATGGTCTTCTATTGTAAACCACAGATCTGACGTTCAACGCTCGACGTCCATGGGCTTTCCTTGCCTTGCACTAGTCACGTGGCAGAAATGAAAAACATCTTTGTGAATAAACTACCATGTGTGGAAATTCTCAGCGAGCGATATGTATATATGTATTTATGTATGTATGTATGCAGAAAGATTTCATGACATGACGCTAGATACACCGTTCATACCCTATATGCAAGAAAGAAAGAAAGAAAGAAAGGGAAAGGTAACCCGTGGGGAAGATTGTACATATTCGTCTTGTGTAAGCGAGCTTCGTGTAGTGGCTGCTCGCTGCTTTGATCCCCCTTATCCCATCATTGACAAATGAGATGAGATGCTGAGGAAGGCAGCGGTGAAAGAGCTGGGCCTATGGTATGACGAGAGAATCCTACCCCAACATCTCCCATTCGTCGTCGTCGCCGGGGTAAGGAGTACCACTTGCAGCCAGCACATCAAACACAGGAGTAGCGATGATTTCCGGACTGGACATTGGATCTTCTGTAGGATGTGCCATGAAATGTACTTTAGGCCGACATACCAGTGTAAAGCCATGGTCATCATCTTCCGAGGACTCACATTCTGTGTCGAAGATGGTGGGGAGCTGTGTGCTGCGCGCAGGGCGAAGGGGAAGCGAAGATGTGGTGAAGTCGATGACGGAGTCGATCATGTTTTCTTCGACTGGCTGGTCATGTGTGGCGTCGGAGGTACTGAGCGTCAGCAGCTTCTCGGGGCTTTGCATGCTAGACGCTGGAGCACTGTCGTGTGTCTCCATGGGTATATCAGGAATGGAGTCGGACATCATGTCTTGGGGTAGATCTCTGGATGCGAGAACGGTGGGTAGGATGTTGGGGTTAGGTCCTTGCGTAGTATAGCTCAACTGTATGATGTTGGATGCGCCTTGTGAGGTCAGCTTTGGAACTACACAAAACGTGCTGGAATCTACTTACATTCATCTCCGAATCCACGGCGCATGTTTTCCACACACAAGTCTTGTCTGAACTTTGGGAGTTCTTCGAGGAGCATGCGGAACTCTGGGTCGTGCTCAAGATCGTACTGTGCGAAGACGGAGATGCAGTAGTTGAGGAGTGTGCTGAGTAGCCAATGGTCTCTGCCTACGTTTACGCTGGTATAGTGGTGATATACAAAGCGGATGGTGTCGAATAGGTCTTGCGGGGGGACATGTTGATACATGGCCATTTCCAAATTGGAAGAGAGACTGCCTTGGGCCATGCGTCGCAGTTGATCAACATCAAAGTCTTCTGCAATCTTGTACGTCTCCACATCAGGCAGTAACGCTATCGGCTCGAACTCTGGGTCGGGGTGGAAGTAGGTACGGGTATAGCAGTAGCGGAGGAGGGAGATGGCAGCCGTCGTGGATGTGGCCTCGATGCTGGCTTGAAGGCGGCCGTAGGGGCAATCTTCAAAGGCAATGTAGAGCAATGGACACGACTCGACGAACATGAACGTGTTGATGCGATCTGAGATGTGGCAGACTTGGCCGCCAGGGAGTGCTACCTTTAGGGTCGCCTCGACCTGGTATCGCTCGCAGCCTTCGTCGAGGAATGAGAGGTCGTCCATGTTGAATGGTGGTAGAGAAGATGCAGCACGACCAGCTTTTGAAGTAGGCGCCGGGCCGTCTCACGTCTCCAGAAGAAGTGCTGAGACTCCCGGTGAACCGTACCAGCGACACCTTTCGGGAGGAACGGTGAGACACTGCGGTGAAGATGAAAGGGAAGACGTGAATTTGCGGCCGTCAGCTGCGACAAGAGTCTGACAAGGCTGTAGGACTTCACTGAGTTGTCAGGGTGGGATGGACCAGGCAACCGTTTGCACGTGGAGGCCAAGCGCTAGTACCATGGGAGGCCGCCGGTCAAGGGCTGAGGGGTATAACGGATCACGGAGGATTTTCAACGAATTTTCAGGTCATTGGCTTGTTTTTGACGAAAAGAAAAGAGAGTTTGTGCTTGGAGCGTGCCACGACGGAGGGGCTATCAAGCCTTACGCCGTCTCCCTCTCGGGTGTGGAGGTTGTGCAGCATGTCGGACATGTGCCATTGGGTTCGCGTAGAAGATGGCTAATTGACATCCAATCAGACGCTCCAGCACAGTACAGCCTCACATACAAGGCTGAGGCGTAAGCTGCATGTGATGGTTAGTGGTTGGTGTTGAGGGGTGTGTGCATGATGCCCGCGCAATGGTCGCGGTGGTGCTAGGACGAAGCTGGGGAAGCTCCAGCCCACGGCCCACTTGGAGCGTCGCGGCGCTGTGATGACGGTCATTCCGTCCGCTAAACTTCAACATCGCACTTTGGTTCTGAACTAGTATTTGCTGTCAGTCGTTGTTGAAAGGTTAAACATTGTTAACCTGCCAATTGCTTGCTCGTTTCTCGTCTTCCTACCAATCTTGCATACCGTCATCCTTTGTGGCAGTGCGGATTTCGGCATCACACCACCCCGCCATGGGTTTCCTCTCCATCCCATTTCTACCGGAGAGTTTTGCAGTATTCGAAACTTGGATCGCACGCGCATTCGTAAGTTTCATTTCGACTCTGCCATACTGTCCGGCATTCTCATAGTCGTCCAGCTCTTTCTAGGGCTTATATCCATCGGCCCATGGGCAGCGCTGCTTATCTACGACCTCCTCCTCTACGTCTGCCGCGCATGCGCCCACGAAATGCCGATTATAGGCGGAAGAGCCCGCGGAAAAGCAAGACCACGTGCCCCGAGCCTCACGGAGCGACCGAGCGGACGGCGGCGGAACTTTAGTTTTGCCTCGCGCGCCATCGACAGACCGGTGATGAATACAGGAAGTGCGAATGCCGGATCACAGGACGCGCGGTATCGTCAGACGGCCGGAAAAGACTAGGGAATCCTCATAGGGGCTCTGGAAGCTAGACCTAATATACTCTGTTGCCCGCATTGCTATTGTGATGCCTCGGTCAGGAGCGGATCCCAAGTGCTCATATGGAAGTAGCTTGAAGCTCTTTCCAAGACTAGACAAATCCCGTAGTCGCGAGGAAGAGACCAGCGTCGTGGTCTTGATCGCGTTGGGAACTACCAGTCTGATATCGCCTCCGCATGTACATGGATCATCACTGAAAAGGACCGATGTCGGTGGCTTGGTGAATACCAGGTACGAAGTACAGTAAGTCGATGAGGGGTGACATGTCGTCATTCAACTGGAGCATCTTCAGCATGCCTTCTTTCAACTTCAACATGCGCTCGTGGGGATGCAGCCTCGCTTATAGAAGCTATCAGATGCATAGATTGCAACGGGGTCCAGGGACAAAACATGCGCCAATTGCGTGGACCCATAGATAATTGTCGTACAATTACCTGGTCAGGCTACCAGAACTATAAAAAAGGTATATACGAAGCTAAGCATGGCTTAGCGTGCTTCTGGCGCGCTCCTGTCAATAAACCTCCGTTCACTCTCCCCTCACCAACACTACAACAACGTCGTCTCATCGTCAATTCAACTGTCGATAACTCACAAACATTGTCCATCCCCCCAAAAAAACTAATTCGGCATCCCTCCAGACACAATGGCTGCCACAACTACAAAGACCAACACCCCAAAGGCCGCCAACGGCGCTGGTGTCAAGAAGGCGCCTGCGAAGCTCGGCCGCGTCGGCAAGAAGAACAACGCAAAGAATGCCATGATCAGGATGCAAGCATACTGTAAGTCTGCAACGTTTGACGCGTCTTGTCGCGTGATTCGCACGCGTTTGTCGCTTGGGCGCAACACGACTTGTGCGCTATCCGGAAATGAAGGACGCTGACCATCACCACCAGTCAAGGCTCATCGCGACGAGTACAAGGACCTCACCTTTAAGGAGCAACAGCAGGAGCTCGGCAAGAAGGTACGACATATCAGCGCACTTCAATTCGCGCAATGGCTAACCCGATACAGTGGAAGGCATCGCCAGAGAACCCCAAGAACAGCGCTTGATGACCGCAATAGCCAACACACATCTTCACACCCAACCATTGTTCATTGGATGATGAAGAAATATCCGACGGACGGAAACATGCGATATGGCATGAGGAAGCTCCATTTCTTTTCTTGTTCATCACTCACCCTTCTGCCATGTGTTATACGACGGTTCCGGCGTTTGGGCGGCAGTAATCATGGCGCATAGGACTTGTAGTAGTTAGTGATACGATTCTGTTACAATATGGAAGAATTAATTTAAAACGTCAAATCACGACTAGTGCAGGTATTACAGCTGCAGTGCATTACCCGTCATGCCCACGCCGTAGGCTAATTGCAGGTCACACACAAGTCCGGATGAACGCGTTGTGTCACCGACATGTTACCTTATAGGTCTTGACTCGCTTTTGATATGGCGAAAGTATTGCGCAGGTCTCTCATACGTCACGGTCTAACGTCTGTTAGTCCATGGGAACTCCCGAGGTCAAACGCGGTGACACCACTAGGAAATAGTCGCAATCCTAATCTGATCACCAACGAGATGAAGGCACGGCACCAGTGACGATATGACAAGGCAACACAAGATGATGTATTCCATTCTTGAATGCTGTTGTTGTGTCGGCCTTCATCGGCAGCGCCGCTACTTATCAGCTGCGCGTAAGTGTACAGGTAAGCTGTTGGTAAGCCAGTTCGCTGCCCCGCATCCAGTACCGAAGCCCCCCTCCGACATCATCACACTCCACCCTGTGAAGGCTGCCGCTACCACGACTCGACCTATGAGCTTCGCGAAATGGTCAGCGGGGCTCACACGGACTTTTGTGGTGAGTTTGTGGGTAGCAGTGGGATGACGACTTAGCTTGAATGTAGTATACCCTTTTGTTGGTGAGGTTTGTCGTAATCTCCTCTCTTCTTTCAATTCTCTTGTCGCGGTCTCTGTGTGATCTTTCGTGAATTGTATCTCACTTAATACGCACATTTTCTATTCGACTACATCTGCAGCACAATGGCACCCCCCAAGAGCGCAGATGCATCCACGGTGCCCGTACTCAAGGACCTCACCATTGAGAACATTACCGAGAATGTACATCGCATCAACTCGCAATGTGCCGACCCGCGACTGAAATACGTCATGGAGCGTCTGGTGTCGCACCTCCATGACTTTGCCCGCGAGACACGATTGAGTTTTGATGAGTGGATGGCTGGTATACAGTTCCTCACACAAGTAGGGCAGATATGTACGGATGTGCGACAGGTACGTCTTTCTACTAAAGATGAAGAAGAAAGGATAGCCATACTAACAAACTACCCCAGGAATTCATCCTCCTCTCAGACATCGTCGGCCTCTCCCTCCTCGTCGACTCAATCGACCACCCCAAACCCGCCTCCAGCACCGAAGGCACAGTCCTCGGTCCCTTCCACACACACGACGCCCCCTCCTCAGCCCCAGGTGCAAACATATCCGCCGACCCAGACGGCGAGCCCCTCCTCGTTCTCTGCACCGTCAAGACAACATCCGGGCAGCCCGTACCAGGCGTCAAAGTCGATGTCTGGGAAACAGATTCCCACGGCAAATACGACGTGCAGTACGAGACGCGCGGCGACAAAGCAGACGGCAGAGCAGTGATTTCAAGTAATGACGACGGCGTGTTTTGGTTCAAGGGGATTGTTCCCGTGCCGTATCCTATTCCTAATGATGGGCCTGTGGGGAAATTGTTGGAGAGGCTGGGCCGGCATTGTTGGAGACCTAGCCATATGCATTTTATGTTTGAGAAGAGTGGGTTTGATAATTTAGTCACGTATGTTTTCACCTCGTCCCTAACCCGCACCTTACTAACACGCCTGCCTCACAGCGCACTCTACGTCCGTGGCTCCGACTACGAAACCTCGGATGCCGTCTTTGGCGTAAAAGAAAGTCTAATCGTAGCCCTCGAGACTGTGTCGCAAGAACAAGCGAGGAAATACGATGTAGCCGAGGGAACAAAGTTATTGAAATACGACTTTGTGCTTGTGACGGATGAGGAGACGAAGAAGTTGCGCCATGATGAGGCGGTCAAGGCGATGAGATCGTTGGGAAGGGAGGGTATGATTATTGTTAATGGGTTACCGGTTCCGGATGTGGATTAGATTAGATGGGAGAATATGAAGGGGTGATTAGCTTTGTCGTAGTAAGTGTGTAACTATGTAAGTATGGTATACATGACTTTGCGATACGAACGCTTCCTGTTGCGATTGCGTGCCCCGCACCCTACTTACCCCACCGTGGCCAAACCACCTGCAACTACATACATCCCTGACCCCTGACCAAACCTCCCATCAACAACGCAACCCATCACCGGACACCGACACCACTGCACTCATCTACCTATATCCTAAAATAACAATAACTACCCCCCACCTTCCCTATCAGCACAACCCCAGCTCTTCGGCGCTTACGCTTCCGCTTAGTTACCCGCTTACTCCCCTCTTCTTAGCGCAAACATGAAACCGTAATACAAGGGAACCTGGGTTTGAAACAGACGTGTTGGTTTCACATGCTGTGAGCTTCTCGTTACTGAGCGGCTGAACGCGCTGAAGGTGGGGTGTTATGGGGATGGTTTGCGACAGACTGATTATGGTGGGCTGAGTAGGAAGGTAGAGTGTCTCAGTTTACGACCCAGGCTTCGGGGACAAGCCTCGGGGGCAAGCTTCGAGGCGGAGGCGCGCGGACGACAGAGGGGTATGGGTGATGGGGGGGGGGGGGGGGGGGGCTGAGTTGGGTTTGGTTAAAGATGAGGGGTGTTGCCCAGGATTTTGCAAGGACTGGGTCTTGTTGCCTTTTTGCACTTTTTTGGTTGGTTCGATGAGGGGTATGTATGTATGTATTACATGTGTGTGTAAGACTACGACGGACGCTGTATAACATCATTATCCCTCGTTCTTTTGATTCGATTTGATTTTGAGGCGCCGGTCGCATATTTTTCACTTGACGTTTTCCACGAGGTTTGAGGAACGCGTTTTCTTGGGGGTCTCTGCGAACTGAACACTGGACACTGGACACTAGGCTTTGAGGGGAAAAAAGAGAAGAGGGAAAGTGAAAAGACGGGTTTCTGGCAGGGGGCTGGACCGGATAGGTCACTGGATAGGTCACTGGCTGGGCTGGCTGGATAGGTCACTTATCTCCGCATCCCTCGTATTCGCACCCGCACCCGCACCCGCAACTGCAACTGCAATCATCGTCGCGTAGCGCGTAGCCCTCAACACACATACCCACCCATCCACCCACATACAACCCGAAGTTCCCAAAATCCCCACCGACCTACCCGCCTACCAACCAACCACAATGACACTCCTAACCATCCTAACCCCCCTCCACTTCCTCTCCTTCCTCTTCTCCCCAACCTTCTGGGCAAAAACAGGCTTCTTCATCTCTTACATTGCTACTTTCCTGCTTGTGCTGGAGGTGGTGAGGCTGGCGAGCTCGGATGCGAAGAGGAAGGAGGTGGAGAGGTTGATTGATGTTTATGCTGCTGAGAGAAGTGAGGTGGATGGGCAGAGGATGAGGGAGGGGGGTGTGGGGGTTAAGGGGATGATGGAGGGGCAGAGGAGGGAGGAGGTGGACATGGACATGGACGGGATAGAGGCAGATGAGGATAGGGAGGAAGTGCGAGTATCTATTGAACAACTACAAGAGATGGAAAGAATGAGTGTCGTTACCTCCAGTGCAATGGAGAAAACATCCATCGACACGCTAGAGGAGATGGAGAGGAGGAGTACAGCATCATCTTCCTTCTCCAACCCGCACCTCCCCCAAAACATCACCCACTACTACACAAAATCCATCCCACCACCACCACCACCACCACCAACCCACCCACAAACAACAAGACCACACACCCCCAGCCCACCCACCACACGCCGACGCCGCATAACAACACCACCAACCGACCAAACAGAAGAAAAACGACGCAAACGCACTTCTTCATCACCTAAACCCATCTCCACACGCACATCATCTAATTCTCCCCGCAGACTGAGGAAGAGGAGTGATACGCTGACTTCCTCTTCGTCTATGGGTGTAGAGGGTGCGGTAAGGAGGAAGAGGGTGGGGGAGGAGAAGGTGGAGAAGGTGGAGAGGGGGGGAGATGGGGGGAGGGTGAAGGAGAAGAGGGTATTGAGGGAGAGGAGTAGGAGTAAAGAGGCGAAGGCGAAAGTGGTGGGATCGGGGTTTGGGAGGATGTTTAGGGGGAGGGTTTAGGGTAGGGGTAGAAATGGGATAGGAATAGGAATGCTTTCTGAGATGATATGAAGGAAGTGACAGTTTCTCTAGGCGATTTCTGGTGTCACGCTTCGCAGTTTTCCTATACGATGTGCTTTTGATGTTTTTCTAAGATGGGGTGTACAAACCACAAACACCACAGCATCTACTTCTAGATTGCAAACAGTACAAAACACATCGAAATACACTCAAAGAAGCAATACCACACAGACCCATCACCCTCCCACTCCTCCTCCAAACAAAGACAGGCATCAAAGCTACTCTAGCCTTTATTGCAAGTACTAGGATTGGCACGAGAAAATGGCACCTTGGGCAAACCACCGAACAGACAGACACTGTATAAAACTACAAAAACAATATTTCCTTATCTAAAAGAGCCCGCTGCTACATCTCTTTCTATTCACCACACTGCTCTTTAGCACCCGCGCCAATGGAAGACTAGCTCTGAAATTGGAGTACGCAAAACACCACCCAAATTGTACAAGACCCATAGAAACTCCACAACGACCATCATACATAGAACGGCTTAGCCAAAGTCCTACATAGTCACCGACTGATACAGGACTCTAATGGAAATATAATAATAATAATAAGATGGGGTGTATTCTCAGATCTAATGGTTAGATTTTGATTTTCAAGATACCACGAAGAAGTTTTCTGTACTGCAAAAATATAAAGTCGATAAATTTCGAGTTTCCGCCAGCCGGGTTCTACAATAAACCCGTATTACCATTGATGGACACAGTCAGCTGATCGGCTGGTGGCACGCAGCACGGACCTGGGCTAGTACCATCTATCAACATTGGATCTGGAATGTATGCATGGATGAAGAAGAAGGAAGAGAGTGGGATAGAGGTGATGTTGTAAGCTTGGATCGCAGGGGTAGCCACGAAGACGAAGTATACAGGTTTTCAAAAACTTAGAACACGCTTTCAATTACAGGATTTTAATAGGGCTCTACCGAGTATTTTTACTCCTATCTTTCGGAAGTTCAACGGTATGCTCTTAGACTGCTAAGTAGATATTGTCGGCCTCGGAGTTACTCTTTTTCCATCCACGATCGGTCTATGCATATATATCGTGGATGTTTTGGATTAAGATCGAATTGATCTAATGCTTCATCTACTCCACACATATAGCAACCGGGCACCACGTCTGGTATCCAAACCCATACCAATTATCTCATCGACTCTTGCTTCCATTGGCGTCAAGAGCCCAGAGGCGGGTTATTCTGTCTTACATCGCCAGACCGCTGGAGCGGCGGAGAGGGGCCATCGGCATGAAAACCCGTGTGATCTATTACCCATCGCCTGTTATTACCGTTAGCGAAGCACGTCAACGACTCAACTAAAATAAACTTGTACATACAAGGATAGCAGATGGGACAGTGACAACATTTGTGGTCCCGAGGACAATCGGTAAAGCCGCATCTAGCACAGTTCCAGCGCCTCTTAAGAGAACTCCAATTTGGCGAGGTGGGACTCTTAGCTATCTCTTCGGAACGCTTGACCACCTGGATTTGCTTCGGACTATGGGCGTATACGATGGAGAAAACGCTCAAGGCAAGCGAGAGAGTGAGGACTAGGTGGTTGTTAGTTGACACGTGGACATGTATGCTACGCGAGAGGTGGACATACGCTTCATAGTGATCGATGTAGATGTATGACACTCAATGGAAAGAGAATCGCTGGTATAGGAGAACGGAAGGTTCTGTAGTGCGGGTGATGAATAGGAGGAAGTTGGTTCTTGATGATGCAAAACTTTCGCTGTTCTGGAGCTGGGTTTAAATAATTCGGCGACATGAACAATGTGACGGCCTGGAATGGCAATGGAAAGCTTTATTTTTGTTTGTGTGCGCTGATGTTACACTGCATGCTCGGTGTATCTGTCAGATTCGATGCTTCGTGATCATCACCGAATCTCGTTGATCTTCAATAAGCTGCTATGACCCAACTGATCGTTAGTTAGTTGGCATCTAGGTTACGATGACTTTCGGGGGGTTTCAAGTGACCATTTCTATGTCTCAAGAATTGACTCTGTATTTGGGAAGGCAGCCGCCTACCAATCTGCGCTCAAATGCAATGACAAAGATGTAAAGATCATAAAGGTCAGGCTAACACAGATGTACATATTGAGGTGAGAAGCAAGGATGAGCAGCAATGATGACAAGCAAGGTTAAGAAGCAAGGTCAAAGCAAGTGTACCAAGGCTTCATTCGACACGTGATTCAATGCACAAGTTTTAAGTGTATGAATGTGTGCAGTCGTCTTTGTAAAGTCGTGTGAAGCATCAACACTAGACGTGCGGCATAGCGCTTGCAGAGGTACCAGCTAGTCAGGGAAGAGAGACGTTGACGACCATCCCCATAAGCCCAAGAAATTGACGTAACCGGCAATTATCGTGCCACCGGATTAATATGGGAGATATTCCAAAAACGAGTGTATCGTAAGCCTGACTTGCTAACAAAGTTCCAAAAGATGCCCATCTCCTGCTTCGTTTCGCGGTGTAGATAAGATGTTTGACCTGGAGGATTTCGATGACATCGAATGATACAATCTCCAGCTCCGGGTGTTGTCAAGATCACAGTCCGCAACAATCAATTAAGTGGGTCCTAGAAGGTTCAGATTGGATTGATTGATTACCGCTTTAAGCCTAGTAGTTACCTATAGGAGTTTAAGCCCTACCTAGATAGGTAAGTGGGTCTAGGAGAGTGACCGGATTGAATTGATTGTTGCGGAGTCTAGTCAAGATAGCCCAAAAATAGGCCAAGACCACCCATTTTCCTATTCTCAAGGTCTCAACATGGGCCTCTCTTTTGTTGACTCATTCTGAGTATCTTCCAAAAAATTCAAACTCCCTAGTTTTGCAAGCCTAGGGTCAAAAATCGCCCATTTTTCCATGCCCAAGGTCTCCAAAACAGGCCCAGATAGCCCATTTCGACTGTTCTGTTCTGTCAAAACGTCCCAAGAGTGCCCCTTTGCTTATGCCTAAAATCTGCGCCAAGATAGCTGAAACTCCAAGACTTGTCAGCAACCAAGATTGTCGATACATCCGATTTGGTGTAGCTCCTGCACACTATCATCGGAAAAAAGCGACATCTTTCCAAACGCACAGGTCTAAATCTCTTCCAAGTGTCGCATTTTTCCCGATGAGGACGTGCCTATACTAATACATACGATGTCACACAGATTGTCGGAACTATCCGATTTTGGGCGGCACTATCGACGCTTTAGGCTTACGGGGGTCGTCAGCAACGTGTCAGTAACGTTTCTTGTTAAGGAAGGGGTAATCCTGATCAATGTTGTTCTTAGCGTGCAAGCTATAGATCACGTGTCGACTGAAGCCTTGGCGCAATTCGTTGCATTCAACCTTAATTTACTTATAATCGCGGCATTGAGTTGTACACCAATGGAAAAGAGTGACCCTGAAGGGGGTTTGGTGATGCTGAATTGCTGATGACTTGTGTCTGATCATACGGTTCCGTGAAGGGGTAACTAACGTCTGTCCCTACATGTATGTACGTACCGCAAACATCATCCGAAGTTGAACAGCAACACTTACGTAGTTGAGCTCTAGGTAGTAAATATTGAAGATGTTTTTGTTAAGTTGAGAACAACGGTTGAGTTTCAATTGAGTAAAGGCTTCATTCGACACGTGATTGCTGTCACATGATCATGTGAAGCATATGAGGCACGGACCACCGGAGTACATTGCTACTCCATTCAAGGTTACTAGTTTGGTAGACTTACATAATACATTAACACTTGATCCAAACATGTTGCAGTGGTCTTGGAAATGCCCCGAGAACAAAAGCCGGAATTTATGTCCCTTGGCTGTTGTCGTGTACCTGAGCGGCAGCCGATGGTCAGGGAAAATGAAGCAAGGATGTTGGATTAGCCGAGTACGAGGGGGTGTGTCTCTCTCGCTTGGATCGACGACGGGCTGTGTCGTTTTTGTTGCGTGCGCTGTTAGTTCTTCTGGGTACCTACGGGGTAGGCAGGGCGTTTGGCTGTGCTGTTACTGTGCTTGATATGCTGTGTGTTCTGGAGCCGGTGAGAATTCGCCGTTAGGTGGGTCGGGTGGACTTCGGGGGCTTATCTGAGGTGTCGGGGCCTTGGGTTGGAGAGGATGGGACGAGCCTCCGATGAGACGGGAATTTTGAGTTTGGATGAGGTGAGATGACGGCGCTTGTTTGTTTGTGAGATTGATGAGGTGGTGTTTGAGAGAGTTATGCTGGGTATGGCTGTTATCCAAGCGGTCTGCAGAACGTACAACCAAGTTGTAATACTCCGAACAAAGACCCCCCGTCATGATACCTCTAGCTGCGTCGTCATCTGCCGTACAAAACACGCCGAAACACGTGCAAAGTACAACGAGGCTGTGCTGGGCAAACGCAGAGGCCGCGCACCACGACACCCCAGCCGCACTTACCCCAGGCATTCGATCCACTAGAAACTTGCTCGATGCACACGTCGAATGTCTCCAGAAACAGCGTCTTGGGTGTAGGCGCCCAAGATCTTAGACCCCAGACCAGATTAGGTGATGGTGTCGTGGGCCAAGCTAGCTAGCGCCTTCTTCCCCACAACTGCTTTCGGATCAACCGGCGCAGGTCCCTGGATGTATACTAGATCTCACTTTTTTGTCGTCTTTTTTCCCCATCACCGCCCCGGATGTGGTTCAAGACTGAGATGGGGTTGAGGCTTATTTTTTTGCTGCCCTGTGCTTCGGATACACGTCATAGATATGGTTCGAAGTTTGGCCGATGAGTTACGCTGTCCGAGAAATGCGCCCAAAGAGCAAGTGCTGGGAGAACAAAGATGTTCACATTGGCGCCTTGATTGAATTACTCCGCCTGCAGGTAGGACGTATGCGGAGACGCACTAGCTCCATGTCGTACGCCATGATGGACGTGTCTTGGAGCTTCATCTTTGTCATAGCTCCTTGCGTGATCTGCTTGGCAAGCTTCTTCCATGATGCTATTAGGCGATGTTGCGTTGGCGTAAGCTTTGCGCTCTAGAAATTACCATGGCTACATGTGCTTGCATTACTATTGGGCCGGCATGGATCATGGTCAATTCTCGCCGGGTGGCGTAGGTCTTGTCCATTATGGTGCTTGGGTAGCACGGCAAAGCTACAGCTTAGACGATGCGGGTAAGAGTCTTGTTTTGTGGCAGTGTTTTGACTTCGTCTGATGTACTTATTAACCTGTCTCCCTCCCCTTCTTGTTGTCTCTCATCTACAAGACAATCTTTGCTTTGCTTTCACTCCTACAGTTCAATCTCAGTACCATTAATCTGATCGTCAAGCCATAATGGTCAAGCCGCTCTCCGCCCTCGCCCTTGCGGGTCTTGCTGTTGCCCAGAACAACGCCGCTCCTGACCTTGTAACCGCTCTTACTGGTGCTGCCAGCGAGCTCTCCACACTGGCAGGACTCGTCCCAGCGAGTATTCTCACGACGTTGAGCAGCCTCCAGAACATTACTCTTCTTGCTCCCTCCAACGCTGCTTTCGCAAAGGTCAACAATGCTACCCTGGGTGCCCTTACTGCCAACCCAGGCCTTCTCTCTGCTCTTCTGACATACCATGTCTTGAACGGAACATTTGCTTCCACCGCCATCACAGAGGACAGTGTTTTCGTCCCAACTCTATTGACAAATACTTCGTACGCCAATGTCACCGGCGGCCAGCGTGTAGAGGTTGAGGAGGAGGATGACAAAGTTGTCTTCTACAGCGGTCTGGGTATGAACTCAACCGTTACCACAGCTGTAAGCATACCAATTATAACCGACCCTTACCCTTACTAACCCACCCAGGACGTAAGGTTCTCCGGCGGTGTAATCCACATCATCGACACTGTTCTCTCTATCCCACCCGCTGCCAGCGATGCCCTCACCGCCGGAGGTCTAACCTCCCTCCGCGGCGCCCTTGTCCGCGCCAACCTCGTCGACACCGTAAACACCACCCCAGACGTCACCATCTTCGCGCCCAACAACGATGCTTTCAAGAACATTGGCTCTGCCCTTCCTAATCTCACCACCGAGCAACTCACTAGTATCCTAACCTACCACGTCGTCGCCGGCACTGTCGGCTACAGCGCCGGTCTCACAAACGGCACCAAGCTCAAGACCGTCAACGGCGCTGAACTCACCATCACCATTGACGACGACGATGTCTTTGTCAACGATGCTCGCGTTATCATGACCGATGTCCTCATTGGCAACGGTGTCGTGCACGTCATTGACGAGGTGCTCAACCCCAACAACGCTACCATTGCCTCCCCTGATGCCGATGAGGGCGACCCTGCCTTCGAGGGTGCTACTCCCGTCTCCGACGCCCCATTCACCTCTGGCCAACCTACACCCACTGTTGGCTTGGCTCCTGGATCTGGATCTGGTGCTGGTGGTGCTGGTGGTGCTGCCGCCAACCCGACTAGCTCCGGTCCTCCTCAGGCTACCACCAACGCTGCGGTCAAGGGCGCTGTTGGTGTGGGTGCGCTGTTTGGCGCCGCTGCTGTTTACCTTTTGTAAGATGTTGATACCACAAACGGAATGAATGTTCCATGTTTTCATGATGAGATGGGTTGGGGTAATGTAATGTAAATTGCGACGTTTTTGACGAGATTATATGAATTTGTTTTGTTCAGTCGTACGAAATCACGTGTTGAATGAAGTCGTGCTTCAATTATATTGCAACCTTTGTTCCAAGTGGTACAGAATTGCGTGACAAATGAAGTTGTGGAATGTTTCGCAGTATATTCTTCTATGCAAGAAAGCATCTATGCTGATGAACTCAGTTTGCAGGTACATGGTGTTACCCATCGTGCACCCACAACCCTGCAACACATACACACGAGCAGCAATCGCAAATAGTATCTCCAACACAAAGCACACTCTCAGGACCCACACCCTTTCATCCGAAACGCAAGTTGCAGTATCTCCCGTGGTGGAAAGCTGGAACGACCAGGGGCTGCCTAATGTGTATTAGCGCATGTGTGCTTCTAGGTCTACAGTACCGGTACAGGGCTGTCAATTTGGTATTTTTAGGATACTGGGAGCTAGGAGTTAGTACTAGTGTGGTGCAGAACATACAAGGATAGAATAATCGCGCAAAGCAAATGTGAGTTTCTTGGGGTTCATGGAGATCTTGGGAACTTGAGGAATACCTATTAACTATTGCTAGTCTCCTAATCGTATGCACCAAGTAACAGTCTACCTAGCCAAGTCTCGTCTTCCCAACTGTCAACTGTCAAGCCATACAGTCAGCCAGAATTTCCACCGCATGAGTCGATTGAATACAGGCGATAACAAGAAAAACACATAGTACATGGCTAGCCATAGACGGTGATTGAAGGGGAGGTTCGTTAGCTTCCAGTCTCTGAGCTTCGATCCTGCCGCGAGTGATTATCGTACCGAAATCTCGCAGTAGTCAGCTACTGAAACGAATCACCGAACGTAGAAATCCAACAAGCGAAGTCTCAGCCACCACGATTAGCGGAAGTCCTCCTGACGTCACGTAGGGTAGATATTACCCCTCCACCGTGCCGCATTGTAGCATACACACCAACTTCGCTCTTCCAGGCAACAGCAATACACATTTGGGATGGCCTCAACCCAGTGATCGGAATGGTCTGGTCTGGTCTGGTCTGAGGGTACAGACCAGACCAGACCAGGTGCTTACATAAGGACCGGTCCGACCAGACCGGTCCGACCAACAAGACCGCCAAGAATGAGGCTGAAGCAAAGAAGGAAGCCGAGGAAATGTGTTTTACTACTGACTGTCAATCTAGTCGTCTTCGTTCTCACTATCCTCGATATCGCTGTTCCCCTCAGCTTGGGGCTTTCCATACCAGGCCCGGAGACACTCGCACGCTTCTATAATATCTGCCTTCAGCCTACCACGGCGATCGACGATAGTAAGCTTCGCGCTACTAAAAAGACGTTCGCATTCATCCGACATAGGCGAGATCGCAAACATGTCTAGAGCGAAGCGAGCGAGATCTCGTTGGGAGTCGTAGCGAGATAGCCAGTACGCAATAGCCTCATTGCAACCTGCCTCTTCGTTATGAAGCCGGTCAGTAGAGATGTATTGTTCATACAAATCAGTTGTAGAAACTGGAGCGTCTATTCGAATGCGCTTATGTTCCCGCTGGCGATCAAATGCTGGGTCAGGATCTCTCTCCTTCCTGGCTGGTGGTGGCAGCATCTCGACAGGGTACCTTCCCTTATACTCTGTCTCCCAGAGATGCTTCACCGCTAATTGTGCGTTTTCAAACCACCTCTTCTTCTCTTCGTCGCCATGAAGAACCCACTCTTGCCTGAACCATCCCCACTTGCGATATGGATCAAGGATTTGAGCCGCATAATATGCCGGTGGAAGGTCAGTATCTTCAGGGAATCGATTTTGCCAATTCAGCTGCTGATTGTTATAGTACTCAACGCACTTTAACCAAGCAGCATCAGCGCAGCCTTGAAGGTACTTCCATGTAAAGTTGTTATCGTCCTCAGTGTGGATGTCGTGGTAGTGATCCTTCGTCTCGCTTATCTCCCGGAGAAGGCAGTCCAAAGTTGAAAACCAGTCCGCAAGTGACGTCTTCTTACCTTCAGAAAGCAAAGTTGCAGCATAGAAGTCTTTGAGAGCGAGTTCAATCTTTTCAAGCTCAAACCAGTGCTGTCCATCAAGCTTAAAGTTCGCGATCCCTACGGAGCCCTTTCCAGGTACATGACGAGCCGAGAAGAGCTCTAAACGTTCTCGAACATTTAATGCACGTGTAATCGAATAAAACCATGAGTTCCAGCGGGTCGAGTTGTTCTGGATAAGCTCAAGCCCGTCGAATTGCGAAAGATCTCCGCCGATAATAATTGTAGCAAACTCCTCACGCCGTTGTGGAGTAAGCCTGATGTATCGCACCAGGTTGTGAAGACGACCCAAACATCCGAACTTCTTCCAGAGCTCTTCCACCTTCGTATAGTCGCCACGTTGATGATGCTTCTCCAGCTTCGCAAGATACTTCTCACAGTTTCGCCCCATAAGGAACGCCTGGCAACAGAGGTTGATGACATGGCCCAAGCAACGCAGCCGGCGATGACGACGTTGTTTTGACTTCATCCATGGGCAGAGATCCTTGAGTATAAACTCAACAGCGGTATCATTTGCCGAGGCATTATCCAGCATAAAGTATCCAATCTGATCTCCGCTAATGTCGTATTCTTCCAGCAATTCAAGGACCACCGATCCAAGATTCTCTCCAGTATGTTCGCCGTATATACGTCGCATACCTAAAGCGGTAACACGTCGCATGCCGGTAGTATCAATCCACATAGCGACGACGCCTAGGATAGCGTAAGGGTTTGGTGAAGTCCAGAGATCAAAGGAGATAGAGATCCTACTCCGTGAATGGTGTAGGTCCTCCCTAAGCTGTTGCTTCTTCGATATGAATGCATTCATTACCCAGCTTCGGATAGTCTTCGCAGCCTTCGGGAGGTGGTTGAGTAGTGCCGGATTTAAAAAGAGGAGTAGTTCACGAAAGTACTGGTTCTCTAATTGAAAGAAGGCGATATGGCAGTACACAATCCAACGAATTAGAAGCTCTTTAAACTTCTCTACTGACTCCTTCCAGAAAAAGATGCTGGAAGCAGCCCCATCCTTTTGCTGGTCGATTATAGACTTCCGTACAGAACCCTTTCGCTTGATGCTACTCTGGGGATCAATCTGGTGCTTCTGTTCCAGGTGATTCCGGATCCTAGAAGTGCCATTGATGACAAACAACTCTTGCTTGCTCTTCCCAACCCTGCACTCATGGCAGTAATACACCTCTTTCTTATCGCTATCTCGAATGTATTGGAGTCCGTACTTCCAGATGTGTGATGTACCTTGACGGAAATCCTTCCTTGCAATTATTGCACGTTTCACGTACGTGATACCGCCCTGCACGAACTCATCTGGAGATTCGTGATATTGAATAGGAGTGGGTGATAGTATAGGGGTGGGTGATGACGTGGGGATAGGAGATGGAGTAAGAGACGTTAAATCTAGTCTTATAATATTCGATGGGGACGGTGAGGTTGGTGTTGAAGGCTCCATAACAATAGTATATAAGTAGGTTGTTAAGGACTTGATTGTTCTATGTAAGTAGAAGACTTACCTTGATCTTAATGACTCATATTGTGCTAAATTTTCTGGCTAGATTAGTCTAAGATCTAGTCACGTGGACCTATTTATAGCCGGACCGGTCCGATCATCTAGACCGGTCCGACCACGGTCTCAAAAAATCGCCAGACCAGACCAAGTCTTGGCGGTCTAGACCAGACCAAGACCAAGTCAGACCAGACCATTCCGATCACTGCCTCAACCCAACCAAACCACGAAGCGCAAGCTGACCCCCAAGTCTTATCTACACAAAGTCAACAACCCACATCCTCGGGAGAGACCTCAAACCAACCTAATCGCGAAGCGCAAGCAGACGCGCAAACCGTATCCATGCCAGAACAGCAACCCGCATCCTTAGTACAGACCTCATACCAACCTAATCACGAAGAGTAAGCCGGCCCCCAAAATGTGCACACGCTAGAAAACCAACGCGGATCCAGAGAAGAGACCTCAAATACACACCCACAGCCTTCATCTTCAGAACGGCCATCAGAGAAACCCCGTCCCACTTATGTAACACCAATGCTCTGTTTCAGCAGAAGGATCGACGGACGCACATGGTACATGTACCCCAGAGACTCTGATCATGGAAGGAAATATCAAAGCCTTACGACTGAAGAAGATAGAGATGAGTTCATGAAAGCTCATGGCGAGGAGTTCGGGGGCAAGGCTAGGGGCTGCAAGGGCCTGCACATCTAGCTGCAGAGACCGAGAAGGCGGGAGAAGCGGGAGAGGCGGAAATTACATGAGACATGCATGAACCCAACTCTTTCTTTTCTAATATTTTAGTGTGGGGTGTTATAAGAGAACTCTCGTTTTGGGAGACGTGTATACTTATGCGCGCGCGTAGAGCCGATAAGTCCCACGTCTGCCTGCAGTAAGCAATGTTATGATAGGTTGCGATAAGTGTTACACTCATTTGTTCGGAAAATAAGGCGGACATATGAACAAGATCCGTGTTTTAGATTGTTGAATCTTAAGTTTAGCAATGTGACAATGACTGCAGGAGAGATCTATTGATCTAGTAGACACTATGTATGATACTTAGGAATGATCATGGAGACTTGCGATCATGCTAGATGTTACGATATCTCTGCGTAAATGGATGGGGTTTCGCTCTCGTGGACGCGTTGCAACAGGTTGAAGATGTTGAAAGGGAAGGAATGCGCCGCAGGGCATGGTGTCACCACTTTATCGCCCGCTGCCCACATAATTACAAAACTACGCCTCACACGTACACTCCTCTTATCTTTCCATGTTTTAGCCCCCAACCTCCAACGAAAATTCAGCCGCGTCAGCAGAAGCTTGGCCCGAAATCGAAGATGTATACCTACTTAGGCAGTTGAGTAGCTTGGCACTCGGCGTTTTGAGCATGGCCATGCCTAGTATCGCTTGAGGCTGACGTAGAACGATCGTTGATTTCACAGTCCGCAACAATCAATTAAGTGGGTCCTAGAAGGTTCAGATTGGATTGATTGATTACCGCTTTAAGCCTAGTAGTTACCTATAGGAGTTTAAGCCCTACCTAGATAGGTAAGTGGGTCTAGGAGAGTGACCGGATTGAATTGATGTGCGAGTCTAGTGATTTAGACTCCCTTGTAACACTAAACATGGCAAGACTTATAGGGTCAGAATACCTCAGCTTTCCTCTTCCCACCAGCGCCTTTCGTGTATCGTTTTGGTCTGATGCGATGGCTTCGCAAGGCGATGTATCGTATGCTGGCATCTTCAGGCACTCTGACCAGTTCTGGTTCACCGATTTCTCACTCGATGCGCAACCTCCAAATTACACAAGCCATGAAGATCAACACATTTTAGAGAGATCCGGCCACGACTACCGCAAGTCGCTTCCTGGATCGTCAAAATCGTCAACCACAGTGGAAAGTTTACCATTTACTAGCGAACATAAAACCGCGAATGACGAGTGCATCCGAAGAAAGCCTGTAAGATGGAAAATCTCTCTCTATACACCGATCTCGATGATTGGCCTCTTTGTGTTCGGGTTGCTAGTGGCTGTCGGTCATCATCTCTTCTACAAGCGCTTCGACCAAACCCATGTTCGAGGGCTAGGCGGAGACGGAGCCTCAAAATACATCTCCCAGGTGTGGATCATTAGATATGGAACGGCTTTTGCTTTTGTCGCAAAGACCTTACTGGTAGGGTCGATTGTAGTTGCGTATAAGCAACACATGTGGATCAATTTGCGTCACAAATCCCATTCAATTTGTACCATCGATGCCCTCTTCGCAGCTACGCATGACCTTCTTGCGTTTTCAAGTCCTTCACTTTAGACAAAGGCCCCGATTCCGACTCTGATGGCTCTGGTTGCATGGTATAGCATCTCCTGCGTGCATCACAAGAAGATTAGCTAATTTAATTCTATAGGTGCCTCCCCATTGCTGCTCTTATCGTACCCTCTACTCTTA